CTTCTGCATATTAGAAAGCTTCATCATATTTGGCATAATTTGAACATGTTCCGGGTGAAGATTACATTTAACACCTCTCCATTTCCACTCTCTCAATTTGCCATTCCACTTCATCCCGGGTCTTAAACCCTTTGGCATGGACGATGACCGCTCGATAGGTGTTTTGGGGGTCGGTAATGAGAGATTTTCAAGAAAGATTATGATATAGCAGTACGCGAGGCTGTTACTGCCAAGAAGATGGCCTACAGAGCGTACACGTCCAGTAGGTCATCCTCTTCGAGGGCATGCTACACCAAGGCGAGCCGAATTGCAGCTCGAGCTGTAGCCGAAGCGAAACAGAAAGCGTGGAAGAAATTCGGCGATCAAACGGAATCGGACGGCCGCGCTGCCGCCGAAGTATTCTGGCGAACCATCTGAAGGTTACGGCAAGGCGGGCAGCATCCTCTCCATCTAAGATCGAAACGGGGAGGTGTTGGCTGTCGAGGCGGATATCCTTGGGAGGTGGAAAGAACACTTTGTCCACTGTTGGTGGGTTTCAGAGCTCCTCGGTGACCTACCCGACCTGGAGCCTCTCGGCGCGGAGACCAGTCTCACCATGGACGCAGTTCTGCAGACCATCGTCAGCCTGAAGAATGGGAAGTCCCCTGGTGTGCATGAAATCCGGGCAGAGGTTCTGAAAGCAATGGGCACAGATAGCTGCTCATGGTTGTATAGGGTGTGTCAGACCGCTTGGGAATCGGGGATAGCACCAAGGGATTGGCAAACCGGTATGGTGGTTCCACTTTTTAATGGGCATCGGGCACCAGTGGGGCTTGGATTTTGCCTGGCAACATTTTTTGTAAGGGCGACGCCCTGAGTTTGACTTAAGAGTCAGGGGGGAGGGGCAGGGCAGCTAAGCGGGGGTATCAAACCCCAACTGAACGATATCAGGGGAGAAATTATTATTTGACCCCCCCCCCTGCCCCCCCCCCCCCCCCGTAAGAAACTGGCTGGGGGCCTTTGGCTAGGGGACGAGGTGAGTGCCGGGAGCTGAAAAGGGAGGTAGAAAATAAACAAAGGAATTCTACGCGAAACTGGACAGCCATCTCGCAACTGGATTGCCGCTTCATAGGATTAAATCAAGGAAACACTACATACGGCCCGCGAAGTCCTTGCCCGCCGCCCCCCAGGGCTGATGGCGTTGAAAGTGCTACTATGGCTCTTGTCCTGCTGGCCCACTGAGTTAAGTGTGTTGGCCACAGCCAAGGTTAGCCAGACTGCTGCCCGCGGTATGTGAGTAACATTCGCAAATGGGCCTCAGAGACTTCCGAGTTGTGCAACCCTGGATTAAATGAAGTGCTGTCCACTTCAATGCTATTCACCTTTCTGCACTGACTTCAGCAACTGATAAGGAGCCATAAATTATTACTTTGACTTGTCGCCCTCGCTCCCTGGCCAACTACTTTCATTCAGAGTTTGTTTGAAATCAGACCCAGATAACCCACGGTGAAGAAAATAGCTACTGATGATTGAAAACCACACTCTTATTTCGAGTTTTCCGGAAAATTTCACGACATGCTTACCGTTTATGACAATACCAGTGACAGTGGCAACCGCGGACCGCTCCTTTCCGAAACTCAAAATTATAAAGAGTTATTTGAGGAGCAAGGACGATTCGGCCATGGGCCCTGGTGCAAGGAATGAAACGGGGCCCGCTGTCCAATTTCTTACTCATACAGCAACGTTGCGTCAACGTTTAGAAAAGGTTGATTTTTAGCTTAACGTGTTAAGTTGAAAAACTCTCTGAACGACTACGCTAATTCACGAGTGGTCATCAAATTCTGAAAATGCGGCAAATTACGATGTTAATTAATAATTTAACCGATGTTGATCTTCGTCAAATTCTCAACTTCAACCAAGTCTCAACGTGTCAACCTTTCCTCAATGTTGACACCACGCTGGTGTGCCGAGTGGGATACTATTGAGTTATGTGGGAGTTATTTTTTTTGCTAGATTTTCTCCGGCAGCTTGTACCGGTGAATCATCGTCGGAAGTTGAAGTCCGTGTGGAAGGCAGTGGCGGATACAGAAATTTTTCATAGTCGGCCTGTTTCCTAGTTCCTAGCCCCCCCCCCCCCTCATCTACCACCACCCTCTGTCCTATCGCCTCTCGTCTGGTATAAAAACCCTGAATATCCATTACACAGGAGCTAATAAACATTAATTTATGTGCTTTTTGAAAAAAAAATAGAATGCGAACCTGACCAGGTAGTCGACCTCCCCCCCCCCCCCCCCCCCCCCCCCCCCCCCCCCCCCCCCCCNGGCCCCCCCCCCCCCCCCCCCCCCCCTCTTCTGGATCCGCCACTGGTGAAAGGTTGAATGCAGGGCCCGATCAAGAAGTTGCGAAACAAGAGGCAAGTGGATTCTTGGTTCCCCCCCCTCCCCTGCTACTTTAAGCAAATACTTAACGCGTTTAATTTATTCCTAAGGGCCCCCTGAAAAAAAGTGGGGTCCAGGGCAACAGCCCCCTTTGTCCCCCATTTTCGTAGCTCGGTTCCTGGGCCCCTCCGACCCGTGGGCCCCGGTGCAGTTGCACCGCCTGCACATTCGATAGCTATGCTACTGGATTCGGCGGTCTTGCTCTTCCACCCATAGTGAACGGACGAAGGAAATTAAATGTTTCCAAGACCATTGATGTCTTCGCTCAGCAAAACGTGCGGAAGAGACTACTTGGTGAGTACCCTTTTTTTTTTAAACAAAATCAGTAATTACACAGTTCAATAAGAAGCTAGAGCGGGGGGGGGGGGGGGCATTTCATCCCTGGCACCAGGGCCCATGCCAGCCAAACTACGCCACTCCCAGTCTCCAATATTTCTAGTCAAATTCAAATGGAAAACATGCCACAACAATTGGGATTTCTTTTATTTATAACACCTGTATACAGCAACCTAATCTAACCTGGCATAACTTTAGGGGCAGCAAAATATCCCTAGGGGGTAAACACTTAACCATAACCGCCCACTTAACCACTCAACAAGAGGTACAGCATGACAAAAGTAGAATAAATAGCTTGAGACCTGCAGCAGCAGCAGCAGAACTGCCAATGTGGAGGTTAGAGTTATTCTACACTCCTTGTAGTAGCTGCTATCCATATCTATCCTTTAGTTTGATTCCCTTCTTTAAAAAAAGGGGATATATGATCCTGGGGATGACTTCATGGGAACCTAAAAGTACGTTTCACTCTTGTGATTCAACTCCTTTTGGTCCTTGTTTCCCGATTCATTCACTCGATCACAATCAAAGTCACCATGCTAATTACATTAGGCATGGCAGAGAACTGTGGGGGGGGGGGGGGGCAAATGGTACACTAGAATATATCCGCATCCACTCAGAATAAGACACGCCCTGCAGAAAAGGCTGGTCAGTTTTCTCCGCGTCATAATTAATTTGAAAATACCTCGTTCTGGATTCCGGTGGGTCGCGAAATTTTCTGTGGAAGATATCGCTAACCAAATGACTTCTCGTTTGGTTAGCGATATCTTCCTCAGTAAAAAAAAAAAAAGAAAGTCATCTTCTTCAGAAAAATATATATTCGGTAATTTATCACCAGAGGAATAAATACTAATTGGAATTGGCAGGCATAAAATATTTCCTTTCTTGAATTTCCAAAACGTTCAAACAGAAAAAATGAATGGCTTCAAGCGCTTGGAAGGATCTCTTAAGACTTGTTCCCTTTGCTTTGTGTGCTCGTACCCCTTCTTAGATTCCTATCGGGATCGAAACGCGACAAGGCGCTTGAAAAAAAGATGCGTTCCGACGGAGAATCTGGTCTTAGATCCGACGCCACGTTCACGTTAGACGTTTTGACGGTCCGTTTCGACAAATGGGGGACCGGCGAGGTCTATTGGGAACAATGACATGAAATCGTTGCACCGGAAGACCGTGAATGCTCATTGTTTAGAGGTGGAAATTCTTCGTCTGAAGCTGAAAGGAGGACAGGAGCCACTAAAGCTGAAAGTTTTTCTCTTTTTTTTTTTCCACTCCGATCTTGCAATAAAGGAATAGTCATCGGAGATCTCCGAAGAAATGTCTCACTATGATCCAGAAACCCGTCCACATAGGAATATTCGCAAATACTCAATTATTAAATTCGGTATCAAAAGCGTATCCATCCATTGGCTATTAGGATCTTCGTGAACTCTTTTAGACTGAGACACCTGAACAGGGAAAATACAGTGAGGGTGAACCGGGATCGTTAGGAGCAGAAAGTGAAAAAAAAAATTGGGAATAATAATGATGTCCGAAAAAGGATTTTCATGACTGCTCCGATCCAATGTGAGATGGCCGAACGTCGAATTCACACCCAAGAATTCATCCCAAAGAAATAGTTTTTTTTTCCGGTAATTTCCGTAAGTTTCAGGTTTCGCGATATAACTAACTTGCACGATTTCCCGTGCCATAGGCTTCGCCACCCTGTCCACCTGCACAGCATGCCCTTCATTCCGAGCACGTTCCGCCCCCAGAACGCGTTTCTGCGCAGATCAGAGGAAGGGTCTCTCCGACCCGCCTTGCTTCTATCGCCGTGCGTTATCAGTTGTCTCCGACTGAGTGTGAGATAAGGTTCGGGACGATTTTGCATTGGGTTAGTTTTCCTACCTCTTGCCGAACTTTCTTCCTCCCATCTCTTTCAACCTTCCTCTGCATATCCTGTTTAATTCCCGTTTTTCCCTTTCCAGGCGAATAGAAAATCTATAAGTGTATTATTGTCTCTCCGTCCAACTTTGCAACGCCAGCATTGCCTGTTTTATGTTAGCTCATTTTTTGTGCTGTCGACAGCCTGTCAAAACGTCGGAAAGGGGCTCGAGGCTTTCAGTGGTGGACCTAGGTGTTCCTAGCACTCGTCAGGCATTTTATCGATAATTCTAAAATCGTTCATACCTCATGCCCCCCAGGAGCGTCGCGCCCATAGAGCGTACATAGATGACGCTCTATGGTCGTGCCAGTGTCTGGCGGAGGGGTCAAATGGAAGTCAACCGCATCCCTAAGGGGAGAAGAAGATGGCGCTTTTTTTTTCTTGACTCATTTCAGTTCTGGTTGCTTCTGCCAGCTGAAGATAACCTTGTAAGCATATTCCCGAATCGTAAAGTTGTGTGTGTTTTAGTGCTGAATTCGAGATTCGGAAAAGAGACCAATGGTGGATTGGGAGACGACTTCCCTCGACGTTTCCTATCATGGATCGGTCATGCTCGATTCAATCTTCCTGGCGTAAGTTTAGAATTTTTGGATTCACGAAGTCCTCTCTAGCGCTTGATTCAAGCGGTATTTTAAATGCGTTCCCCTTGAGGTGTATCTGGAAAATATAGTTGTGAGGCCCACGGGAGTGGGGTAGGGGAGAGAGACGCACGCGGTTTTATGTATTGTAGAGCGAAATGTAGAGGTTACCAGGGACATTTGCTGGGGGTTGGGGAAAGAGAAAGTCCTTGAAAACCTACGTCATCCGTCCTTTATTTTCTCATTCTTCCGTCAAGATGAGGAAATAGCGGAATTTAGTTCACCGACGCTCCCTCAATATTCTAGATCTGCTTTTTGGATAAATCCCCTTGCCCTTTAAAAAGTTTCTCATCGGGAATATTAACTTGTTTATGACCTGGACTTCATGAATCTCTATTGAATATGTGGATAACAAATGAAGTATAATGAGACTAGGCAAGACATATAACGAAGTATGTAACAATCCTGCGAGGGCCATTTCCAGGGAAAGACGGAAGGGAAGTCCTTAATCCCTCATTTTTGTACACTTCCAAATATAAACTTTTGTACAAAAAAAATCAGCTCAATCAGAACTACTTGAAGGTTGCTCAAAGGACATTTACTTTTTGCCATTTGGCCCTGGTGGTGTGTGGCAACCAGATTCCCCTCACATTTTGTGAATATTAGGTCCTTGGAAGTTCACAGGTGCCAACTGTTATTGTTGCCTAGTTTCTGATCCAGTGTTGATTTTCTGCTTGTTTTATCTCCTCATGACAAGTATTTTCATGAAGGATTTTGCATTTCCAGTCCATTTTTAGCAAGCATAGTTCTTACAGCATAGTAAAAAGTCATCGATTCATAAATTATAGCATTGTGCATTAGATGCTGATATTCTCAAACTCTTCTCACAAAACATCCTTTCCAGTACCTGCTCCAGTTTCTAATTCATTAATACCAAACTGTATTTTTTTTTTTCATTTGCATTCCATTTCAGGGCAATTGTTCTGTAAAGTGGTTAATATGCAAAAATTAGGTTTCAAAACAATTTGTAGTTTCCCTTACTCCTCTGTGATGAGACATGTGAACGACGGGCGGTCTGATCAAATGAATGTGATGCTGCCAGTTCACTCTGAGAGGGACATAATTGATATTTCCTATTGATTGTTGGATGATTTGAGGAGTGCTTTTTCATTTTTCAAAGTTAAGTTTTGGCAACTATTATAGCCTGTTCGTGTTTTTTTCCCCCCCTCTTTTTGAAGGACTCATGCTAACATTGCCTGATCTGGCATAAGTAAAAACCTGCCCCTTCCCTCTTATTTCAGTGAAACCAGAGGAAGAAAGCCATGGTCCAGTCTTGCAGGAATGTTTTTTTTTTTCCTGCTGTTTTATACATACTGTACTGGGCTGCAGGCTTTGACTTGCCAGGTTATTGCCAAGTGTTGTAATGCCCTGCTTTTATATTTGATATCAGTAGTCTTACTATAATCAAAATTCTTTTGGTAATGAGGAGCTGTTAAAAGGCGTGTGCCTTTTTTGTTTTATTCAAATTCTTTTTCTGAAGTTGGATCACATGTGAACTCTATATGTTATTCACCATATTTTTAGTCTTTCTTGTATTAAGCTGGTAACTTGGAAGTTAAAACCTATAGACTTACTGGTTTATTAGTAATTTTGTATGAACTATATGGTGATTGGATTCCTGATGATTTATAAGAAAAGTTCCCAATCTTCTTTCTGAATAAGACATGGTTATGAAGGAGATGAACCATCAGTGCTACAACAGTGCTATCAACTCCTAAGTTCATGATGTCCTTGAAATGCAGTTGCATACTTTCTTAATACCTGGGTGGTTGATTAGACCATTGGTGGTATTCCAAAATGGTAGTGATGGCATATAGTTCACAAATGGTGCCCAATCTAACAAATACTTCAGGTGTGTACTTTTGCACATGCTACAATGGCTTTATGATGCACTGGAAATGGGAGCCACTTGCTTTTAACAAAGTGTCAGAAGTAGTAGGAATGATTATCATGCATACCTACTTGTAACATTTTGTCAAACAGGACTACCAAATAAGATTAACAATAAGCCAAGAAAATAAATCATCCTCTCATTTTTCCTGCTAAGAAGTTGGGAAGGCAAAATGATGTAAAATCAGGTCCTTTTAATTGTTTCATGTTGAACATTGGAATACCTGGTATTACTGCAAATTCTAAGGAGTAAGAAAGGAATCAAATTATGAACCCTTCAATGATTTTTTTTTTTAACCTTTCAAGCTGGTTTGACTTTACTATGATGTCCACTTGGGTATATCTACTGTATGAGTAAAATGTGCCAGTGATGCCCAGTGTGATAGTGCACTTTTATGAAAACTTGCAGGTAGGAAGTAAATGCTATCCTTAGTTTCTAAAAATTTTTTTCCTACTTGATGCTTACTCTGTTGTGCAGAAATGGCAACATATTACTGCCACAGGGGATGTTTGGCAATTTAAAATTACTAGCTTGGAGTGTTAAAAACACTACAAGTTTTCACCGTATTCCTATGTTAAATACAAAGTTTAATGACAGTGATTTTTGTCTACTTTTTTACAATGTTGACATCAAATATGATTTGAATGCAAGCAATGTAAATCCAAACAATCCCTCAAGTTTCTAAATACCACACTAGCAAGAAGCAAACTTGCCTGCAAAGCTTGTAGTATCATTGGGGTCAGACTCTAAAAAGAAGCAGAAAAGCAGTTGCTACACCTACAGGAACAGGTACACTTTCATCTTATTACTGTGTGACTTGCTAGCCTGTCAGCTATGTGAACAATGTAATGAATGACAAAGCTCATGTGCATCATTTGATGCCACAAAGAAGTAAGGATGCAGTTGGCCACTAAATGCAGCATAACTCAATCTAAGTAAGAGGCATTAAGAAAATATACTGGTATGTTAAGGTCAAAAGGTAACAGACAGGTGGGATTGAATAGGTGGCTTGTGACTAGGGATGGGGTGGTCAATTGACCACCTTTTAATTGACCATTATTGACTACTAATTAAATTAATTAATTGAATTAAGATATTTTTATAGAGCTCATAACTGTGGTCATTTCTCCCCCAGCACTAAAACCAAAGAGCCAGTTCAATTTTAAAGATTTGTTCATGCAGCCTGCCAAACACCTAGACTGTGGCACCTGTTGCAAATGAAAACATTTTAGCAAATGCTCAACCTACTGTGACCTTTCACCTGAGTGATGCAGAGTGTGTGCACAGGCATAGCTTGCTGTTCAATGTTTTGTAGCCTCAAGGACTTTCAAAGTTAAGGTGTGCCTGTGCCTAAAAAAATTAATCTAGCTATGAAACATGATTCATTACTGTTTACCCTATAGATTGCATGAGTTGGAACATTAAATTTATCTTAGCAATGAGATCGCCATTCTCGCTTTTCCTTGCAACCAATTCGGATATCAAGTGAGTGGAAACAAATCATTTTCTCTTTAGCTGAACGAAATTTTCCAGCAGGCCCGTAAAGAGGGGGTGGCAAAAGGGGCAATTTGTGCAAAAACTACAAAGAAAAAAATATAAAAATAAAAGTTGGTCCTATTTACCAAAATTGACCATAGTCGACCATATTGACTGGTCAGTTGACCAGTCAATTGACATGTTTTTAATTGACTGGTCTATAACCCATCCCTACTTGTGACCCTTGCGATTCAAGTCCCTCAGTGACTAATTTTTTATGGTGTGAAGAGAATGATAAAATTATGGTTTCATCTTTCAAAAAGAATGAAATCCCAATGGCAGAACCCACACATGACATGATATCCCTTAGGTTGGTCATTTCCTCTTAGAAACATTTTTTAAAAGCACTCTATAACTAGAATAGTCTAAGCCCATACAGATGTGGTTTGGCCTATTTGCCTCATTTTTATATCTTGAGTTGCATATGTCATTACTTTGAGACTGTGATGAAGTAGGATGGATATTAGTTTTAGTCTTATATACTAGGTGTCCCTAGAGGATATAAATCATCTGCTAGTTCTACATGTATTATGGCTATATAAATAAGGAGGTTTTTGTACTCAAACCATTCCTTCTTGGCAGTGTCACTCCATGTGACATGGTCAAAATCAGACCCTCACTTGCTTCAGGTTTCCTTGAAAAAAGTAATTGATATTACAAAAGCCTAAGCCTGACTACTATCCTGTGTCTTTTGAACTACATTGGTTTATGATGTTTTGTTGCTCAAATGTAATCTGACAAGATTGAGAGTTAATGGCTGATTGCCTTCTGAACATTATTGCATACAAATTTATTTTTAAAAATTTTAAGATGTAAACATTTGCTCTACTTTTTATTTCTCAATTTATCTCAGTAGATTTGCACTACTTATTATTGCACTGCTTATTTTAATAATAATAATAATATTTATTCCATCACTCTTGTAGACCAATTGGTCCATTGAGTTTGTCGTATCTGAAAACTACAAATATACATACTCTCATAAAGAGGCAGAAGGTGAAGAGAAAAATAGATAAATGAATAAACAGAAATAGATAAATTAAATAAGTAAGAAAGTAAACAGAACTGGACAGGGCACACATTTTACTATTCATTTGAATTTATAAATATTGTTACTCGCACATTTCATTATGCCATCTATTGCAGAGCAGAAATGAGTTAAGGTCAAGTCAAGGTTCATTCCATTTTTGTGTAATAATAATAATTTATCCAGCAATAAACCTCATGTATCACTTCTTTCCAAGTGTATTTCTTATTTATTTGTAGTGGTATAAAATTCACATAGTTACAAGGAGCAGCAAAAGTACTTCTTTTCATTTGAACAATGTAGGTTTCAATCTCCTGTATTCTTAGTTTTTGTTGTGAAGTTGCCAAATGGCAGCTGCATTGCTAATAGATAGTGTGGTGCTGTGATTAAGAAATAGTACTGAAAGAGAGCCAATTGGAAAGGAATTATAAAAAAAAACCTTTTTAGCACTTTTTAATACAAATTATAGAGAAAAATTTTTTTAAAAACATTGAAATTCATTTGAATTATGATGTAGCAGGATTGCATCTATTCCATTGATCCAGGGTAACCTGCTATGCTATCTGCTATTCATTTTATTTAAGGCTTCCTGACATGAATATATTTTTGTCAGGCTGAGTGAGTATTAGATTTATGCAAATTTTAGTGTTTCAAAGTTAACTGATGGAAAGGTATCAGAATGCAAAGTTGCCAAAACGTTGCAAGTATGCCAATTTTCAATTATGGATAGATATCTTACACTTTAGTAGAATCCTCAAAACCCTATGCAAAGGTGTCCCCTTGTTGCCCTTAATGGTACCATTAAATTGATCTTGAGGTAGAGAATATATGAGACTGGATGACCTCTTGACATGGAGGTCATCCAGGTGTTTGTGATCATGCTGCTTCAAGATTGTCTTTACTGTTTGTAGGAAGCTAGTTGGAGGTAAAAGAAACTCAGAAGCCAATGAACACACAGCAGGTCCCATCAGAACCTGTGGCACCTGCTGCATCCTCTACAAATGTGAAGGTGGAAGCATCATCTCCTGGGTTGAATGGCACCACCAAAAGTGTTTCTTCTACCCCTCCCCTAGTCAAACCTTCACCTAACCCACCAAGCAATAATTCTAGTGGGAAACTACAGGCTGAAGGGGCCTCTGCTATGCCATGTACTCCTGCCATGAATTCCTCATCCCCTGGGATTCATTCTCATGTTTCTGAGTCTGAGAAGGAGGTAATGGAGCCTCCACCTCAGGAAGAACCCATTTTGGAACCTCAAAATGGTATTGTACAACCACCAGTGGTGCCACCACCTCAAAGGCCTGGATGTGTTGTGAATTGGATCAATTATCTCAAAAACTGTCATCAAGGCTGTTTGGAAGTATCATTTTGCATGACCATTCCATACACCTGGATGCTACAACTCTCAATTAGCTTGTGAGTATTTTTGTGGGAACTTATCCACAGTAATACTTTGAAAATGCATATTTTATTGTTGGAATGCATATGCACTTTGAAAAAATATTCTGAGGAGAGGGATAATTTAGATTGGAAGCTAATATTCCTCCATGATAGTAAAGTTATGACACTTTTGTTATCAAATCAACTCACTTGTCAGCTGATTGTAAGCTCTTGAATTCATGGGGCCATAAATAAATTGTGGCAGTGCAAATTTTAATGCTATGTACACCTGCTTCAAATTCTTTTTTTTTTAAACCAAAAAATCAGCTCTCTTTTTGCAGGAGTATGCCACCTTGCTGGGCAAGAGTACTCAGCAGCTGTGCTGAGAGACTCTAATCTTGGTAGGCTATATAAAAATCCAGGTTTAATCCCAGGTAGGCTCTTCATACCTTCCTGATTCATGGCTTGGATACATCTATGTTATGATTAATTTGTTCTGTTATGGGTTGACAAGATTGAATAATTTTAACTATGAAATCATAATTCTATCTCTTTATCAGGACTATCACAAGATCATCAAGCATCCAATGGATTTGGGGACAATTAAAAAGAGACTGGAGAGTAACTACTATTGGAGTGGCAAAGAGTGTATCCAAGACTTCAACACCATGTTCACAAATTATGTTTACAACAAACCAGGTGAAGATGTGGTGCTAATGGCACAGAGTTCCTGATGAAAATGGCTCAAATGCCCAAGTTCACTTCAGAGCTTGTTAAACCCCTTTACTGGGTTAGACGTCTTTTGACGTCTAACCTCCCATAGGTTAAAATTGATGAAATGATGATTGATGAGGTATTTGATGAAAAACTTCCCAGTTAAGGGGTTAAAGTTTACACACTAAATGGTTTTATATTTGAACAGGTTTGTAAGTGTAAAAATGCAAATGTTATCGTATTCGAACAGTATGAAATATTCCTTTTATATACCTTTTTGTTCCTTTTTAAAGGAAGATTCCATGCTCTTTGAATTTGGCAAAATTTGCATTTTTCTGCTTATGTGCTCTGTTTGAATATGGAAATGTTTGGCATGTAAAGGTTAACACTTTTGATCCAATGGACATACATGTATGTCCAGCCCTAACTAGCATTGGATGACAGTGGACGCAATAGTACGTCCTTAGAAAATTTTCACATTTTTACTAAGTTTTCCTCAATAAAATAGAGACCTTATACTTCAATTTCCAAAATAGAGCAAGTCTCTAACATTCTGCATTCTGAAGTTTTAAACTTTTTTTTGCAGGCTTAGAAAATCTTGTCACACCCTCTGGAGCAAAAGTGTTGATCTCTTTTAGAATCATGGTGTATCTTCAAGTATTTTCTCCTCCCCCTCCCCCCATCCCAATCCCTTTCACTTCACTTGGGTGGCCTGAGAACACTGGGTGTGTCCTCTACATTGGATTTAGTATCATTACTGATCCAATTTTTTTTTTTTTTTTAGCAAAATGCCTTCCTGAGCTGTTTCAAATGAGAAGGATTTTGGGTGAAGTTGAGAAAAGCAAATGGAGAGACACTGAGAAAGTTGGAATCACTTAAAGATGCACTCTTGAAGACTACTGAGTAAGATAATATACAATTTCATTTTAATGTTTTTTTTCATTATGAAACTGGCTGCTAACTGCATTGTTCCTTTCAACAGAGTACAGTGATCCAATTATGCAGACCACAAAGTTATGGCTCTCAGGAATGATGATTGGCTCATAATGGTGATTGATGTTATGAACCAAGCAAGACCAACATCCCAGGATTTGTCAAGGAAGACAAACACACTACAAGCTTACCAAAAATCATCACCCACATTACTGGTAATTGTCTTCCTTTTACAATGTCTTTGGTTATTTTTTAAAATTATGGTTATATGAAACTGTGGTTATAGGGTTGTGCAAAAGTTCCCTGTACACTTTGAAAATCTAATTTTTTCACTAATCAATGGATTTTTGGTGATTCTGATGGGCTTTTTTTATTTATTCTGCGGACGTTTTTGATACAAAATGTTTTCATTATAGTAAATTTCAGTCTTTATTTGAATTTTTTTCTCTGGAGCTATGACGCCTAAAGAGAATCAAAGCATTAATCAAAGTGTATGGGAACTTTTGCACAACCCTGTATATGGTGATAAGAAATTCTCATTAATTGAAATCCCTCTACCTTCAACAGGTGTGAATAACCCATCATCTGCAGAAGTGATTTCTTGTATGATACTCATTTTCTTAATTTTCATGGAATGAAGGAAGTTGGCTAGAACCCAACTTCATTCCAGGGATTTTCCTGCCAAGATGGGTCATTGATTGTACTGTCATGAAATGCCTTAACTTCATGCATTAACTGTCATATGGAATTCTGGCAGTTCTTATGCTCTTATTTTTTAATAGGCCACATGACATGCTAATAGTTAATGTGCTAATTGATTTTATTTTATTTTGCTGTGCAGGAGTAGGCGTACCATGGCAAGGGTGTTCAAGAATTTGCCTTTGTAGACATGGGGCAGTTTCCACATGATTCAAATCTGTGTGGAAGTAATCCTTCAGTCACTCCTGCATCTGAAGATGGACTTGAAGAGTAAACTCTTCCTGCAGATGGACAACTGCCCAAGAGAATAAGAACATGCTCATCTGTGCACTCGCACATCTCCTGGTGGAGACTGGCATCATTTGGATGACTGGATCATGTACCAGTTTGCTAATCACTTTGGTTGGTTGGTTATGTGCTAAAGGGCAACAACTGATGTCCTCATAGGTAAAAGATAGACAAAAAAATGGATCCAAACAAAATAGGTCATGAAAAACAGCAACAACTCATCAGATGAGGTTCTTTGGACCCTGATGTTATTGTACATGCTTATCACAGCAGGGATGAAGGTTTTTTGGTATCTTGTACAACATTTCTTGTTGTTGAAACAGTCAGTTTCTTCTCTTGATGGGGGTAGAAGTTTGGAGTTGGATTAATAGAGTTGTTGAAGGTAATTCAGGACTCTTTGATTCCATCTTGTCTCTAGAGACTCAAGGTCTTCTCTGATTGTTGATGAAGCTCTCTTCCTTAATCATTCAAGCTTCTTTGATTCACTTGAAACAGAAAAGTGACATATTTTGCATGCATAGTTCACCACAGATTAGATGGAGGCATTGTAATGTGTTTCGAGGACTTCAGAGGTGACACTGCATTGTGTCAGATAGAGAGTGAACATGTGGCTGTTTTTCTTCAGGCAGCGGTAGATATGGTGATTGAACTCTAGGGATGAGGGTATCCAGAGGCTGAGTAATTTTGCATGATTGACTTTGGGGATTGCTTCACCATCTATTACTGGTTTTGGAAGGGTGGCAGTGATGAGTTTGTCCTTGGAGAACTCAAAGTTTATTTCCATGCTTTTTGAGGCATTCAAGTGAATGGAGTTTGGCCATTTCATTATATAGTTTGTTTGCCTGGTAGTCTTTGAAGTCCCTTAGGTTTTGAATGGATTGAAGTAGAGTGGTGTCATCTGTGTATTTTACTAGGATGGTGTTCCCCTCCTTTACTCTGAGGTTGTTGGCTTAAGTGATGAATAGCAGCAGAGAGGAGAGTTCTCCTTGGAAGATGCCTCTTGTTAGGTGTAACAGGTTGGAGGTGACTCCCAACTTCGCGGGTTGTTTTACTTAAAAATTCGCCAATCCAACATAGGGATCCAATACGAGGTTTTAAGGTATTTGAGATGGTTGACCTAAGCACTACATGAGACAGCATCAAAAGCAGAACTGTTCTCTTGTAGGAGGCATTATACAGATGTCAATTGATCTGTTTCTCAACCTAGACACCATCTACTTCATTGGAGGGCAGTTGTTGTGGACCTATTGAGGGAATAAGCATGTTGGTTTTGGTCAAGATCTGCCTTCATGGCTGCTTTGCCAATTTTGACTTCACTGTGCCCTATTCCAGGAAAGATCCAAAGTTGGGCCTCCCATAGAATAGGAGTAATTCTTATAGTTTGGACAAGCACCATAAGGGCAGCCACAAGAGTGACACTAGGGCAGTAAACAGTTCTAGTTGTTAACGTGTTGGTAAATAATTGGTCATCATCTGTAAGAGAAGAAAGAAAAGTTCTAGAGTTCTGTAGCATGAGGACATGCTATGATTTTGAAATTGCTATGTCCTCTTCCTGCAATGATCCAAAGCCAGGCTTCACCTAAAATAAGAGTAATTCTTCTTCCAACTCAGACGACAGCTACAAGTACAGCCACAAACATAGCCACTAGGGTGGTGACCAGTTTAATATCTTTGTGTCCACTGTTGATCCACTGCGATCCCATAAAATAGTAGTTATTCTCCTGCAGCCTTGGAGTAAAAATAGAAGAGAGGCCACAATGGTGGCTATCATGACAGTAAGTAGCTGCAATTGCTACAGTGTTGGCAAGTCCTTCATCTCCAAGAGAAGAAAGAAAAGCTCGAGAGTTCCATAGTAGCATGAGGACATGTAAAGATTTGAGTCCCCTATTTTAGAACTGTAGTTACTAAGTTTCTTATACTTGATTCAATAACATTTGAGAACCATACTGATGTTGCTCCATAGACCCCATGTTGAACGAGATGTCAGACAACCTAGTGATTTCACCACTTCTCTGAACTTTTCAAAGGGCCTTCGGCTATACACACACGGGGAGTGGGTAGTGGGTGAAACATGCACAATGTGCTCTCTGCTGCCATCCCCTTCTACCTCAGTTGTTTGAACATCACGGTCTGGTGAAGGTTAATACTTCCATCACCCATAGCAATCGACCAAGGGGTATTGGCATAGGCAGCAATTTGTTGAGAAATATGGGTGATTTGGACAGTAATCTTGGAAGTGTTCCTGATTCTCATGTCCTCACTGTGAGCCCCTTCTGCTTAATTTTTTTTACTTGGACTTTTAAATATCAAGTCACTGATCATCACTGAAAATCCAACAATCCCAACTCCTTTATCTTTGAAAATGAAATTGTAGGTTGTGTGGGATATGCGGATATGTTCTTCATGCATGGTCCTTTCCTTCACTTTGCTGACTTTGTAATCACTGTATTTTACTGCTGCCAAGGCCCAATGTCAGGCTTCCCACAGAGTTGGAGCAATGCTGCTTCCAGTTTTTACAAACACAATGAGGATAGTCGCAATAGCTATCAGGGCTGCTACCAGCTCCAATTGATCCTTGTTGGTAAATATATGATCTTTTTTTTTTTTTGAGAAGAAAGAAAAGAACCTTTATTGAACTTTGTTGCTACAGCATATAACTACAGTGAGGAGGAACAGAACACTAGCGGCACCTACATAAACTTTTATTAACCGGCATAAACTTTCATTTCACATTCCCACGGGCATTTCCAGCCTGCTGTTATTAGTTTCAATAAATTTTTCTTTTCCTCCATCCACATAAACTGTCTGGAGCTTGCATGTACCACTCCAATGCAGTCACAGAATAACTGATCACTTTTTCATTAAAATTGTAGGGCTTGCTGGAAACTGGTTGGATAAGTTCTTCATGCACTGTTTTGCCAGTCACTCTGCCAACTGTTATATTGCTGTGTCCGATGCTGGAAAATATCCATTGATATCCACATTCCTATAAAATAGGAGTGATTTTCTTGCTCAATTGGATCATGAAGACAGGAGCAGCTGCTATAGTGGCCACTGCGACTGTAAAAGGTTCCAGCTGACCACCAGTTGGTAAGTCTGCCATCTGCAAGGGAATAAAGGAAAGTTTTAAAGTTCTGTACTGTGAGAACATGTTAAGATTTATTCAGTTAAACTAGTGGCATGTGGTTAGTACACAAGTCATGCACTGCACAACCAGTTTTGGGTGAGAAAACTGGACAATTCCCAATGATCATAAGTGTGTACCATATTATGAAGTGATTTGTATTTACTTCCTTTTCAATCTGATTTGTGATTTCTCATTTGTGTGCACAACATCCAGCTTGCAAGCTGCATTAGGCACACAAAGTACCTAGAGAATGTTCAGATTGTGCACCTTTCTACCCTGTTTTCTCAAAAGCATTTGACTAACTGCCATGACACGCTCCTAGCTTTAAAAAAAAAGTCAATTCTTAAGTAATTTAGCTATCTCTGTGTCCGGTCACAATTCATCAAACTGGGAAACAGATCCACAATCTGCCCTAACCTCTCCGTTGGCATGCCCCAAGGTTCAGTTCTTGGTCCCTGCAATTTATCTTATACATCAATGATCTACCTCAAGTTTTTGCTAACTGCACAATTGACCTTTATGCAGATAATGTAACCCTATATTTCTCATCTGGAAACTCTGATGAAATATCTCCTAATCTTCAATTAAACCCTGACAGACTTGCTAATTGGGCCTTCTGCAACAAACGTAAACATTAATCCTGGAAAAACCAAAAGCTTATGGTTGGGATTTCTGTCTCTCTCAATCAACAAAATGCCAACTCTTTACTACTAGGAATAACTTTGGACCCCCACCTGAACTTCACTCACCACACATCTCTATTATAGGCTTTCCTCTCAAATCTATATGCTCTGCATGCCTAAGCACCTGCAGTTTCCACCCCATACTTGTCTACTGGTCTACAATGCACCAATATATCCTCACATTATCTATCCACTACCTATTTATTCCAGTGCTAATAAATCAGCCCTGGACTCCTATCAACACTGTCCTAAAACACTATAATAATTACTCAAAGTCCAATCACCATCCCACTCTCTCCCTTTTCACTCATAATGGCTCTACATTGAAGATCTTTCAGTCTACCTCATCTCACAACTTATGTACAAAATCTCCACATGAACTGCTCCTAGTTACCCCTCGTCATCTCTCTCCCAACCAATACCACACTACCTCTGATTTCACTCATCTATGAAATCATGCCTCCCACAACCCCTCACAAAAACATCCCAAAAGAACCTTAAATATAGGAGCATCAAGCACTGAAATTCCCATCTTTTTAAAGTATAATAACCACCATAACTATCCTCCCACATTTCTCTGTATTCTTCTCTTGCTGTTTCCTTTGCAGTTTTGTATCTTGCCATATTGTCTTTGTATAAAAAGTTACTCCTATGTACTTGTTGTTCATCATTTCTACTTTTTTTGATGCCTCCCCTGTCCACAAAACAACTAAACTATCAGTTGAGCCCCTGTATAGCCTGCTAACATGTACAATAAATCACTCACTCACCCAATTTAAATCATGTGCTCGACTAGTCACTGCAATCTGCAGTAGCATATAATTCAATGGCACCTGATACGAGATTAGTCATGCACCTTGCTGACCAGCTTTCCTTGTCCTGCACTTTAGGCAAAATGTGGGCAGTCCATACTTCTATACTGCGATGTGGGAGCCCCACTGGTGGGTTGCTCAGTTAGGGTAGTCTCGCTGACTTCAGTATGTCAAGCTGTGCATGCATAAATTCAGGCAGAGGGAGATGTGCTCATTGCATGAAGCAAGTACAGGCATGGCCTCGACTGAGCCTACTTTGCTCTATTTATCAAATGTTTACTTTATTTTGTGTGTGACAGAACAGTTTGTATTGTTGAATATTTCCTGAGGCCTCTGTACACCAGGGGTAATTTTAAGGATTAATTGAACATTGTGAAATGTGGACAACCCCTGCCATGCCCAACTTGAAAGTGCTGGGCAAAGCCCTTTTTTCTTCTAGACATCAATTAAGAAAAAACTAAGAGGGTTACTGGGTGACATAAACTGTTTTGTTGGCATTGAATATTGAATAACAATATTGTTTGCAAGTGAAAAATCTACATGAATTTATAAGGCTTCAGTGACTTAAGTAACTTACATATGTATCAGCAAAAGCATGAGCACTCACAGAAGCATATGAATCCTCCATATAATGCCACCTATGGGTATTGAGTCAGAAATCAAAGGTGCAGCAAGTCTCAACCATGAACCTCACATCCCATCTAGACTTGGTCACTTTTCTGGAAGGATTGGAGGAGTCGTCAAGTTTTCAATCATCTGACGGTTGAATGCAAGAGTCTATGGTTCCTGAATTTTGCAGAACTGAAGCAAGAATATCACCCTATATCAAAATCTCATGTTTGGAAACATGAGAAATAATAATTACCAAATGGATTACTTACACAGGGTGGACCAAAAAAAGTACCCACATTTGCATAACTGAAGGAAACAAAATCACATGTTAGCATTACTTACTTATTAATACTTAACACACTTTTGGCTCACTGGAGATGTAGAAATTGGCATCCACAAGCATTTAAACACTTAATTTTGTCATTGTCATTTCAGAGTGGGTACTTTTTTTTTTTTGGGCCACCCTGTATTTAGGAATGTTTCAGTACACCTACGCTCTCACACACCAGTCAGCTCAGCCACATTCAATGTGAGAATGATGGAGAGAAGCCAGGCTGGTGACACCCACCCCCATTGCTAGCACAATCAAGCAAAAGCAAGTTTTCAGGTGCACAACATCCTTGGGCTTCTCCTATCCATCTGAATGAACAGTGATACAACACTGTATTAAAAAGTACTTTGTGCCAGTGCATTACTTTTTCCTTTGCCATTGGTATAAGTGTCTCATATGAGGGGGGGAAAGGCAGATAACCAAAATTGACATCACTGACAGGCAGATGGCCTCATTTTTCAATATCCAGGAGGGGACCAATGCCAAGGTTCCCTTTCCTGGATATAAAAAAAAAAACAACTTGCCCATTTGATAATCCCCCCCCCCTCACTCCACACTTAGACAGCGATATGCATGCATTTCTGGATCAGCATACCCATGAACATTCAGATTGGGAGAGGTGGAGCCATTTCCTGACCCCCACAGTCACTTGACTTGACCCCACAAGACTTTCTCCTATGGGGTTAATTGAAAGATTTTATTAGGTTAAGATTGGCATCATGGCACTTTTCCACAACAGAACTGTTGCGGCTTGATTACTTCCTTTAAAAAAAACTGAGTGTACATACCATTTGTTAAAAACCTTTTGGAAATGCATAGCTTCATACTGGAGATATGAATTTTTATTTTATTTCAAACTTTTCTCAGACACCCCATATTTTGCCATTCGTATTTCCTCAATAGCATTTTTTTAAATTACCATTGGGACTAGCTGTATGGATACCCAGGAATGGTAAATGGCACTAAAGATGTTATGTTATCAGCCAAATTAATGCTAAAGGTTGGCAAGGAATCAATACATTTCTAAATTGAATAAGACTGTAAAAAAAAAACACAGTGATCACCCATATACCTTCCAGCAATTTGAAGAGACATAATACATGAAAACCATGAATTTTTAATTTATGCATCTTGGTAATTTTATAATTAATTTAATAGTAGATAAGTGGTGCGTTTATACTTTTGCTAGAAGGGTTGAACTTACCCCAAGGAGGGATTCTGGTAGAACAACCTCTGCTGGGTTAGGCTGTATACTCATGCCACTATGTAATGACCTACAGAAAATGATTCTAGCATGAACATGACAAACTTCTTATAAGTCCAAATGACAGACCTTGATAGAGGCAGTGGAATGAGTTGACAGGCAGGGGCATCAAGGGAGATGTGGTTGTAAGTGCAGAGGAGGCAGTTGGCATCTGTTAGGAGGATCACAGGACCCCTGTAGCACAAGTGGGAGAGTATCTTCTACAGGGATACCTCACACTGCTCCACCTTCACGCAGTGGGTTGTCGCTTGCTCAAAGTGCAGTCACTCTGTCTATCCTAAAATCAGTCAGAGATTAGTCTCATACCCAGTTTGATTGCCATTATCTCGAAGATGAAGAAGAATGTGTCAGAAATGTGAATACATTAGAAATGCAGTGGATGAAAGTTCCATCTGCACAAAATACTTTCCTTCTCTTTCACCATATGCAACACACCTGAGAAAGGAGACATGATTCATTCAGAGCTTACCTTCCTAAACAGCAACGTCAGAGCCATGCTCTCTGGCCTTTGAATGAATTGGGATCAATTCAATCAGCTTCCCTTTGACACTGCTTTCCTCCCAAAAAAAAAGGGCATGAGTCTTACTGTGAGTATCAATCATATTCTGTTCTGCCATTGATTAGTTTCTTTCTCTCTTTAGGAGCACTGATATAGCACCCAGAGATTCAGTGAAGAATGTTGACAAAACCATGAAGTGCTTTGTTCAATTGAAGGAATCTGATTTTTGCAAGGATGCAGTCATAGAAAGCTTCCCTTGAGTGCCCAGGGTTTACACCAAATATTATGGCATAGTAGAGGTGAGGAAATGATCTGCAAGTCAGCAAGTGTGCAAGGTCTATATTCCATGGGCTGTGAGACCAAGAAACGTGTTTAAACAGGCAATGTGAGCATTAAAGTGGGTACAAGTTTTTACATGCTGTATATCATGTCCTTTTTAAATGGTTACTTCTTCACTCTTACAATCAAAATTTTGAAGTTAAAAATCAATTCTTGCTCTAGGAACTGGGATCGACTCTGTCCCATTCAAATTGCTTTGATTCAAGTTTCAAATAAAAATAAATAGTAGTGGGAATGAAATAAAACAAGGAATCTGTTCTTAGAGAAATTAAATTAATTCAAGGTGACTGGTTTTTTATGAATCCTTCCATCTGCATTTCTATTTCCTTATGACACGATCTTCCCAATACTGACCATGGACACAGGCAACCTTCCTTTATAAACAAAGTGAGGAAGCACCGTGAAGATATCAAGAAAGTGAACTGCATCATTTAACAGCTTTCTAAGCCCTTACTTCCAAAATCTGAACCAGGGAAAATGTCTGGCTTAATGTTTTTGTCTATTACATGCATAATTGGTGGATATAGCTTCTCACATACCACACCTATTTTCCCTATCTTCAAGGTGTCCTTGTTAACACATGACTGCTGGTGATTTAAATGCCCAACTAACCTCTCCTTGCCAAGAATGGTAGAGGTGGTTTGCTGTGCTGAACACATCACATGTCCAAAGTCACAAAGAAGAGACTGTCAACAGTCATGTCTGGATTCAACAGATCGTTTCTTATCTGAAAGTAGAACATTTAGACTTAGAAAAGCCCTATTTACTGGCAAGAAGCTTTAGAACACCATGTGCAAGCGAGTTGACATACCTCTTGCCCAAATACCTCCTCATGGCAGATGGCATGGAGTTTGGCAAGGAACTGGTCCTGATCATTTATCATCAGGGAGGACCATTGCAACACAGACAAGCCTGCAGTCCCAGTGCAGCTGCTGCTGAATGTGCCACAGTGGGATGAGCAACATCATCTGATCTTCTCTTGTCCCCTGTTTCTGTCCTTGTTTTCATCTTTCCATCACTTATCCTGAATCTTCATCACTAATGCTTCATGTCCCTCAAGAGAAGAGCACAAAGTCTATCTTAGTTTCATCCTGATCATATGGTAAAGCTCAATCACTGCAGAAAGTTGTGCCTCCATCCTCTAAAACACCTATGGACTAGCAGAAAAAATACACTGATATTTTGATAGTTTGATATTTTGAATGTTATGACAAAATTAGACTTGCTCCTTGTAAGGGCAAGACTTAATTTTTCATTGTTAAAAGAATGAGGCATCTATCAGATAACAAGGTAGGAACAGTGGCCATTTCGGTCAACCAATTGAATCCTCATAAGCTTTGAGTTTTACTAATACTACTAGAAATTCATATATTTTCATAATAGTTTTTGCTATAATTTCCTGTGAAGCAGATCATAAATGCACAGTATAAACAAAGTTGGGCCATGCTTGACACATGCATAGGCTGCAAGAAGGAGATCCTGCTCCATGTGGCTTCTAGTGCATAAGCAGGTTCCCAGTTGAATCATCATTTGAAAAATTACAAGGAAATGATACCAGTAATGAGGTTGTCCATAGGTAATTAGGTTACATGTGTACAAGTATAGGTACAAATGCAACATTACCCAACCTTGCATAATTTTGATAATTGCTCACAAAAACTATCAGTTCAACTTGGGAAGTTGGCCCAGCAGTGGCAAAAGAGATGCATTCTTGAAGGTGTCACAATTTGTTTGATTGCATGTTTTCACCTAAAGAAATTAAGCCATGGAAAAAAAATCCTCCAACATTTAAGGCACACAATTTCTCCTCCCTTCAAATTGGAATGCTATTTGTGCCTGGAACTGAAAAGTGTACATTTTCCATGATGGAGTGTTCCTCCTCTCCCCACTCATCATGCAGGCAATACATTCGGCCCTCGTTTATCGCGGTTAATCAGTTCCAGACTCTACCGCGATAAGTGAATTTCCGCGAAGTAGGATTCTTTATTTATAAATAGAATATTTTCGTAGTTAGAGCATAGAAAACCTGTTTACGACCTTCTGTATACGGGTTTTAACATTATTAGAGCCCTCTAGACATGAAATAACACTCTTTAGTCACCATTACACTCGTATTACCCAATATATATATATGTATAATTGACTCAGACAACCGAGCGCGCGCTGTATCATTTTCACTGTCTTGATCAACTTTTTAATGAATATATTTGAAAAAACCGCGATAGAGTGAAGCTGCGAAAGTCGAAGCGCGAAGTGGCGAGGGACGACTGTACATTGTTTTGGCTTATTTGCAAACACAACAATATCTGCCTTTCAATTAGATCTGAGGTCTGCTTGAGCTGGCAAGTCAGATTTCATGGCATTTAAAGAGTTTCATAACCTGGCAAGCTTCTGCATCAGTCAGAGACCATACTTCAGCTAAATACTCCAAAGCAAACCATATTTACTTCAGAGTAATATGATGAAACTTACGATGTAATTTGGCCTTAATTGAAGCCTATGAAATGAAGTGCAGAATAACTTTTCAACCATAGTTCATTCATTAAAAGTAAATGAGCAAAATGCACAAAAAATATGTCCACAACAGAATTACTAGGCTTGTTTCCTCTTTTTCTTGGAAGTTGACTTCTTGCTCTTCCTAGCCTCAATACTCTTATTCCTCTTCCTCTTTTTCCATTCCTTCTCATCTGATTCCACACTGGATGAACTGTCACTGCTAGAACTATTGCTTGACTCATCTTTCTGCTTCTTTTCTGGCTGGGTCTCAAGAGCCTGCATCTGAGGGAGGACAACATTGGTTGGATTGGGTCGCTTTGCCAGGTGTTCTCTTAGGTCATCTGTGAGACCTCCAAGGCCAACTGAGATGATTGCAAAACAGATGTTCTGTGGGTTGTCACGTGGGAAGAGGCCCTCAAATGCTCCTTGCAGGGTGGGGTCTTTGATGTGCTCATTGAGCTTCCCCAATCCCATATGTTCAATAAGTTCCTGGAAGAGAAGTTTGATGAAGATGCAACTGGAGCTGGTGGTGTCCTCCTCACTCAGCTTGATATGGGACAAGACCATCCATTGAATTGCATCTGTGTAAAGGAGATGGGCTATGAAGCAGGAGACATTGCTGAGCTTATTGGTATCAAAACGGTGGCAGGTGTTGTATGCATCAAGAAAGATATTTCAAATGAGTCAAAGTAAATCTTGTTGATCTGGCAGAAGTGCTGTGCCAGAAGACCAAAGAATTTCTCATTAGTCTGCTGCTGAGCACAACAATCCAGGATCATGTGACATACCTCAACTTCTTGACCAGGCTTCAGTTCCAGCTTGGTCAGCTTGTGTGCTGCTTCCTCAAAGTCAAGACTGGACTGGATCGTTAGATAGATGGTGTGTCGCAGTGCAACTAGATTCGTCTCAGTACTGTTCAAAATGGTCTGCTTATCCTCAGAATCAGATTCATCTTCATCATCACTCTCATTGCCACTGGTGCTGCCCACATCTTCACCACTTGCTTTATCACCTTCATACAAAATCTCATGACAGAGGCTCTTATACTTTTCTTCATTCTCCTGATATTCTGGATCAGGCTTGAAAACATTGAGGACTTCTTCACCATTTGTGGCATCATCAAGGAGAATAGTGTGGGTGAATTGATTACCTTCTTCAATGAGATCAAGTTCATCTGGAGTGGATGGATTGTCTTTGAAGCCCTCTTTACGGACCTGGTACATCACTTCAATCATGTACTGCACTCTTTTATCCAGCTGGCTCTCATGAAGGACACTTCACAGCCTATCGAATATGGCAGCAATACCCCGTGGTGAGACTTCTGTCAGCTTCATACCACATTCACGAAGGAGACATACTTCCACTGAATCTTCAGTTGGATTCTCCAAGAGGAGTGTGAGGATCTCTGAAGCGAGGATTTCATGGCAGATCTGATGATTGATGAGATGGGCAATGAATCTGGTTGAAGACAGGCAACTATTCTTGTCGTTGTGCTTGAAGCTCCGCCAGAACTGGACAATGAGGCGACAGAGAAGCAGCTCAATGATGGACACCAGAGATGCATAAACAGGAGTGAAGGTAGGAGAGAATGACTGAGCCTGCATTAGGTCCCTGCAGAGGAGGCCTTGACCCCGCACGATGTTCTCCTTGAAGATCTCCCGCACAATCATGGCAACGTTGGATGCATTCACCTCATTGATGAGTCCGTGAATTGACTTCTTCAATGCCTTTCAGGCAAGACGCTGAAAAGCTTCACTTGATTTATGTGCAATTTGTGCCTGCATCATGCAAAGCCTGGCTGGAGGAATGTATGCTCCGTTTATCCAGGTCACGATGACATCATCAGTTTTCTTTGCCCCCTGTTTCCTGACTCTTGGAGTCTTCAGCATGGGATTTTTTTGATGAAGCACCTTCACTCGATTCTTCTTGTCTCTGCTTTCGCCTGTCTCTTGCCTCTACCTGAATCACTTTTCATCATAATATCATCTAAGGCCCTCTTTTTGGGTGGTGGCAGGCAATCATTTGATGCAGGCAGCTCATCTCTCTTCACCTTCATTTCTCCCCCTGCTGTGGAATTCATGGAGTAGCTTTCTGGGTGAGGCTCCTGTCCTGCTCTTTCCCCTGAAACTTTGATTCTTCTGTTTTTTTTTTTTTTGTGATTCTGGTTCACTTGAGAGACACAAATAATGTTAATTTGAAATAAAAAATCACTCCATGAGGAAAATCACATGAAATTGATGCAATAAAACTTTCAGTCTGGATTCGATTCCATAGATTTATCATAGGCTCATAAGATGAACAAGACCTAAATGTTCACAAAGTTCACAAAGGGCAGCCAAAAAAGTAGTAGAGTGTTTGTAAGAATATGCGATTTTTCTTAGATCTTAAAAAGGCAATTCCTGCTGCGTTCCACAAGGGACTGTCAGATAAACTTTTTTTTAATTGGATGGAACATATTCATGATGCCATAAGCGGATAACAGTAAGGACCAATTAAACAACAATGCAAGATTGATCACGAAGAGCCTAGATTAAGATGTCATAACTGTAGAAACTGTTACCATGCCTTTGGGAGCAAGTAAGTGTGAATACCATACACAAACATACGGATATGTTTGCAATATATTATTCTTGACGGCGGATGGACGGTGTTTTCGTTCGCAAAACGCGGTACCCAGTCGGCCATGTTACACGCCCCGCCCAGGTCGCAGCGTCTGCTAGCATGTGAATGGCCTTCCCAGGCATGCGCGCTGTACTCACGTTGGGTCGGTCCTCCCGCGAACCGACCCAAGACGGGTTTTCCGACGCCCTTCCTCAGTCTGGCGAGACCCGTCATCATGCTGGCACAGTTAGTGGACTGCGATGATTTTTTTTTTATCCGGTTCGGTGTCCAATGCCAAAGTTGGGCTATTTCGGCCCAACATAGAAGGAATGCGGCTCACTTGGTCCGTGTTTATCGCTTCTTCTCTGGGGTTAGTTTGGGTTTCGTGCAAACCCAGAGGTGATGAAATGTTAGTCTGAGTCTCTAGCTCCGAAATGATTACGGAAGTGCACATTTTTTCAAGACCACTTTAGATTGATGCATAATGTTGCTCTGAAGTGATTGGTTCTCGGAGCTCTTCGCTTGATCAGCATTATTCAGCGAGAGCATGCAGACATCAATGGCCTTTACCTGTTCCGACGAAAACAGGCGTTCTCGACTGCCCCCATCTCCCGTATGTTCCATTGAGAATGAGGTAAAGCCATGATTCGCGCATTTTGCGGTATACCAAGCGATGCGCTTCTCTTCCTCAATCATCAATCGCGTCAATTACAAATCTCAGTTGGCCTTGGAAAAAACCTGGAGCGGGAACGGATTCTAAACGTGTTCCCCAGTAACAAGAAGCGCTATTTTCGCCCAGGAATCCACTTGGTCGGAGTTTTCCCACTTGCTTATCCAGCCAAGTATCAGGTGGATCATGGTGTCATGAAAGGTTTCCCTTTCCAAGTTTAAATGACCACAGCAAAGATGCCATCTCACAACTCTCTTTAATCCCATGACTGGACATAACAGCATTTGCAGTTGGAAGCCAAAGAAAAAGCTAATTGCAATGGACACAATTACCATGAAACCCAGTCCAAGAACATCAGACCCTCCAAAAATATGTGGCCCATAAAGAGTAGAGAGTGGGGGAATGTCTGCCGTGAAGAGCTGGGTGCAAGAGCAGCGGCCTGCTATTGATGGCTCCCACCTAGCAGCCATTCACCCAAAATTGGCGATAAATACTGACTGGGAAGAAAATGAGAAAACAAATGGATGACGATGCACTCTTGGGCCACTGATACAGTGACGCCATTAGCGGTTGACCAGAACGACCATTGATAGATTTTATTCTTCCAACAACTTTTTTTTCCAGCCGTGACTCGATATGAAAGAAAGACAGGAGAAATGCTGGTGAAGATGGGCAAAGAATGGAAGGCCAGCTTGACGAGCAGCAGGTATGGCTGCAATTGGTTCAGATCTCACCACACGATACAGCGATATCGAGCGAATGTCCTGATTGACACCTCAGGAAAGGACTCCTCATGCACACAACAAAAGGGAATGCACAGAAAAACATCCTGGGTCACATCATTATGAAAAAAATGACCCAATCACAAATGGGAGGCACTTTAAAAAATGGCACATTGAAATGCATTGAAGACTGCAGCTTATTATGTGAAATCATGGAGAGATGTTCCAAAAGTTTCTTTCTTGTAACATTAGCAATAAACATGCCTTACTAAGGGGGATATTCCAGAGGACTTTGGAACAGGTTTTAGTCAAGTACCAGATCTGTAAGGGGTTGAAGAGCAGTTGACCTTGATCCAACTGAGAAGCATGCTTCTACCAGTAGAGAAGAACCATATCAGGGGACTCACTGACATCTTCTGCAATTTTACACATGATGCAATGAAACATGCCTCAAGGATAATAGAAGAAAAGGCTTAACAAGTATCACTGCCTCACAGAGGTGAAAAACAAGGATTTGTAATTTTGAAGACAGTAGTCCTTTCCTGAGAATGCCTCTTTAATTTTCTTCATCAGAATTCAACTTGAGCATGTCATTTGAATCAAGACACAGAGGACTTGGGATAACTTGCTCAAAAAAGAGTTGTGCACAGGGATCATGATCAACTAAAAGGAAAAACAGAACCCTTCCACTCTTTTGCCACTTCCAGGTTCAATAATTTCAATTGTTCACTTGAATGTCATCATTCTGGAATGTCCTTTTCCTACACATCAAGTTGCTTGCATTTCATTTCCAAAAGAAACTTTTTGAAAGCAGTTTCCTTGGACAGGTTTCAGTTGAGCAAACGTTCATGTGGCAATGTTCCATTTCTGAGAAATAAAAAAAAAACAAAAGACAGAGGTGGGGGTAGAAGAACAGAATTTGGTAGTGCAGCTCTTTTCATGCCTGAATAAATTGCCTCTTGGGATGTGATGAGAGTTGCCCTTTAACAGATTCCTGATGGGAGCAAACAGAAGCAAAATGTAAAAAAATTATCAAATTCTCAACATCCACACTAGAGCTGAAAATTCTTAATGAAATGAACTCACCTAGGATGAAGAATAGGCTTCTTAGTAGTCATCCAAATCAATATCATCTAGAAGGTCATTGAGTTCTAATGTCTGGAAGTCTACCTTGTAGCGGAGTATACCTGTAACATATTGAATTAGTCATTAGTTCTTGGACAATATGCTCCAATGTCCTTCATATGAAAAAGATCCAATGAACCTCTACACAAAAGCTGTATTTGAGCTACTTCTACGAGGGGAGGTCCAAAAGTTCCTGTTCTGACTATGATAGAAACATCAGAGAGATAAGGTCTTGTTATCTCTATGTAGGCCTACTCTTAGTATATAAGAAGCCACAACTTCAGATTTTTCCTGTCAGTTGTTGTTTATCTGTAGTCTGCTAAACACGGTTATTCTTGCAATGGACAAATTAGAGTACAGGGCAGTGATAAAGTTTTTGACCAAAGAGGGTCGGACACCTTCCGAGATTCATCAACGGTTGGTTGGCGTGTACGGGGAGAATACCCCCTCTCAGACCACAGTGAATAATTGGTCAAAACTTTTTAAATGGGGCAGAGGATCTTTAGAAGATGATCCTTGAAGTGGAAGACCGATCGAAGCGACTTCGCCGGACATTGTTGAACAGGTGGAACAGCTGGTGTTAAATGATAGCCGCCTGAAGAAAAAGGAGATCTCTCTCATGGTCGGAGCATCGCCCACAACAGTCCTCAGAATTTTGCATGACCATGTCGAAAGTGAGTGCAAGGTGGGTGCCTCGAAACCTTTCCGCAATTCAAAAAAGAGCTCGAGTGAACTGTTGCCGCTTTTTTGAGAATGTGTGAGGCTGACCAGGAGGCCATTTTCGATCGAATAGTCACAGGGGATGAGACTTGGGTCCACCATTATGACCCTGAGCAAGCAAGAGTCCATGCAGTGGCACAAAAAAGGGGGTCCTGCTCCAATCAAATTCAAAACTGCTGCATCAGCTGGAAAAGTGATGGCCACCATCTTTTGGGATGCGAAAGGAATACTGTTAATCGATTACAAAGACAAGCACACTACAATTACAGGAGAATACTATGCTAATGTCCTACGCTCTCTGAAAGAAGAAATCAAAAGGAAAAGGCGAGGACTTTTGAGCAGAGGTGTCCTGTTGCTGCACGACAATGCCCCGGTTCACAGGGCACAAACAGCAATGGCCACTCTGGCCGAATGCGGTTTCCAAGAAATCAGTCACCTGCCATACAGCCCCGACCTCGCCCCCAGTGACTATTACCTGTTCCCTAACTTGAAGCGGGACCTTCGTGGTCGTCGATTTGAGAGCGACGAATTGCTGAAAGACACTGTGGAGGCCCATTTCGAGAGCAAGGAAGAAAGTTACTACAGAAGGGGTATAGAGCTACTTCATGAAAGGGCCAACAAGTGCATTCGTCTTAAGGGGGAATATATTGAAAAATAATACCTTGTTCAATTTTTTAATAAATTTTTTTCTTAGTCAAAACAGAAACTTTTGGACCTCCCCTCGTAGCTCAGCCCACAGGCTGCACAAGGTCATGGTAGGAGGGACTGATAAAAAGTTAAAGAAACAGCAATATCTGCAAAACAGTACAAAAGAAGCTCTGTTTTGTTTTACTGCAAACAATTCCCTTCTTCATTTGTGGATATGGTTTAGGTAGAGGAGAAAGATGAGAGAAACTTTGATTTGCACCAGAACAAACAAATCAAACCATTGCAGACCTCCACAACAAATATCCACTATTCATTGAAAAGATGTTGGATTCCTGGGGCCTCAATTCAATAATAATTCACCCAGGATGGGGAGAATACCCTTTAAAGAAGTACACTTCCAATATGGACAATTTCACAGAAATTACAACTTAGCTAGGATTTCTCCCTTTTAATGTCTCTCTCCCTACTTATCAAGGAGGCAAGCAGCCAAGCAACTTCATGGAAATTTCTGGTGCAGAAGTGGCATTATGGCAAATGCAAGGCTCCTTCACTGAAATGCAGTTCACAGGAAACAAAAGCAACCCAGTCTATACCTATATGTGAGACACCTATTCATTTTTTGTGAACTTTGTGGACAGAGCTATCAACAAGTGGCACTAGAAAAAAGAGGCAGTTCTGACTCATGCACAAGTTTTAGTGCTCCTTCCTCACAGCCATGTCTGATTTGCTTAATGAGTAATAGTTGCTCATAGCACAAAGCAATGGGGGAGGTTACTTCCTCTCCATCTACAGGCACATTCAAGTCTGGAAGGCATATATCTATGTAATGGCATTAAACGATCATAAGATCCTTTGTGATAAGAGACACAAGTTTAATATGCAAAGATGTGACAAGAGAAAGATGTATGTATAATATGTTAGTGGGTGAAACTTAGAGTAGGATTGTTTCATTAACACTTTTCAGGGAAAATTTTCAGCTCATTTTTTCAACATGGTGTGACCATTGCTTTCTCACATTTCTGACAACAGACTGGATTAGGAAAAACTGATGTCACATGGAGTCCAACCATGGACTGCAACAAGAAAATAATAATGTTAGATTCTGTCCAACAGAAGTGCCCAAAAGCATCAATCAAGCCCCAATTCACTCAATGGGCTGGGGCACTACCACTACCGATATTTCTTTACTGATTTTTGTTTCTTAAAAATGATGAGAAACCCTTACAAAAAGATTTTTAATCTAAGGCAATTAGTTTTCAATAAATTAATTTTTTTCTTAGCATGAGAGAAGAGCCCAATTTAATAAAATATAAAAAACAGCATAACTTTGATGAAGCTAACTTCCACTGTCACTGGTTAATTATGAAACTGGCTTCAGCAGTTACAAAAGACTCTGGAAAATTCATTCTTTCAAAGAAAATTATATTCATTGATATTATTTAATTAGATTATTTAGATACATATAAATATATTCATAACATAATAACTCTCCCTCAAAATTTAAAAATGTTGATGACATCTCCTGTCTGCAACCAAGGAAGGATATTCAAATATTAACCTCTCTAAAATAAAAACTACTTTTCAATCATCTTTTGCAAACCTGGTGAACCTGCTGAAGTTGTGAAAATGTCTAAATTTCTGGTTTCCTGCAAATTTCATGTTCTTTCTGTGATAGGCAGGGGAAATATGGCCTTTTGAAACTGGTCTGATCACTCTCATTTGAGGCTCTGTTAAATCAATGGCATTATTTTAATTTAATAATTTCAGTCTGCTGGAAGATGAAATAGATTCATATCAGAGGAACTTCAATGGAACCAGATCAGTCTTTCAAAGCAGACAATTACTTGTCAGGAATTACAATTACATACAAAGACATCTTGAGTAGAAGCACTTGCTTCAAAAGCCTGCAGTGTGCATATGATCTGATTTTTTGGTTCATTCATGTGAAAGCCTGCAGATAGGTCTGTCTAAAAGACACTCCGCACAGCTGCAAGCATCTGAAATGTCCACAACATATGGAAGCCCATATACATAGAGGCACATCAAGAACTGGCACTCAAAGCTGATTTACTAATGGTGACCATACACTGAACCAGGAGTAGTTTAACTCTTTCATGGTCAGTGGTACAGAAATTTTACCACCATCTTTTAATGTATTGAAGCATGGTGGTATAATTAATTTACCACCTATTTTGACACCAAAATGAGTGGTAACATATACAATACTTCTTAATGATTGTGTTTATTGTGTTCATTTATGTCTAGTAAATGTATCTTATTAAAATTTTTTCTGAAATTAAAAACTTATGCAACAAGGGATTTTTTTTCCCTGAAAATTTTGGAGCATGAAAGAGTCAAGTACCTCAGATCAAGGTTCAAAGAAAAAAACTGACAGGATGGTGATACTAGAATTACTCAGGCACTTGTACTACATAGCACTTCCAAACACTTGGCCTCCTGGCGAGAACAACGTCTGCAGACTAAGATGGACATCTGCAAGATGATCTTACCCATGCCTCTGTACAACAGTGAGACCTGGATCCTAGGTGCCAGCAGTAAGAGCTACCTTCGATGGGCTGCAATACTGTCCTTAAGGGGCAGAGTCAGCAGCAATGACATCAGAAGGACTCTGGAAACGTGGACAATCCTTTGCAAAGGGGCACACAGAGTTGTGAAGTGTGCAGAAAGACTGGAGAATATGCTTCCCTCGAGGCAAGATGCAATTAACCAGGTGATGTCAGTGACAGGCAAGAGGTTGAGTGGAAGGCCATGATAGTGTTATGCAGTTATCAGTCTGCTGATTCATGATCTGGTGTCCACAGTCTCTACCTCCTGGGAAGGTGAAAAGAGTGACATGCCATACTTTGAATGCATGTACTTTTTCCTTGTGTCTAAGTTAACCAGAAAGAAAATAAGAATTAGGGTGGATTTTTGAACAGAGAACTATCTGATAATGCTACTTTATTTAAGGGAAAATACATGATATTTCCTGGAAATAAAGCAGCAGTATTGGATAGTTCTCTGTTCAAAAATCCATCCTTAATCACTCGAATGAGAGAGGACATTTCAATACTGCAGTCAAATAAACTTGTATAATGAAAATATCTTCTAAAATTAAGCATAAAATACTGCTCAACTAGGACAGCAACTAAGTTTCATGCATGGAAACATGTAAGCTACCATATTACATGGGTGTCCTGAATCTCCTTGGGGTTTGCCATATCAGGAACTCTAATATAGAAATATTTGGTGAACCAGCAATGCAGAATGACTTCAAATTGATCCAATTCTATTTACATGCAAGTTGCAAAGCTTTTAGAATTTATTAGGTCTAGCAGGTAGGAATTATTTAATTGCATCAATAAAATCAGTTTAATAAATCCTTATACAAGTGATCAAACCTATTTCAATAGACCATACTCCATCCATCACAAAAGGAACATGAAATTGTCAGAAATGATTGTCTACATACACGAGCATTAACCCTTTGACTGTTATAACAAAGGGGGGATTGCTGATACATTTTCATATAAAAATTGGCCCTGCTTGTCAATAGTTTATGAAAGAAAATGTCATATCATAACTATTGAAAATAGCAGTTACAAGCATAAATAGCTGTGGAATAATCCTAGAAATAGTGAATGTTCTGAGCCTGAGAGCATTGTTATGCTGCCACTACACAAGCCTGAGTATGTACTCTGGCAAACAGCCAAAGGGTTAAAAGCAGGGGTTTTGCTAGGTTTCTTGCCGTATGGGTCCCTGGGACCCTCAGGTCTGATATGGAAGGGTCCCCTGATAATTAAGGGGGTTACTTTCCAAGTGAAGCACAAGGGAATCTTGAACAGTCCCCCAAAAGTAAAAGTCCAGCAATCCATGTGTATATGCCGACCTAACATAACCAAGCAGTATAATATTCAATCTGGCAGTCTTGGGCCTTCTGCATGTGCATCTTGAGGGTCCCAGGACCCCTGGGAAGCATGGGCAGGAGGCCAGGGTGAGAATCTTAGCACAACCTTTGATTAAAGCAACTCTCTTGGCAGACAGGTATCAGCTATCTGATATTTTGAAATTTGCACATCTTCAGCATCCTCTACCTCAGGTCTGTAAAGATTGAATACCAGCTATTAACAGGCAAATTTTTAAATACTCCTGTGAGGAATCCACTGTTCTTAAATCTAGACAGGTGGTGTTAATCATAAACTTTTGGAAAACTTGAGGGAAAATGTCAACATTCTAGGAATAATAAGTACTTAAGTATCTAAAAAAAAATGAATGTACATGATTTCCTTCAGAAAAATGGATTTTCCAGTCTCCTCTTCCCACTAAAGTTAGCTCAAACAAAATTGGGCAGTAGCTTCATAACTCATAACTAATCAATGTTAGGCTGTTATTACTAAATTAGGTTCTGCACCCTACTGTAAAAAAGTTCAGTGCAATAATTCTGCCTTTCACCCAGAAATAAACCCTCCAATGAGACATTGGTGGCTGAGCTTACAGGACACAAGTGAAGACAAGGGACACAAGCAAAAGCGCCAAATACTAGTTCTCTTTAAAAACAAAAATAAATTTAAAAATCATGGCAAAATGAACTTCCTTGACTCACAAGACAGCTTCTCAGTTAAAGCCTTGAAATTTTCAGGAGAGTAAAATATCTTGCTCACAAACCATTCATCAACCAGTCTAAAATCTAGTCCTCCCTGCCCTTGATGTTCCAACAACCCAAGAATCAAGGACCTCACCTCCTATGCCTCCAAACCCTCTGACGAACTGTGAACCTTCCTGTGATCGGTCAGTGATGATCTCAAGGGTGGCTCCAAAGTTCTTGTAGTTGTTGGCCAGCCATTCCAGGAGTGCCATGCACTCTATGAGCTCCAACTCCACCCCAGTCTAAAAAATAAATAGAGAAGAAAAAAAAAGAAGGAATGAAATAGAGTAGCATCTCCAGTTTCAGGATCATGTCCACAGATTCTAGGGAGGAAACAAGTGCTGAATGAAGCAAGTTATGATTTTCATTATATTCAGAAGTCCCTGAAAGACAAACCTCCTTGTCAGTGAAGTGAGTCTTGTCTTTCTCCTGCTCTGGGTTGAGGTGCAAAACTTTTTCCTCTCCCGTCTGATGGTTTTTGAGGACAAAGCGTGTGATGTCCAGGTTCTCCCAACAGATAAGCGTCTCTACAGCTCCCAATTCCAGTGCTTTCAGTGTATCCTCCACACCGAAGCAATATTTTCCAGTGTCTTGACTGATCTCATCAAAGTACCGCCCTGGACAAGTTATATCATAGTTTCAACTGACAAAGATTTGTGTCAAGCAGTAGTTTAAAGAAATATGTAAAATGTATGTGTCTCATTCTCCTAAAGTTATTAATGAAGAGTCTTGAAATGACCTTCAAGCCATACCTACAGGGAGTTATAATGAAAGTATCACAATTATACATTCCAGTTCACCCTCTTTTGTTAAAAAAAAAATGTTGCTGAAGATAGTCCAAGGATTCAGAAGCCAAAGCAAGTTAAAAATGCACAACCAGCAAGTTGGAGTTCACATGTGCAATGTGTCAATCTTCAGGACTGAAAAGCTACTTTCATGTCCATATAAACAATGTTTGAAACCATCATGTGCTGCCTCAAGTTCTTTTGACCTCTGAAAGGGCTCTCCGTGAAAGCAATGCTCTTAGGGGAGAGACCATCCTTTTATGAATTCACCAGGGTTAGTGGTGTAGATATGCAGATACTCATTTCAGGATTTAAAATCGCTTAACTTCTTTGAACTGGAAACAGAGCATGTGCTTATTTTATGGATTTGCTGATTTAATTAGATCTTGTTTAGATAGGAGGATGGGGTGCCAGAGGCCTTCTTTGTAGACCTATAGGAGTTGTACCATGCTTTTAATATTTCCACAGTGCAAACATGCAACTCTCTACATGTATGAGGCACTACAAAATGCACTCTTCTGGCCATGCATATGTGCAAGGGTACAGACTGCAAATTGTTAAACAGTTGTGTTTCAAGAATTCTAGGACTTACTTCAATTTTCTTTTATATAAAAAGGGCAAACATAAATGAGTAAAAATAAAATGCTGCAGAATCCACACATTCATTCCATAAACATAAAAATTGTTAAATACATTGTTTTAATTGGGACACCCCTACTTTATAACGTAGGCTCCTAAAGATCAGGCTTTTTCAAGAGTTGCTTCAAGAAATTCATTTTGTCCATCTGGTAGCCATACAATCTTACTTTACAAATGGCATGCAAAGGTTTTTAAAAGTGGCATTTATTTGGATCGAAAGCCTTGGAAACTGAAGTGGTGCTTCAAAAGCAACACTATAAAACAAACACTAATGTACCACTATTTTGCAATCACCTCTTCAATTTAAGTGTTTCATTCCCATGGGATTGAGAATTAACCACTATATCACCAGTTCCCAACATTTTCCTTGGTGTGACCTGATTCTGACAGCAGAAAATTCTTGCAACCTATACATCATGCACAGACAAGATTAACATTTGCCTGTTGAAAATATGGCATTATAAAAAACGTTTCTATAAATCACCTATAAATCAGGCAGCTTTGTGACCCCGTTTTCCATCGCCTCAACCCCAAGGTTAGGAACCACTACATACTATAAACACACCTCAACATAAAGCAAGCACCCTATTTCTTTTGATGCATTTGCTCTTGACAAATGATTTTATCATTAGTTTTTACTCACATCTGTCAATGGCAGCGGAGACATTAACAACATGAATGGAGCAGAAATGATAAATGAAAAATAAGCTAATGCAACCGAGCAACCATGCCAAGTTTGACTGATACACTTGCACTTTAAAGTTAGGCTATACAGATGGCTTTGAAATCTTGATGGATATACTGAAATTTATAACTTTAGACCTTTCTTAATCATCAATAGCAATGAGAAAAAACAATTAAAATGTGTTTGATGGTTGCTACCATTGTAAGATAGTTAAGTCTCATGATGATGGAAACAAAACTCATAACTGACAAGCTTTTTGAGTGAACACCTAACAAAACCCAACATTCCCTCAGGATTTTCCACCAGGTTGAAGTGAGATCACAAACCAATGAGTTTCTTCTCCTGGATGAATTTAACATTTGCCAAGCTCCCTGATGCCAGTTCAATGGCTTGATTGAACCCATTCTCTCCTCCATAGGAAATATCCACAATCTTGATTACTTTTGCCTGTAGTCTCTGCAAGTGAAAAAAAAAACCAGTGTAAAGGGTCAATACAAAGTCCAAAACAATAAGAGAATAATACTGAGTCCAAAACAGTGTGAAAGGTCAATACAGTCAGACTTCTTGGCCTTGAATGAACTAATAATACTCAGGTAAATTATCTTCATGAGAAAAAAAAAAACTATTCCTAAATGTGAAAAATAATGAGGTGTGGTACTCACAGGATCAAACATGTCAGACTGTGAAAGCTCTGTCTTGAAATCTGCAGAGCCTGCCAGGACAAGGCCAGTGATGTTTGCCTTATCATTTGTAATGAAGAGCTGAGTTGCCACCTCAGCTACCTTCCTCACATAATTGTGTCTCTTCTCCATTCTCAAGCGTGCAAAACGCAAGGCAGACTGACCTCCTCTTCCTGGAAAGAAAGCAAATACATATATCATTTTCCCAGATAACAAGTGATTTTAATTCAATTCCCATCCCTTTCATCGTCTGCATCTCACCATGCTTCTTTGGGAGATCCACAGTGAACTTGTGGAGAACTTCTCTCGTGTTCCCTTGTAGTGTTCCAAACAAGGTCCCATTTCCATCCATGACAATGAAACCAAACTTGTTGTCATCAGCCAATAGAGCATTCAAGGCTTCTGTGTGGAACTAAGGAAAAGACAATGATGTCACTACTTAATCATTCTTCGAAGAGAAATTTCTTCTAGAAGGCTTATGCACACTGAATGCAATGCCAGTAAATTATATGTAAAGAGCGACAAGAAGCTGCATGTGAAGGTCACAATTTTTTATGGTTAGTACTATAGTCACAAATGTGTACAGCTGATACAACAGATCATGCTATACTCCAACATATTCATGATTCATGGTTGGTAAACTCAAATAATTCAACAGACCAGTATACAAGGGATTGTTCAGGCTGTACAGAGAAGATCTTCTTTAAGTGCTGCTTCTCTCAAAGACCAGAATTATTATTAAGTACATTAACTACAGCAGTTCTTCATGAATATAATACAAACTGCTGAGCATGACACAATGAGTCTGTATTTACCTTCTATCATTCTCAAACTGAGAATTCATGAACTGCAAATTCATGCTTCTCATCTAACCCAGAATATATTACCTCAATATCTGTCCAATGGCATTTAAAGCACCTCAACTATTAATTTTAGAAGGAAGAGCACCCTAATGAAGCAATACTGCCTTTGGCTACCACATCCTTGAAAATAACCACACAAACACATAAGAATGCCTCAAGTTACAGAAATGGATAAATCTGATATACATGATAATGACAGAAACTGTTCATACCTACAACCAGCTACCAATATGCATGACCACCACTATCAGCATGACAACTAGCTTTTTATTCTTGGAGCCATACTTAAACACTGACCATTACAACTTCAAGTAGATCTAGTCTATACCATAGATTTTGCCTAAGACCAGAGGAAGCTAATAATGAAGATTATCTGCATGAAAGCCTGTGTTGGATTCACAGCTCTTTTTCATGCTTAACTGATGAAATTGAAATGTCAGGATTTTTAGTACTTATACTATAGCACCAATTACTATTGGTAGAAAAGCAGAGACAACACATGGAATACTATGTATTGAAAGATTTGAGAGAAAATTTGATATTGCAACTCTAGAAACCATCATGAAAAATAGCAGCTGAGGTTCTCAGCTGCTACTTCTCACGACAGCAGTTCTCAGATGAGAACATACCTGATAAGAGGAAGCAAAGTCTCCTACATGATAGTGAGCAAATTGGCAGCCAGTCACAGGATGACTTCAGGATGCCAAATCAGTGGCCTTTCACAATACCCTGTCCCTATTATTATTGCATGAGAGGATGTTTGCTTTGATATCTCCTCCTTTGGGAGGAGATATCAAAGCAAACAAAGTAATTTGTCTTTTTTCATCTTTTTGTGTGCTGACTTATTAAATTAAAGGTTTAATGCCTTGGCCAAGGAGAACTAAATGTTACCTTGTTATCACAGAGGTAGAGTGAAGTGTTGATAGGCTTGAATGGCTCAAAGTCAATGTTGACCTTCTTCTCTTTCCCCTCTTCAGTGATAATTGTTCCACAGTATATCACCAATCCATTGGCAGGCACTGCACAATTCAGAGGATAAATATTTCAAACAAGCTGTATAAGCTTAGCCCCAAGTTCAACTTTTCTATGTTAACAACTTTCTTAGTTCAATTCATTCTTTAGCCCCAGCTTATGCCATGTGGGCTTGGGGAATCACCATCCATAGCCTGAAGCTGGTGGGGGTCTTGAATATAACAAAAATACTTTTCTAATATGAAAATAGAGTCTTCCACATGGAGAGTACGAGTCTTTAAGAAGGTGCAATTAAATCATATCACAAACTCAGCACCTGAATATCCAATACTCGACCTCCCAACAAGAACAAAAAGCAAAGAGCTTACATTCAACATCTACATCTCTCTTCATGTGGTCCATCAACATGATTAATTTGATTTCTACTCATGCCTGATACACACCTGTGCCAGTTCACTTATGGGTATGTACTATGTTTCCATTATTCAATTTTATCTAGTGAACTTGTGAGAACCTGCTGGATATTTCTTTTAATAATTTTCTGTCACAATTAAAAATGTATTATTGTTGCATTGTTGCTTTGTAAGTGGAGAATGAGCAGGTAGATGAGCAGGACTAGTGGACAGAAGTCACACATTCATACCCTCCCAGCTGCCAACCCCCTAATCTCCTTTCACAAAATGGTGCATGCATCTTTGTGCATCTGTTTCAAACCTGGTAATTTCAAGTGGATCACTTGAAATAAGATGACAGGTGGCATGAAAACAGATCAAGGTTAGACTAAGCAACAAATTTCTGATGCACTGAAGAAAAGTCAATCAAACCTTTTGTGTAGAGTTTTAGGCGATGCTGAACAGATGTGATTGCACCAAGAACAGAGAGTTTGTTCACACGGGACTTGATATTGGAAGCTGTGCCTAATTCATCTGCTAGCATCTTGCTCACCCTTGAAATCTGGTCCTTGGGTGGGATTATGAGTGAGATCATGCTCGTTCCATTGCTGGAATTGAGAATTATTGAAAAAGTTTATTTGAAATTTAGATAGAACTAGATAGACCTAAGGGATTTGCTATCTAATAGGTCAAGCACTTACCCTCTAGCAGCTTCCAAACTTTTGATTAGCTTCTTGATCTTCCAAATTTCAACATTCCGATCAGCTGAATTTTCGTCTGAATTTAAGGACATTCTGGAAAGGTCTAATATTTTTCAACTGCAAATCAGACCTGAAAGAAGCCTATAAAAAACCTCTTTTGATGAAAAACAATGGAATTCACTGCAATAAATTGATGGGCAAGCCATCTATGCACATTAACAAATTGATCCCCATATCCATCACATGATGGCCTAAACCCATAGTATATTCAGGAATGAGAGACTGTCTAGGCAATAAAATTAAAATCAGACCCAACAACATGTGCAACTACTGTTCCTTTTCAGAATACATCATGTAATTCTGCTAGTAGGAATCTCAAGAATCAGTTAGGAAGAGTTTCACTCATGAGTATAGAAAAGCCAAGATTAACTCAGTAAAGAAAAGACCACTTAAAACCAGTGCAAAATGATATAAATTTGAGTTCCTTAAATTTTTGATGCAATGCAATTGAAATTGCTGAGCAATTCACAAGCCTGTCATCACTTTAGGACTTTGACTTCCAATATTCATTATATTATTATGGTTTCAAGTATGATGGTGTGCATTCTCCAGTTAATGAAATATGCTACACCCTTGAACTGCCAAGGGCCTAGGCAGCAATCATATCAAGATCTGCTCTAAAAATAAAAATAAAAATTTGCTATCCAAGACAGACACTTTTCAGTTGGCTGGAGCTAGGACCTGATAGAGGGAAACATGCATCCCAAATTAAGGTAGGTTATGGACCAGTTCATAAACCATAGATATAGGACAGGTTAATATGATCATTTAAGATAAATAAATGGTGGTGTAGTTTCCTTCACTACTTGCACTTGATTTGGATTGATTTACAAGCCACAATTCTCAAGTTACAACCAAATCCCTCCTTGAGATAGGAAGTTGCACATATTGAAACATGATATGGTACTCTGTGATATTTAAAAGCAAAGAGAACTACCAAATTAAACAGTTCCAAAAGTACCATGGCTTGTGAGGAAATCAGAACATAGAATTGAAATCTGGGGACTTTCTATATTAGGGTATTTATTGGTCTAGGCCAGGGGTCGGGAACCTTTTTGGCCATGTGAGCCACATTAAGATTGAGCTAAATGCTTGTGAGCGAAAGATTTGCAATACATAATTTTTCCTTAAGTTGGATACATACATATGCATTTCAATGATACATGAGGAAAATGAGGAACAACCATGATTTTCGGCCATGACTCAATGAGCCATAGGTTCCTGACCCTTGGCCAAGGCAGTAGCATCCAAAGTGCATAGTCAACACCTTCATCATGACTTAGGCCTGTTAGACATTAATCTAAACCAGGTTCTTAGGTCTTAACTTGTATGCTGAACCATAACCTCATAAACCATCAAGTTCTTAAACACCACTCAGGCTGAAAGAGGTAACATCAGAGAGAACAGTTGCCTTAGCATCACCATATTCAATAGTCAGAGCATAGATACTGGATGGGCAGCATGATTATATCTTGAAAATGGAACTGTCACATTGGCTTCAGGGCTAGAGAATAAATCATTGCAATTTAAAGCACACATGCACACAGACAACCATGCAAGCACTTTACCGGAACTCACCCATGTAGTAACAGATTTAAAGTTCTCAGGACAGTCCATGAGCTGATAGAGATGTGTTTGGGGGGGCTTCAGAGCCACAGAGAGAATATTTATAAGTTATGTCGGGGGAATGATGGTTCTTCCATATACAACTCATAATGCAACTACCTTACATATCTTAAAATATAAAAACTGACATTCCAAATGGCTACTCTAGGCAACTCTGTTAGTCCAATAGGCAGACAACTCATAACTCAGGCTGTACATCAGTGAATTTTATTTTATTTTACGCTAAGAAAAATTGGAATATTCCTATAATTTGTCTTTAAAGTGACTTACATCACTGCATGGGAAGAGTCAAAGGGTGTCACTGAAAGTGCTTCATAATGGTGTTTTAGCAATGTAGAAGCCAGTGACTGACATCAAGACTCAGCAGTCTGTGAATGACCACAATGACATATCAACACATTTAAAATGTCAAACTTGCAAATTTAAAAATTAAATTCTTTGAACATTGAAACAAGTTTTATATTTAAAGCATTTTACCTGTCTAGACCTTTGTCTATTTCTTTCAAATAAGCCAATCGTATCCTAAATGGAAGTGACCCAAGATGTAGGGTAGTGTGTCTAGGGGTGGATTTACAAATGTAGGCATACTTGTGTGAGACATTGTCCCCAACAACCATTGTCATCGAAGGTGATTCCATGAAATAGGAGTCTTTTCCCTTCCTTGAAAGTGGTTCTACAAACAATGGTCATCCATAGGGATGCTATCATGTGGGTTACTTCCACATGGGTGTACTTGAATGCATAAATGCAAATAGGAAGTTTCCAAGAGTTATAAATGCTGATTTTCCACACTTGGGATGACATGCACCAAATCAGTTTAAGCTAAACTAATCTGATCTCACAAAGGTCCCCCATGGGAATCAGTTTAACCTAGATAAACTTATTCCCATAGACACCCATTATGAAAACGAATCAGTTTAAAGTTAAACGAATCTGGTGCATGTTGTCCTTGGTCTTTATTTCTGCATTCCCTACTGGAATTCCATAATGTCTGTGCTGTTTTCTTGCAAATTGTTTTTCCTCTCCCTTTTCACAAGTTAACCTTTTCAGACCCAGCAGCTGAAAACTAAGGGAAAAAGCACAATATTTCCATGACCTATGGAACTTGAGAGATTACTAATTTAGAATTTGTGTTACAGATTGTACAGTACTTTTCTGCCATTCTGGAAGAACATATTGTGAAAATATATAAATACATCATTATATATATGGATATATATCCATTTTTGAGATATTAGTGAAATGAACCATTTCTCATTTAAGAAAATGCCTTTTCCACTTGCATATGCTTCTCCAGGGCTGAATTGGTTCATCTGTGCAAGTCCACAGAATTTCCCATCCCATGACAGGGAATTGCCAAAACTGTCAATGGCTGCCTCCTGATAATCATAACATTACTATGGTAATGCAGATGAAAGCAGTACAGGCTACCAAGTGATAGGCAAAAGTTTAGTGACTGAAAGGAAATATTTATTAGAGCGAGAGGAGAGTCCTTCCCTGCTACAGAAGGATGTTATGCTACTTCCTTCACTTGAAAAATTTTCTCCTCATATTAGTACTTTACTTCTTTTTTCACCTGGAAACCCTGGCTTTGAGAATTAGTCATCTAAGTTAGGAAAATGAAAAAATTTCACTTTAAAAGTATCTTAGCCCTTTAAATGCTATTGATGCCCATAGGCAGCACAATACCCAATAGAGCAACAAAAACTCAGCTATCAAAGGGTTCTGATCACTAAAATCTTTTCTTTCCGGTTCAACCTAGTCTTAGGCTTAACTTTTAGGCAAAGCTTACACTGGAAGTTGATGAAACAATGTAGCAACAGTAAAGAATGCACTTTGCATTAAGACATCTGCCTTAATTGACTTCACTGCCTTTCAGCTGACTGAATATGCCAAGCAAAGTATGCTTTTTTTTATAATTACTTTCTGGCTAAATAAGAGCATCTCGAACTAAAATGGAAACTTGTCAAATTGCACTGAAAAACATTGTAGGCCTACTAGAGTTAAGTGAAGCTACAGCCCATTTTAATTTAGTTTAACAAGTAATTCAGTTCCCTGAACTGAGCAGATAATACATTTCCAGACAATTGAGTTGCTGTTAAATGGAGATAAATTAAAGCTTGGGTTGAACTAAATTAAAGCTCATCTATACCAATACTCAAAACTTCATAAAGAGTTCAGTTACTGAGTCATCTAGTCTAATGTCACCTTGCATAGCATGACCTAGACATGCTTTCACTATGCCCCAGTGAATTGCAAACTTCACTCAATCAATATGAAAAATGAGGACTGAGGCCTACAGATGAAAATCCTCACAAAGTGCCAACACCATGACATTCTCCGATTGATATGCATATGTTGTCTTCTCTTAGTGTCCACAAGGCTCTGATCCAATCCATACCAACCCCAAGCCAATTAATGGCATTTCAGGCCAACTAGAGTTGTGCCTGTACAAAATGCAACATGTTATGGTTCCCAAAAAGCAGAGATTTTATCATGTGAACCCAGTTTCCTGTTAATAGCCTGCTTTACCTCAAGCTCTTTTGAAGGGAGCTCAGAGAAAGTACTTCTCACTTAACTGCAGTTCATTTCCTTTTAAAAACTGAAATGGGGGCAGTTTAATGTTAGTTCCGTTTCAGCTAGCTGGACGTATACTAAACTGAAGAACTATTGGCCAATGCCGTTCGCTTTTCTCCCGTTCAGTTGACTTGGAATAACTAAAACTGACATGAACTGACTAAACCACACGGAGTCATTGCCTAGCGGGGCTAAAAACCTTGAATTAGCCAGGGCCTAAGCTTGGTAGCATACGATAACCTAACGTTAAAGCTTGGCCTAGATTCACAGGTCTCAGCTACGTTAGGCCTAACGCGTAATGACTATCAACAGACCCAGGCAATGGACGATTAACATTAAGACTAGCGTTAAGTCGGGCTAAGTGACCCCTTATCTCTGCGTAATATCCAAGACAGATGCCGAAAGGACGTTAGACTATGCCTACACGAGATAAAGGGGCATTGGTAGGCATAATTCACTCACTTTCGATACGGGTATGCCTGAAGAAGAGGCTCTAATTAGTGTTATTTCGAGTAGAAAACTCAATGTGGGACAGAACAGCGCAGCACTTCCTGCATGTGGCAGTGCCCTATTACTGAGAGTGACGTAGAAACAGAGCTGCGAAATAAGCAGGTCGTGGCACTATCGCAAAAGTGCATTCTACGACTTAGAAATCCATTCCTTACTTCCGAGAAATGGACGTCAGCGGATGCGTCGCAACGCAAGGAAAACCCTTCACACGGTATCATACGTTTTTACGGCATCTTGCAGCTTTCCTAACCGCTCGGAAGGCTCGCAGTGACTAACTTAGAAGTCGTGTCAGCAGACGCGAACGAATGGCGCAAGTGCGAAGCTCAGCCACAGCGGGCCAGTCAGACGTCCAGGAGCACCATGAGGATCGCCTTGTCCAGACCATCCCGAGAAAGTGAGCTCTCGATGGGTCTTCCCTAGCCTTTTTTCAGTGACTGGACGTCGTCCCATCGAACCCTTGCTCGTTACATAACCGTCGCGAAGATTTACAGTACATCCAAAAGTTTTTTTTAGAGAGATGTCACTGAAGTATAAAAGACAAATACACGAGGCAATAATTGCATTAAGGATGATCCCAATGTTCTCCCTACTGTCATCATATCTCAGCTTGGAAGAATGCAAAATTGCTGGCCATATGAAAGCATCCGGCTTCTGAATCCTGCCGAGACCTAAACAAAATGTTTTGTCGATTTTCACGATCAGAGTGGCTCCATTGCAAGACATTCAGGAAGCACAACATTGTCAATCCCAAGCATTTCAGCGCATTCATCGTCATCCTTGGGTGCTTCTCATGCCTCAGGCTATGTTGCATTCGAACAATTGAATGAATCTGAGTGAATTTATGGAGAGAGCTATTGACTTGGTGGATAGATGGGTTGACATAGATCTACAAATCCCGCTGAATCTGTGGACCAATTTGGCTGTAGAGAGTGGTCAACATGCCCTTGCTTCACAGCAAGACTTAATTTAAATTTTATGGTGATACTTTAACCAACACCTGGGAGTGGGAGAGAAAGTTCTGGCGTCATCTATTGCACAACTGGTGCAAATCTTAATCGAGGTCAACATGCCCTTGCTTCACAGCAAGACTTAATTTAAATTTTATGGTGATACTTTAACCAACACCTGGGAATGGGAGAGAAAGTTCTGGCGTCATCTATTGCACAACTGGTGCAAATCTTAATCGGAGTTACATTCTTGATTATTTATTCCATCACTAAAAGAATATGATATCATTACCGTGTTTGAGCCTGTGATTCTTTCACTCCACTAATCTACTCACTGGTACACCTCTCCTTTCCCCTTTACATAGAGATCGTTTGCTTGGAATATTCACCGTAGCAGAGTTCTGTCGAAATTCGACATGAAAAGGTCATGTAACATAATACATATGTTGAATCAGGGATTTTTCTCTCAAAATAAGCAAGGAGCCAAGGAATCCATAGCCGAAAACCGGATCCTCTTCTGTCCCCTCTTCTCCATCACCTTCGCTTGTTTCCTCTTCTGGACGTTGGAAACTGATGCCGGGTTGACCATTAAAATCTGCGCTGTGTCGTGAATTGTCCTCCTCTCTTTTTGCATATTCAGGATGGTCTGCTGTTCTTGAAGGGTCAAAGATTTTCCCCTACTCCGACGCGTTGACACGATGTCGAAGGGAGTAAAGTGGGCCCATAGGACCATTGTTACCCCAAGTATGGGAAGTATACACCTACTACAGTGACATCTATCTAAAAAATTTGTGGATGTACTATAATAGTGACTTAATGTTAGCTGCAACGCCAACCAAACACTGGTAAGGTTCAAAATTAACGTTCATACAACGCTGATTGAATGTTAGTATGTTTGCTGGGAAGAGGTGTGATGTCTAACCTTGGCCAACACTCTCTACATGCCACATTTCGCCTAATCATAGGCTATTCGCTACCCACGACAGGCGTAATATTAGCAAGTACATGAGAAAGGATCGACTTCAACTGACAAATACTAGGCGAGTCCCACTTAAAATCTTGTATTCCAGCACACAGTGGGCTCTGGACCGTAGAAGCAAGAGATATGATAAAAACTAGGATTCCGCAACCCTGTTTAGTAGTTCAAGGCGCTGACCACTGCATGGCGGATTCATTTGAAATGACCATGGTTCAAATCGCAAAATTCCGTCTGAATGGGGTAACGTTAGAACAGGCCTTGGGTAGGCTGCCTAGCGATTTTAGATGTAACTTTAGCTATTCAGCGGCATCTTAAGTGGCTGCGGGGGTTGGCCTCCCTTCTCAGTTCTTACACGATCTTGGTGTTTTTCACTTGAATTAGACAATTTTTCATTTGACTCAGACACACGTGCATGGGACGTTCCTCATGCTTGAGGGTCGAAGTCAAGTGAAAAAGTGTAAAACTGAAGTGGAAAACACTGTACAATGAGGTCATTGCAAAGTTCGACGACGTGTGATCAGGTAATTCTGGTCGATTTTTCTTCACTTGAGCAGACATATTCATTCTGCTACAACAATCGTGCATGAGGAACGTCCCATGCATGTTCCAAGTCAAGTAAAAGACACTCTATGTCATATCGGCCCATCACCATGTGCTGAGATACAATTGAATTCAGTAATGACTTGGAAAAACAAGATAAGTATGGTAAAATTGAGAAAAAGAAGGATGAAAACCCATCTAAAGAGAATAGGCTAAATTGGTAGGTAATAGTAAATGTAAGCTCATGGTTGTTGATATAAAAAATAATTCTTATCTGGGAAAGGGGAAAAATAATGATAGGAGTAATTTTTAACCTAAATAGTCTGTGTCTAACCTGGAAATTTAACCAAAAAAAAATTAATTATAAGCCCTGCATTGCTTATCCTTTGTTCTGTCTTTTGTATTTTCAGATTTTCTTAGCTCCAGCCTTGCCCCCTTTTTGGTGTGAGAGGCACATGAAAATTCTGATTCTGGGGCCCTAGGCCAAGCTGTTTATGATAGGTTAGCCTAGGCCTAACTCGGAAAACCAGACAGACAAGAAGCTCCAATGTGCCACAAGGAGAAAAAGAAGCAGGATGATTTTGGGATTTTTGAAGCCTCACTCGTCCTCTTCTCCCTAGGAACACTGTTTATCGACATTGGTACAGGTATGCCCTAAGGCCTATGGTCAAGGCATAATTGGCCTAACTTAGTTTTAGTCAACCTGTCAGTATTAATGGAAATCTATTTAAGCCTAGGCCAGGCCCTAGGCATAATAAAAGCTCAGAGCTTTCTGGCAAAATCCAAGAACTATGACTTTATTTGCCACTAGAATAAGGAGCTATAGGAAATAATTTTCTGCCATCATAAATTCTCTACCACTTTAGAGATAAAACAAGGAGAGACAGCACTATTACTTTTCATGCTTGAATTGCATAACTTCCTTACCTTCAACAAGATGGTCTAGTTTTCCAAGTAGCTCTCCAAAACAGACTTCAGCTTAGCTTATAGGTAATTAATAATCATTCAACTGTCCTTTGCCCCTGTTCAGATGCTATCTTGGTCTACAAGTACATCTTTGACTATGGCTTCATCACATGGGGATGGTTGACCCTGGGTTTGGCACTGGTTCCATCCATTGTGGTTCATTTCTTCAGCCTGCGTTGGTACATCTATGATGGAGAATCTTCTGCTGTCATCTGGTTGCTGCATTTCTCACAGCTGGGTATTTTACACAGGTTGGTATCAGATGTGAGTTTGGATGTGAAGGGATTAAGTGTAGAACTATATGTGGAGAGGCCTATTGGTCTGTTATTCAGATAGATTTTGTCATGCACCAGAAAGGAGAGCTTGATTGAGGCCAACTGAAGAATCCATTGGCAAGAGGACCCTTCTTTAGTATATTATATAGTTTTTTATTTTGTATGTGCAGTGGATGATATGCAACTTTGTAAGAGTATTTTGGGAACACATATTTTACTGTTTGATTCACTGTAAATACCTGCCCCCAGGACCACCTGACTTACAAATTGCATATCACATGATGTTCCTGCAAAGCCATGATGTGCAATGAAAAAAGTATTTTCCTCAATTCAAATAAAATATTTATCTTCATTCATCAGTCTCCTTGAGCACGTGGCCTGGATTTAATCATCCTTGTTAAGTTGAATTTTTATCACAGGGGCATGTATGTACATGCTGAACAATTTTTTTTTTCCTTTTTTACCCAAGAGGCTGCCTAGATACCAAAAGTAGGAGCATGCACTTTCTCAACCTCCATCTTGCCAATATGTCCCAGTGATTGTTCCGCCCAGGTGAACTTGATTCTGTGCAAATATTGGGGCTGGCAGTGGAGGACAGCAATGGCTGCTCAGAATGGACACAACCATTTTATCTTATCTATTATTCACCATATAGGGAGGAAAGTAGGGGGTTGATTACTATTACATAAAATTCACAGAAAGTCTCTAATGACCATTCTTGGCATGCCATCACTTGGTTCTTGGCCACAGGATTCCATTTATATTCTTTGCATTGTGCAGGATTTTCAGCCATCAAGTGGTACCTGCTTCTGCCCACTGTGTAAAAGTTCAGGTGTAAGCATTTTATCACCTCATTTCATGTGTGGGCTACACACATCTGAAGTCTCTTTGGACTATGGAATGATAATAGGTTCATCTGACCAGAGTTAGATGACTGATTATGCTTCACTACTGCCTGCCTGACTGACTCATCCATATTTGTGCATCACCATGTGCAATAAAATGATAAATGTAATCTTATTCAATGAGGTGGTGAAATGTAGTTCCACTCCAGAGGAAAGTCCAGCTACTGGACTTTCATAAAGAATGTTGATATCTTTCTAGTTATTTTATTTTTTTAGGTACCTGGTGGTGTTGAAGACTGGTTTTGAAGCTGCAGTGATGAATCACAGAGACACCTTTCAACGATTATATCAACAACAAAGAGATATATCTATGCTACGTCTGTTTGAGTCCTTCATGGAATCAGCTCCACAGCTTCTTCTCCAGGGGTACATCATTATTGTGGCAGATGATTGGCATGCATGGACAGGTGAGAGGTAATTGCTGAATAGGTCAGTACATGGCTCTTTTCAGCACAAATTTCATTTTAAAAAATGGAGATTTTAATCATGGCTCTGGATATACAAGGCCCCTGCCTTTAAAAATACTAAATTTGATCTTTATAGCAGAATATAAATTACATTATAATATGCAGTTTAAAATATTACCTAACTATAAAGGAGAGGTCATGTGAAAGTGAGAGTGGTCTCATTCTAACTATCATGGTCTGTTGTCTTGCACAAAAAAATAATACATGTTAATTAATTAGTTAATTAGTTTTTCCTGCTGTCTCTTTGACCTCGACAATTCCCTCTACATCTGAATGCTATGTATATTTTCTTTTACTGCTAATTAAAAGTTAACCCTAAGTTTTTGTCTGTTGAAATTTAGTTACCTGCGAAACAGATCCTGCAGGATGCGGGTGTGGCCTAGTAGTATAATATTATGTGTGAATTACTTTCTTTCAGAACAGCAGTGATGTAGTTTTCTCCAATTTTTTTTTCAAACCTTTCAATCTTCTGTAAAAAAAAAAAATTTACAGTTGAATTTTCCTCTTCTATCAAGTTAGAAATACATAATCATAATTAAATAATTTTCATGTGACTAAGAATTCAATTGTCTTTTGGTGAAAAATCAATTACATTATCCTTATTACAAGATGAGTATGACTATGTACATTTTATATAAGTAAATTGAACTTGTTGCCACCATGATAAAATATAATTGGTCTTCAAACTGACATTCAAAAAAAGGAAGCAAGTGAGGACTTTAATATAGTTACTCATATTTTTGTGTTGAAATCTTCATATTCCAAGTTTCCTGCCATCAATGGTCACTACATATCTAAAAGGATACCTATAGAAAGCAATGAATTTCCATTGAATTATTCCAGCTCTGAAATGTACTGGTGGCCAAGGATTTAAAATATTGATGATTGATGGATGCATGGAAAACAAGTAGTGTTATGAATGACTAAGCTGGAGTACATTTTGCAAGATTCAAGGCATCAAGTTGGGACATTAAGAGGCATTTCTGCCCATAATTACTTTCCCTAGCCAAGGTCTAGTGTCCAATTAGAATTAAGATAAATATCCTGAAGATTGAAATTTTTGGTGGGAGTGTATTGATCTACTGTCTAGCTGCCTTTGTAGCTTATATTGCTCTTATTTTGTACAAAGGCATCTAATTTCTTCTTGAAGTTATTTATGATGCTGCCCTCTTCAGCAAACTTGTTCCACTTATTCACTTCCCAACAACTAATACTTGTCAAACATGGAAGCTACACTGTATTAACATGGGTAACAAAGAGGTCAAGCCCTTACCACTGAACAGTCCTCGAGAGCTCTCTAAATAAAGAAGATGTGCAATATTGAAAGTGTCATTGCACAGAGGCTTGGAGTATCAAAAGCAGCTGTTCCTGAAGGTCTATGGCATTATAAAGCATCAGGATACATTGCCTGTTTACCATGGTCAGGATGTCCAAGATTTACTATGATCACAGATGATTGGACATGTATTTTTCCTTTCTGAAATCACAGCAATCAACCAGCAACCTCAAATAAAAATTTAATTTGGCAGACATTTGCAGGAGGTATCTGTAAGTACTGTTTGGAAAAGCATGGATTGCTGGTTGAATGCCTGATGACCTCTGCATGTTTTGTTTCTTACTGGTTGTCCCCACCAGGATTGCCTTGCATGGGCAAAATCCTGAGAGAAATTGACTTCATAGGACTGGGATTCATGATTTTTGCAGGTGAAAGCCTTTACCTCTTGTGGGAGAAAGATGTTGGGAGCTGTATTTAAAGGCAACCAAATAAGGTCCATCTCCCTGCATGTTAAATACCAACTGTTGAATATTGAGGATTGTTTGCAGTGATTCATATGGTTCACATTGTTGATTTTGCAGCAATGGAGACCTCAAAAAATCTCTGCACCTATGGCCTATATTTGATTTTTCCAGGGATTTCAGCAATGGCATCTTTGGTGTCCTTGGCATGGGGAATTGCATCATACACCAGAGCAATGCGGAATGTCCGACCAGAAAAAAAACCAATCTCCATTGCAGGAATGATCTTGACTATGCTCTGGAGAGGAGGGATGATGACAGGTCGAATGCTTGCTCTAATGATGCTAGCAGTGGCCCTTCAATCCTGGACTCTCTTAGTCATATGTAAGCCTGCTTTCATTCTTTTCGTCTTGGATTTTCATTGCAAGACCATGTAGACAACCACTGAGCTATGAAGACTCTTGAGCAGTGGTCAGCAACTGGTGCCCCGCAGAAGCTCTTCCTCTGGCCTGCAAAGGCCTGGCTATCACACATCATGGTCTGACAGTCACTGTTCGGTTGGACATTTGACATATTAGACATTCATCAAAATAAAAAATTTAATGACACCTGATGAGTGTTGGCCTGCAAACATGCGACATTTTGTCATCCGGTCCCCCATAAAGCTCAGTTGCCAACCACTGCTCTAGAGGCTGTGAAAGATAATACTTTAATACGAAAGTATTCTGTCCTTGTTTAGGTACTCATTGGTTGGGAATGACTATTTGGATCATGCATCAAGAAACAGACTTCTGTCTAACAAAATGGGAAGAGCGGATATACAACTGCATCATGGGTTGTGTCTATTGTTTCTGCTTCTTCAACCTCAAAGAAGGGAAAGCCTGTGTCAGGATGTCTCTCTTCTATTGTTTGGTGTTCCTCGAGAATTTCCTTTTCTGTGCTCTCTATTTTAAATTGGTTGAGAGAAAAATTTGGCTGGAGGATGTTGGTGCTACTATCATGGCTTGTAGCTTGCTTCTTGGTAAGTCTTCATCATGGCCTCAATTTTTATTCAATGCACTCCATGATAATTATACTGTTGAATCTTGATGGATTTCTCATGATTTATCTTCATTACTAAATAAATTTTCTTTTGAACTTAGGCACAAAGTCTGAAGCACTTATGGAGTAAAGAAGAAACATCCTGAGTCTAAAAAAAATAATCTTGTTTTCTATGAAGCATCATTTTCATTATGATCAGCATAATTTCATGAAGCAGCAACATAGTTGTTTATGAATTCAACTGAATTTGAGATGTATTTTAAAGGTGCATGCAGCATGTTGGTGTACTACAGATACTTTCACCCCAGTGGACCCATACAAGTTGAATTCTGTTGTTGGAGAGTAAAAGCAACACCACAAAAACCTCAACATAACCTTCAGCCATCTGGGTGAGTCATGAAAGATATGATTCATGAAAAAAATATTAGGAATATTATCTGCATGTGGAAAAGGGATGCATCTATTTCTCAGACTGAAGTTCTGGAGCCCTCCAATTAGCAGGGGAGATACATTGAGGCCATATGACTTCAAAGGATCCTACATCCCAACTACTAGATATCAAGAAGAGAGTGAACCAGACGGAAAAGTGATTCACATTCCCCATGCAACCAGCTTTCCAAATTTGGAGTGTCATCAAGGATCAAAGGCATCAATACAACATGCTACCATGTACCCTGGGATCCAATGTGCAAGTATTTATGGTTCATCCCTGCCGAATATCCATAACTCCACTCCTCATTCTTCATCTCATTTTATGGGTTCCATGGTACCATGCTGGTCAGAGGTCATTCTGTCCTCTATCCCAATTTGTTCTCAACCACTCAGGAAATCTCAGACCTATGCAGGTTTCGAGGAGCAGCTATCAGACTTCCTTCCTAACCATGAATTTGAGACCAGTGTTGATGAATCCAAATGCAATTACTTCCTCAGTGGAGAAGAGCCTTCTCTAGATACATCCCACACATTTGAAAAAATTTCACAGAAAACCATGTCCCTAACTTGTGAAGAAATGAAAAATGAACACAATTATGCACTTATTGACAGGACAGACCAAAGCAACATCTCAAAAACTGGGAAGGTTTCTCAATTGATTCAGCAATTTGAAACAAGTGTCTCTTTCCTGTGACAGCCTAAAAAGATGTTGATTTCACGGGTTTTCTTACCATGGCTCATTGATCTTCAGAAAACATGTGTGGGACCTTGGATATGTGAGCTGCAAGTTGTCATTGCACTTGTGATATATTTTTCTCATGGAACATTAGTTGGAGAGTATGAAGTGCTGCTTGTCGTATATATATATATACATATTGTGTTGCTTGATTTTTTAATACAATAAACCTCAACATTTCTGCAAGATGGCCAAGAGCTTGTATAATTTCATCAGAAGCTCTCATCTCTAGAACTAACATACACAGCACTTAAAAAGCTGCTTGAATGAAGCATTGCACTGACATGATCACAAATTGAAGTCTGTCCCTGGGAGGTATTTTGTATGAGTCCCACGTGCAATGAGCTTTCCAGTTTCTTTGGTTTTGATTTCAACACTCAGGAAGGCAAGACTCTTCCCAAACTTGTTTGTGTGGGCTTCTATCAAGAGTGTCTCACCTGGTTTTGCTGCTCCTATGTAACTAAATGAGAAAAAGTCAAGCATAATGACAACAGATTAAGGTCCTGAGTCTAATACATAAATCTACAGACTATATGTTCCAGAGACCAACAATATTGCTATTGTTAGCTCATAAGGTGGCATAAGAAGTATAATAAGCACTAGGCCAATGAACATACGTGACATGAAGGTCGACTGATACGCCGGAAGCTTGCCTCTTGCTAGTGATTAATCCAAGTGTTGAAATGGAATCTACCAAAGTAGCTGTTAGGCCACCGTGTAGCGTACCTCCTCTGTTTAAATGTTCTTCGTCGATTTTCATCTCTCCCGTCACGCTCCCATTTTCTCCTGATATTATTTCAACCTAACCAAGGAATGGTGGTGAAGTCAATGGTACATTCTTCAAAGCCGCAAGACTTCGCTAGGTTGATGACCAAACGTTCTCAGAATCTTAGCGCAGTAGGCTACCATAGTGATAGTCAGGATTGCAGCAAAATGAAAGGAAAGAGGTATAATAGGCGTACTTTTTCAAGAACCCTGTCGAAACCGGGGCTGTCTCGAGATTTGATGAAGTTCCAGATAGCCCTGACTTTACTGAGTCCATTGCGAGCAGCCATGTTTCCTCTTGCGGTCTCGGACGCCCTTCCCGCGGTCCAATGCTAAGAATGGTTTCTTTGCCCGGACAGGAAAGTTTCGATTTGAATTCTGGGCATAGGGACTTGATAGGCTCCAGGCGATGGTGACAATAAGGCCAACCTTATCGTGTTTCGACAGGTGCATGGGATGACTTTACTCTGCCAGGTACGCGGGTGACGATAAGAGGCTCATGTGTCTCGAGCGCCACACAGATATTGGGGGGGGGGGCTTAACCGCTCAAGAAATAAGCGTTTTTTTGCTGAGGCTCTTAGCTTTGAAAATTGCTCATCTTCCAGTGTATAACGTAGAAATGTAACATAGTGTAGGACATTATTCTGAGCACAAGCTTCAAGAAGACGAAGGAGTTGCAGAAATTCGAAGGCATTTCACTCATCACTTACGCTTCTTACAGGGTCCCTCTTTCATTATAGCAGACTGGTAAGATCGAACACATGTATTGATTGATCAGAAGTTCTACATCCTGCGTGTGCCTCACACCCCATGATCTAATTTTTGCTTTCGTAAGATCCTGTGAGATCATGAAATGGAATGGAATGAAATGGAAGCGTGGACAAATAATCCAACCGTGCACGAAAATGGATGGGTTCGTACATTTTATGTGTCGCATATCCACCTTCTCATTTGTACAAAGCACACTTCAACTTCATACGAATGCAATCACAATGCATGCATAAGCCTTTCGAATGCATTTATGACTACTTCGAGTTCTTGGAAGGCATTCTTGTAGAAAAACAGGCATGACCATCTCGATTTGGACGGAATGTACAGTAGCCAACCGACTCCCAAAAATTTTCATGCTGTCCGAACGCAGGCTGCTCCATTATTTTACCAATTGGCATAGCATGTAATGTCTTTACGAATTCATTTGCGTGCTAATAATTGAGGAATGTGGAGGTTTTACTTGCGGATTGGGCGTTAAAAAGCATGGAATCGTGAGCAGGGTGAACAGGGAGGCAAGTGGGCTTAAGCCAGGGTTTGAATGTTGAATTTTGAGTCGTGACCAAAAAGTTTGGGAACCACTGGCTTCACCAAAGCCTCCGATTTATCAGGGATGGGAAAGCGCTTGGAGTTCTTAGAGAAGCAATCTTTGAGTCCCCCATGCATCTCAACAATCGCTGTCTATGGCCAAACTCATGTACGAGGCACTTGGTGGCCTTGGTCAAGATGGGCCGAGTCCCACAGAATCTCTGCTTACCCGGAGGGATGAGGAATGACAGTTTTTGCGAGCCAAAACCATTTGTTATGTCTGCTATGGTATTGCACCATAGCTCGAAAAAATGCACTTCAAGATGTCGGACAAGACATGGCAACCCCAACGAAGTAATTCATCGTTCTGGAGAGCAGCTGCTCCGGAAATATTACTATGAGCGCGTTGATTGCAGTACACTCACTTTAAAAGAAGACGGTGAAACTCCAGAGATAGGCGCATGTATTATCGCTTCCTCCTGCTTCGTGAAAAGCTATATTCTTTCTTTGTTTAGTTTGGATCTTATCATCGAGCAGGGACTCATTGTACTATCGTTGCAACAAATTCATGAGTTCACATAAATGTTTTATTTTCCTATATGGAATAACCCGTCCTGGCTAGCTCGCTATAGTTGAAACAACAGCCAGAGCTTGGGATTCCCTCTCTATTTCAGTGATGTAGCTTTCCCTAAGTTGGTATCGACTCTATATCTTACATTTCCCTAGCAGCGATGTCTCGAATAATAATAAAAATTCGGGGAGGAAAAGGGATGCTGAAAATGGAAATCGTATCAGATAAAATAACGAAGAACCCCTTGGTTTCCGATTCGTTGCAGTTTTGACGGGATTAGGCTGGAACTCGCCATACAACTCTAATGGAAATTGCTCAAAATACAGATAGATTGCATTGCTTTTCCCCCCCTTCCCTGTCCAATCACCCGAACAAACTATTGGAAAGCCATCATTCGATAATCCTTTTGAGGTTCCGAAGTGTACTGCCTTCAAAATAGAAACTGATTTGCAGGGCGAATTTGGCATGGAATCAGCGATAAGGCTCTCATCGACAAGAATTGCAACATTCGGAGTAAACTTCTTCGGGTCCGATAAATTTGCCTTCCAAATTTTCCCGAGTGGGATTTTATTCCCCTCTCATTTGCAGAAGCATGGTATCGTAGGAAATTGCAAGTGTTCGGCATGAAATTCCATGCCTTCACTTTGAAAGAACCCGAAAACTTGAATTGAGGACGTCTTATGATGCCACAATCTCGTACAGAACCCAGCAAGCAATTTTAAAAACTAACATTGAATCAACATTGAATAAACGTTCGGAACGTTGATATAACGCTGGTCCAACGTAGCCTTGTTTGCTGGGATGTTGGAACGTCTTCGATAAAATTGGAAAACTCTCGGACCCGAAGGAAATGTACGCAGAGAGCTGCCCATTCTTAACACTTTCCCGACGACGGGATGCATAACCGCATGCATTTATCAAAAATCGGCAGGAAATCAACTGCACGTATCGTACAGGGTGTCCATAAAGTCTGTCCATCTATTTTCATGAAAAACGAATTTCCTTTACACTGCAGGTTCAATTATTGAAATGGATAAACGTAAATAAATTAAGCATTGTTTCATCAAGAAGCATTAGTTCATCTCCACATGTCCACCATTCATGTCTCGGCATTATTGCCTCCGGTCGGCAGTAGCCTTGAACGCGTTGTGCAACGTTGCCGGTGTTATGGATTCAACTGCAGTATAAATTCGAGTTGTAAGATCCTGCAAGTCGCGAACCTTGCTTCTGCAAACCTAAAACTTGATCAGATCTCCACAAAAAAGTCCATTGGTGCCAGTTCTAGCGACCATGGCCTGTCCCAACCTCGGCCTATCAACCACTCAGGAAATCGAATTCTTTCTTCACTGGCGCTGTCAGCATGGTGTGTTATTCAGTTATCTGTCCACCTTTCCACTATTGCAGAACTGCTCAGTCAAGTTAGCCTGAAATTTAAAAGAAATGTATAGTTTTTCATCAAAATAGATAGGGACTTCATGGACACCCTGTACTTCGCAAGCCCCGTGTTTGTCCAGGCGTAAGCTAGGTCCTCGCACTTCTTCTTGTCGTCGCTGACTGCTACGTCTGGTAAAACTGTTGTCTGCTACGGCATGTTTCGCCCAGAAACCATCGTCCGGAAAGGGTTAGAGAGGTTCATCAGTTTCAATTTCCAATTCGCTGCGCCAATCAGTTTCTATTGGCCAAAAATATGGATCTTGACAAGTGCGCAGAACTTTAGGGGGACAGTATATTTCACGAGAGATTGCATTGATTTCTCTGAATAGGTGGAACTGAGAAATAGATTCCTTGCTCTCCCCTTTCTCAACTCTCAGTCAAGCGGATAGGAAGATGAGGAGAGGGAAACATACAAAAGATCAACATACAAATAGAGGCCTCTATCAATCGATTTGAGCACGCCATTTGTTTTGTCTCAACCTGAATCGGCGGTATTTGCAGTTTTGTCACGACATAGAGACTCAAAGTGGTTTAGCGTTGCCTTCACCGCGATCTCTTATGCAAGATCCTGTACGTTACGTGTCTCTACTCGAGCGATGGCCTGAAGCGACTAGCGATTACGGCCTCCCAGGCTTACAGCTTCCTCTATTCAAGATCGGGTAACGTGCATCAACATCTGCCGCTCTGGTTTTCTGAGCCATGCGTATACAGGGTGATTCTGTTGGTAATGCAGTCTGTCTGGTGATTTAGTGGTTATGATCTCACAAAAATATTTATCTTAGTAAGAGGGGTAAGCAAATCTTACTTTATGTGAACCTTGACACGAGGCCTCCAAATGGGCTAAGATGCCTCTTGACGTCCCTACTCGAACCTTGAACCTTGAACTTCCATTATGAAGTTCCTCCCGCAGTGTTAGACACCGGTGTGCACATGCCATTGTGCGTATGACAATTGTATTTCAACAACTTATATGAAGCATACGGAAGTAGATGGCAATGTTGCTTGAGGGTATTGATTATGAGGAAGCCACCATCGGATGCATTCGCCAGGAGCTTCTGGTCTTCTGTTAACACGGGTGTCTCAGAAATAATGGCACCCTCAGTATTAATTGAATATCTGTTATTTCAAGCCCCTCAGTCTTGATTTTTTTAAAATAAAAAATAGATTCTCCAGACAATTCCTCATATAATTTTATTTTCATATGCAACTACCGTCATTCTCTACAACAGCTCGCAAACGAGACGTCCAAGACAGACAAGATTCCAACACAACTTCCTTCGGAATTCGCTTTACAGCCACTTTCAGTTCTTGAATTAGTGTCTCTGCTGCTCACACGATCCCATTTGATGGCCTGTACAAACTCATTCCAAATGCAATAGTCCACTGGGTTCAAATCGGGAGAGTTCGAGAGCTAATGGTGTATGCCGAGAAAGGCAGGGAAGTGTCTTCACACCACATTTGAGTCAAATGTCGAGTGTGAGAAGTCGCACCGTCCTGCTGAAAGATCCAATTGTCTCCGAACACTTTATTCATGTATTTGAGAGCCACAAGGAGTACTTCGGCCACGTACCTGTCTTTATTGACGGTGCCCTTGTCGAGAATGACCAGAGGAGTCGGTCCTTTCGAACACGCTCCCAACCAGACCATCACCTTTTGCGGAACTTGTGTTTCTGCTTCTTGCTACCTTTTTGATTGATTTGAACCCATTGGACTATTGCATTTGGAATGAGCTTTTGCAGGCCATCAAGTGGGATCGTGTGAGCAGCAAATACACTAATTCGAGAACTGAAAGTGGTTGTAAAGCGAATTCCGAAGGAAGTTGAGTGGGAATCATGTCTGTATTGGACGTCTCGTTTGCGAGCTGTTACAGAGAATGACGGTGGTTACAAACGAAAATAAAATGCTATGGGCTTGTAGAAAATTGACAGGAGAATCTATTTTTAAAAAAATCAAGATTGAGGGGCTTGAAATAACAGAGATATTCAATCAATACTGAGAGTGTCATTATTTCTGAGACACCAATTATTAACGGAGAAGCCGCATGTCTACTTATTAGGACTTCCTGTCGAATATCTCCCTTTAACTCTGGGAATGTTGTGGGTGTGTCTTGGTAGACCCATGCCTTCAGGAAGCCCCACAGCCGAAAGTCCGCTGTGGTGAGGTCAGGTTATACCGTGCATACCATTCCTGTGGAGAAAACATGCTGACGACTCTGTCCACTGAGTTTTCCCAGAACAAATCCATCTTCAAGCTGGATGGTGTTCCTGCTTGCATCGTCACTTCAGTGACTTAATCAAACACTCCCGGTTGTGCAATTTCGAAGTCACGTCCACCTTGTATATTGACCACATTTACCCTATATACTGTATAATAAAATAGAATAGCAGCTCGAAATCGCTCCCATGTAGTAGATGGATGTTTCGAAGGTGTATGATTCTCTCACCGGTTCCCGAGATTCAGCTTGTGGGATGAGTTCTTCATGGTAAAGTTCGTATTGGCTTTTAGAGTGACCCATAAGAAGCGAAAGGGTAAAAGTGAAACGTGCAGTTATTGGAGGACGATCAGATTACATCATTCTTCTAAGTCTTCGTGGATGTTTTCTGAATATAAACGGTTTCGATTACAGCCGGCAAGATTCATCATGTGTCGGTGACTAACATTGGCATCTCGGCTGAGTAATCCTCCCCTACACGACCTCCCCAGCTAGTTCATGAAGAACGCGGCTACCGCCGTTTTTGCGAAGCTGACACTGAAAATACCATACCGGTATCAGATTTCTAATAGCACAGGTGCATACGGGTCCAGTGGCGTGGTGGGAGAGGGGGAGATTTGGGGGCGCTAGTCCCCCAGCGGGGTTCAGGGGTTACCCCCAGGGTGTGGGGTGGGGATAAAGAGGAGGGTGAAGGGGCTTTCCCCTCTCCCCCGCCTTTCTTCCCATTCTCAGGAAGCTGAAGAAGGGTCTGCATTTCAGGGGAGATACAGTCCCACCCCGGCTATCCCACTTTATGTACAGTATACTAGTACTAGTATAAGAGCTAGAGCCGGCCGTGAAAGCTCCAAGAAATACTTGCATGTTGACAGGTGTTCCTGAATGGGGAGTGAAGGCCAATTCGTGCGCATTGATCATGGTAAATGGGGGAGAGAGGAGCAAATGAGTTGAGCCAACTGTGCTCTTTTTGCTTTTCTTTTGGCTTATCCAGGGTAATTTTCGAGAGATTCCCAGAATACATTCGTGGCAGCCTGCCAAGCGTTATAAATCCTTGAAGAGTGTTTGAACTTGAACGTCGAAGATACGATCAAGTGGGTCTGCTGTTCATCATCAGGTGAATTGTGTCACTGTCAAAAGGCATGACACCCCGGCTGCTGCAAGAGACTGGGGAGAGTTGCGTCACGTCACGTTCTCATCTCATCTCATCTCCCGAGCCATATGGCATGAACTGAATGCAGCCAACGGGTCATTCTTAGTGCGCATGTCAGTGGGTTTATTTACATATTGAGCCTGAGATGATATCCAGGTGGTAGGTCTTACATCGTTTATGCTCAGGAGGTGTGTCTGGCGAGCAGGAAAGTGAGAGCGACGGAACCGGGAGAAAAGGAAATCGTAAACTGTTCAACCAGATGGCCATGTCGAGTGTTGGGGACGATAATTCTTTGTCACTAGTGAGGAGGAGATTGTAAGCAAGAGAGAAGAAAGGGAGAGAGAGAGAGCGAGAGCAAGAGCGAGAGCGAGAGAGGGAGAGAGAGAGAGAGCTGCGATCTTGAAAGAGGCGCGACTGGGAAGGAGTTTCTCACTTGCCTCACTCTGCATACGTGGGTATGAAAACGAAGCTCCTGCAAACCTGTGCCTCATCAACCATCCTATCACCTTCTTCTTCTGGATATTATAGGATCGAGAAGAAACATGGAAATAATGAAACAGACGCTAGGAATTCTATTCCTGCTTGTGATGACCTGGGACCTGACAGGAGCGGACTGTCCGGCGAAGTGTCAGTGTTTCCAAGCTAACGTGCGTTGCATGATGCAGAAGTTGGACTCCGTCCCCAAAGTTCCCCTTGATACCACCGTCCTGTAAGTAAACGCTCAACCGTCCTCCACACGTCCATATCATCAAACGACTTAGTTCACTCGGACGATTAATCGTTTATCTCGACAAGGGAAGCGATTCACTAGATGTGATTTGCCTTGCATGTCTTTGCATACATAATGTGTTTCTCGACGACTCATCATTCGAAACTTCCCCCCCCCCCCCTTGTTTAGCGGAGTACATTTGTGAGTACGCAGAAATTAGTCCCCTTAGGTGCTTTCCAGCTACCCCATTTTAAAAAGTCAAATTTGCAATTGTTATAGTATGTTTTTTATTATTATTATAGTATGTAGAAAAAATGGCTTCACCAGTGAAACTTGACGTGGCAGATATTATTTTCCTGCTAAGGAAGTGTAGTACCCAAGTGGCATGAATGAGTCAGTAAAGTCTTCAGCAGCTCTTTCGAGGACCTACGACAACCTCAAAAGCGGTTTGTCTCCCGTGAATGACTCATTCGATAGTGGGAGCAAACAGGATAGGGGATGACGTGACTGGAATTTCGATGAGGCTCTAGATTTGAACTAGGCAGTGAATGTAACCCTCCCTTGGGGTGATATCACCCTCCGCACACTAACGCGCTGTACAGAGTGTTTAATGAGTCAATCACACGATTCACGTGTCTGGGCTCAAACTTGGCCTTCTCAGGATTTCGGCGATTGAAAATTGACGATGGGTGAATAGTCCCCCCACCCCCCCTCCTCCCTCAGCTATTTAGAGGGAGATACCTTTGATGGTTCGCTTCGGGTAAAATTGTATTCTTCTCAGGCGAAGCCACTTACTATCTCCAACCATACATCGCCTCGGCATAACGGCTGGATTTGGCGCGAAAGAAAATTATTCGAGAGAATGAACATGAGCGAACATGTACTAGGCCTATCAGTTACTTTTATAGCGCAACACTGCAGGACGCAGTTGCCAAATGATTCAAGCCGTGCAACTGATCGTCCATTGACAAAAAAGGGGACGAAATATAAAGTGGTAAAACACCCATTCACGGATCGTGTTAGAGCCAGGATATAGGCATTTTCTGTGACGTCACTGTTTAAGACTGTCTACCGTCAAAATAGTGAGACCATATGACCATCACTTTCTAGGTCAATACCAGTACTAACTCTACCGTGATTCTGGTACCATGATACTGGTGGATGATCCATCGCTGGATGTTTGGCCCTTTTTATGACCTGAACCTAACCGATCCACTTATATTGCTGGCATTTCACGAATCTTGGGATGTATTGGGATTCTGAGCATTGCGTGATCAGATGTTCTTAAAAACTAAAAACTTCATATTTAAGGACCCGTACGCTATGATCAGGAATACCATTGAAATTGATTGGAATCGATTCCAATCTTAAAAGTCAGTATTTAAAACAAGCTAAATCATGAAAGTTGTCAAGGAACAGAGGGTTCCAAGTGGGTTAAACGGCAACTTTTTCATTTGTTTTTTATTTATTTAAATAAGTATACAAAATTAATGCATGTATATTTTTAATAGGGATATTCAAGTACTTCAAGAAGTTTCATTTACAAATTTATTTTATGTACTTTTCAAGATGATAAGTAATGAAAATATTTCGCATCAGTAATAAGTTTACCAAGGAGTACGGATAATTGTGGCCTGCTTCGCATGACGATTTATGACACCGATCACAGATTGTAGTCATTACTCAAGAATGGACATTTCCCTAGGGATTTGAGGTTCAACAAGATCCAAGAGCTTCCGCCCGGAACATTCAAGGAATTGAAGAACCTCACTACCCTGTGAGTCGGAATATCCTTTGACCTCTCTGCCCACCCGGTAAGGAGAAACGAACCGAATAAATTAACTTGTTTTTGCCCTATCGACGCGTGTGAAACTGTCGTGATTTGATACATTGGTATGGATTTCCCCAGACTCCTGAACAACAACCATTTGACCCGCCTGCAGAATGGAGCCTTGACTGGCTTGAAGAACCTTCGCTTCTTGTAAACAAACTCTCGTTTTTTGTCATCGATGACCTTGCAGGAGATTCTATAAATGGCTACTTGCTTGTGTAGGTATTTGTACAAGAACCGTCTAAAGGAAATCGAGCCAAGTGCCCTTCGTGGGCTGCCGAATTTGGAAGAGCTGTGAGTTTGCTTTCCTCTTTTCGGGCAATGTCATCGCACCTCTTGCGACTTACCGATGCGTCACGTTCTAGGCATCTGCACTTCAACTCCTTGACGGAGGTGCTCCCGGGAACCTTCGCTGATTTTCCTTCTCTTCAGAAGATGTGAGCTTTTCTGTCGCACTAGATCGGTCCCTCGATTCCTTATCTGAAAAATGACTTTCTCATCAGATTCCTTCAAAACAATCAGCTGGAGAGGATCTCCGAGAAAGCTTTCGGCAAAGTTCCGAGTCTCACCCATTTGTGAGTTCCCACACTAGGTGCATTCAGTTGTGACCCGAGTCATGACTCGAGGGTCTCAGTTCAACGCCTGCATTGAGGCTTCAAAATAAATTTTACTCCATGGTGACACCTCTTGTCAATGTCTTGTCAATCCTGGGCATAATAGTTTTTGAAAAGCACCGCACCCTATCGAGAATCATGAACCTCGAGTCATTACCCGCGTCACAACAGAATGCGCCCACTGTGTCCCTTCACACGATTTGAGTATTTTCTTCCTCTCAAATCTTCTTTGCGACTGAATGGATTTAGGCGTTTGAACGGGAATGCCCTCATTTGCGATTGTCACTTGGGATGGTTGCCGGAATTCCTGCGGAGACACGAGAGCTCATCTCGCGTTCAAGTCTCTGTCCCGTGCCACGGGCCTGAAAACCTCCGTGGGAAGTCGCTTCTCTCTGTTCCCAAGCACGTCTTTCAATGCGGTGAGTTCCTCTCTTCGCGCTTTAGAGCCTTCCTTTGCTTCCAACCTGAGATATCATCGCGTCGTTGACTTCGATGTCATAAGAAGGTGGTATTATCCACCCCTTACTGTACAGATCTTTATCTTTAGAGGACTAATGTAATGAAACCTCTTGGCGATGCATGAGAGAATGCCACGCTTGAGAAAGGCGAATGCCGTTTTCGACAGAGAAGCCTCCGACCGGCGAGGAAAAGCCTGTCCTCAATGAAGAGCCTTTTGATATTGAGGTCAATGTGGGAGAGCCTGTCTCCCTCAGATGTTCTGCAAGCGGGAATCCCAGCCCAGAAATCTTCTGGATGCACAACAGGTTAATTATTCCTACAAGAACTGGTCCTAAGCACGAAGGATATAAAGATGTCTCTGTTCACGCGGAGGAATACCTTTGCAGCAACATGATCCTGCCAGAGGAAGATCCTCACTTGAAGGTGTTGCCGGATGGTACGTTGATGATTCTAGAAACCCAGGACGAGGACATGGGAGAATACGAGTGCATGGCCAAGAATGAGAAAGGAGAAATGCGATCCCGGAGAGTTCGAATGACAGCCAAGTCTTCGCCGCCTCCCATCGATAACTCCCTCATCGTGGAGCTTCCAGGTTGGTGTGCGTTCTGGGAGTAAGGGATGAAGAGAAGAAAAAAGAGAGACGGAGGTGATGGGAGATTCAGCGGCTGTGCTAGTTAATCACAACCCAAACCCGACATGATCCATACTTTGCTTTGGCATTTGTCGGTCATCCGCCCCAGTCGAGTTCAATGCATTTGAGGCACAGGCCTAGAGGACCAGGTGGTTCAAAAATATATTTTGGTGTTGAATAAATAGCAAGTATCCCTCCCCCTCCTCATCGTCTTCCGGCTTCGCTTATTTATGTATATTTTTGCTTATTTACTAAATTATGCCTATGCCAGACAAGAAAATGCTCCAGGCTTTAAATAGCTCTCGTGTGGAAGGGAGAGAGAGAGGAATGAACGAGAGAGATTCGTGTGCAACTCTCACTACTTTAAGTACTGGTTCGGAGTCATAAAAAAGGCAAAGGACAATGTCGAGGTCTGATACTTCAGTCAGGGTAGAAGGTAGCTGAGGCGGTAGATCGACGCTTCTCAATTAAAAAAAAGTCTAGATTTAGAGGGTGAGCGCTTGGCCTCAACCCGGGAAATGAATAGCTAGCAGAAATGTCTCGTAACGTCTCAACCCAACCTTGAAACTTGTGGCTGAAATTCCCTATTTTGAATTTCTTCAGCTTCATTGCCTTTCTTAAAATTGAGCACCTCTGTGAGACAAGGCTCGACTCATTTCAACAGTGTACCGTTCTCAATGAAAATCTGTATGAAGAACTTCATAATCGCATGCTGGGGCTCGAGCATGCCTACCACCCTCGAACACCAGAGGACAAATAAGTGACCCTGGCGCATTGTGGTACAAGACAAGTAGAGTTCTATTAAACCTAGGAGTGAGCGTCTCCTTTCCATTTTTTTTTCGCACGAAGGCATTGATGGAAATCCCGCTGCTAACGAACCAAAATATGAAGAAAGTTGACTCAGCCACATCTCCTTTCTCTGTCTTTGTTTCATGGCTCCATATGATTTGCCTGTGGGGGATATCGAATGAATGTTGCTGGAACTATGAATCTTGACTGCTGCGACGTGCTTGAACCATGGGGCTTGCACTACACCGGTTTTAATTCCAACTAGCTCAGAAAGCGAATGTAAACCGGAGAAATGGGTGTGATATGTTGCAGAACAAGAGAGGGAGATCCAGAACAAGAGTATCTGGTTTGTGAGGAGACCAGAAAACGAGGAAGCAATAGAAGGAGAAGGAATTCAATTGGATTGTATGGCCAAAGGAAGCCCCGAGCCAACCGTCCAATGGCTCAAGGACGATTCCCCTCTTCCGCGCATCCCCAAATACAAAGTAGGTCCATTCACTTCATAGCCAGAACCTCATCATTGCTGCGGCGTGCAAGCCCCTTCCTGGTGGGATGCTCCCCCAAACCATCTCTGGGGGTGCCCCCGCGCTAACTTTTTCTTTTAAGTCATCTATGTCTGATTGAATCAATGAAGACATGACTAAAAGGAAACAGAGGAGAAAACTGGTGAGGAGATAGCAGTGGACTGAAAGTGAGAACGTTAATGAGATGCAGAAATGTGCCAGTCGACGATGCTCAGCAAGACCTAAAATTTAATGGCACAATAACGCCTGAAATATGGTTCTCCCCCCTCCGTACCTCTTGTACTCTCTCAATTCACGTTCATATATCATGCGTAACTGCGTAGTACTTTTGAGGAAATCCTATTGGTTCTGACTGGGCTATCGACGAACATGCACACTGTCGTCCGACACCATCCCTTAGAAACGACGCCCCAACAGTGGCAGAAAAATCACCCCGAAATACTCTAGTGCTTTTCAGAATACTTCTGCTACCCCCCCCCCCCCCCCCCCCCCCCCCCCCCGCACCCCCCCCCCCCCCCCCCCCCCCCCCCCCCCTATGGTTACGGGTGGTGGGAGTACATGCTCCTCGTGGTCTTCAGCCCAACTTAAATTGTAGGGTCTGTACCCCTCCGCTTCTTCAGACTACACAGGCTTTACTCCCGTTTGGAAGAACCATTAGTAATCTCTTAAAAATGATACGGTCCCACCCCTATTCCTCTTCCTTTTTGATCAGGCGATCGTTGCGAAAGGTGAAACGTGACGTACAACTTCCGACAACGGAAACGGCTGAAGGTCGATTCTTCTCTAGCTTCAATCCGGAATCCAGCAGCTCTTCAACCTTTCTTTCCTTTCTTCACCTCCTGCGCGGTCGATAACTTCTCCACGCGTATTCCCCTATGGGCTCATCTGGAGACGTATTATTAGACACACTCCCTCCTCTCAACACTAGGAATCATTCTTGCAAATTTCAAGTCTTTGCTCCTCTGGTTGCGGAGAGAGGAGAAACTGGAATTCCCTTGTGACACTTATATTCTCGTCGTTTTTATCGCACTTTTTGTATTTTTTCCCCATATAATCTGAATGGAAGGGATTCAGGAGACAAAATACTATACGAAGAGTTTGCTAAATATCGGTGGTTTTGATTATTGAAATCGTTTCGGTTAAATATATAAAGTGAAAGTAGAATTACGTGAAGGGGATAGAATTGTCTACGACGGGAGAATTAGGAGAACAAACCGCCTAATGGAAGTCCCGAGTTGCGCAACGAGTCATCTTGTTAGTGCAAGTCATTTTCTCCTCTACTTTCATCGTCAGCCCTATTGTTAACTGAATGCGTTAGTACTGGGGTGACATTTGAGAACCCAGGCAACCTGTGTTTCAGTGTCCGATGTAAGGCTATACCTATAAGCCAATATACAGGGTTTTTTTTTTCTCTCTGTATTTTGACACGAGAAGTGAAGCAGGTCTTGGCTGACAGTACCATCCAATTACTTCTATTTAAGTACTTGAAACAATTTTTCAACTACAGGCAACCAAACACGTTATTCTTTACTCGAGTGCTTCTCAACTATTTGTATAATTACCTTGGATTGTAACTTTCATCTTCAAATGAAAATAATCAAAGTTGAGTACTAAGGAATAGCTTCTTTTTTTTCCCGAATCCAGCTCATTATGTCCCTCCTATTACCGAGACACAAGTGTGACGTTCTTGACCAAGTCGTGCTCGGAGAGTGGAAAGCTGTCCTGATTTTAAATGAACACAATAGATTGAAAAGTGACTCGAAAAGGATCTTGAACTTCTAATACCTAACCTCCTTGAAAAATTACTTGAATTGAAAAAGTAATGCAACTACTTTTTCTAACTTCTTTCACTACAAGGTACCAAAAAACTTGAAATTATTTTAGGCCCAGGTCCGTTCTATCTCTGCCACCTGTTGTTCTTTCTGAACACCTTTTCTGCTTTTCAAACTGCAAACGCGAGCCTTCCATATTATTGATTCCATCAGTGCTCAATAAATATTAGAAGAAACAGTTAATTAGAGTTTGGAGATGGACATGATCGGTGGGAAGTATGCAGAAGTAAAAGCCGTTGAAAACCGGTTTTCAGGTTACTTCCCTTCCATGTATTTGACTCAATGCCAACTCTCTCCAGATACGCCATGCTATACAGTAGCTGTTTCTTTGAACTTCGTCAATTACTGAGGGTGGAGGGTTAAAATTGTTTACATTTCGGCAGAGCCTTGGCAGTTGTTTAGAATAGAGGGATTGAGATTCCTCGTGGGACCACGTGCCTCCATTTTCTTTCAATTTAGAGAAGTAACTTCTCTAAATTGAAAGAAGACTCTTCAATCTTCCTACTCGACGTTTAGTATTTCCAACTCGGCGTTCTATCTTCTTACTTGACGTCAATCTTTCCATTCGGTATTCAATCTTCCCCCATGGCAGACGGTACCTTGTGTGTACAGCACATTTCCCCGAGCCTAGAGCCATAAATGGCATAAGGGCTCGAAATGGATTTTTCCTTACGGATGCAGGAGTTGAAGAGGTGATATTGCAGGTGCTGCCTAGTGGATCCCTGATGATCTTGGAGGCATCTTTGGAAGACTCGGGTCTTTACAATTGCGTTGCTGTCAATAACCTGGATCGGATCTCGGCTACCGCGTTCCTTCGGGTACTCAGTAAGAGAACCGACTCTCATCCCCGAATGGAGAGACCTCGAAAGACCAGTGGAAACTTACGTTATGGTACTTGTGCAGGCCCTCCAAAACTGAAGAGGAATTCCGAGGACCAAGTGGCTGGAGGAGGAGACACGGTCGAATTCCTTTGTTTGGCTATGGGGACTCCTGCACCCATCGTGTCTTGGAGCCGAGACGCCACTCATATAGTCCCTGACGACCGGAGAACCATCTCTGTCGGAGGTTTCAAAAACCCTAAAAATGCTCCACTGAAGGGAACGGAATGGAAGAAGGTGTTTCGGGAGAAATGATTCCGTCTCTTGCAATCCGACCAGGTCAAGTGCTGCGAATCGCGGGCGTGAAACCGATGGATAGTGGAACGTACACGTGTAAGGTGGAGAACTCCGTGGGGATATTGGAGCATTCTAGTAAACTCATCGTGGATGGGATGCTGCCACCCAACATCGTGGCTCCACCCCCGCAAGACCTAGAAGCAGGCATGGGGACCGATGTTTACTTGCCTTGCCAGGCTCAAGGCCTACCGACCCCTGTGGTGGTTTGGAAGAAGGATGGACTTGTCATGGGAGAAGACGTCAGGCACAGGTCACCACTCCAGTGATTCCATTTAGTCGCTGCTCTCTCGCCGCCGCAAAGATATATACTTTTTCAATTATTCCTGAAAGTGATTTTTGATACTGTCACCGATTGTAACTTTTCGCCGTGGGATCGCTTCGACAGAGGGGCAATTTAAAACTATTCAGGCATTTCTTTTCAAAACTGAGTTCCAGAATGAATACCGTAAAGGTGCTCCATGGAAATTAAAAGTAACATTTAAAAAATGTCACGTTGAATCTTCTGGGCTCCAATTTCGATTTGTTCTTATGGTTGGATAACTCATACGAGCGTACGTAACGCCTTGTTTAGCATTGCTCTGCACCAATGGTACTCAAACTTCTTGAGCCAGGGGCCCCATCCGGGGATGAACAACCTTATGTGGGCCACACTGAAAAAATGTTTATTGGTACTGATAAATTCTATCGTAATTGAGAGAAGTATATACAGGGTGGCGCGGCTAAAAGGATTGTTCTGGTACACTTTACCCTTAAGGTTCCCTCACAAGTAAAAATCACATGTACTCGAATCGGGCGATCGTGGAGGCCAGCGACCTGTTGAAACGGTGCGATCTTCGCCGTATATCGCATGCAGAACAGCTAGAGGCTCTTGACTACGATTTGAGTACATGTGATTTTTACTTGTGGGGGAACCTCAAGAGTAAAGTGTAACAGAACAATCCAAGAACAATTGATCAGTTAAAGGACAACATTACTGCTGCAATTACCACTATTTCTGAGAAAGAACTGCAATGCATTGCGATGAATATGCTGCACATGGTTCAGACATGTATTGCTGCAGAGGTACATCACTTCCTGCACATCCTGTAATGTTGTAACCTTAACAGTATGGCATGTACACGCACTGTAAGTTCTCTCGTCATTAATGATAATAATAATTAAAGCATGTTCAAATACAAACGAGGGGCCTCTTTTAGCTGCGCCACCCTGTACCTTTTTGTCTTCGCGGGCCGCATGGGAGGGCTTCGCGGTCTACATGTGGCCCGCTGACTATGGTTTTGATTACCCTACTTGTCAAGCTGGGTACTCAAACCGCATTTTGCAAGGATCGAAGCTTGGAGGGCAGCTATCGATGATATATCCTTTAATTCCTCCACATCATCCTCCGTTCACTTCGTTTTTTTTTTTTCAAGGGCACGCAGTCTCCTTCTCCACCCCTTATCGTCGTGTGGCTAGAAAGCACAGTAGTGCGTAAGAATGTTTCGACCGGCAGAACCAATAAAAACTCTAATTGAATTTATGTTGGTGAAATTCATGTTTCACCTACCGATATTTTCCGAGAACATTTTCATGAGTAAGAAAATGTTCTCGGAAAATATCTCTATTTTTGATAAGGTTTAAGGAATTTAAGATTAGAGACGCTGTACATTTTCCCTTCAATTTGTCGTCCACTCTCGACAGTGGCTAGGGCGCACCCCGTCGATCTTCTTTTGTGGCCTCCCTTGTTTCTCCCAGTTGTGTTGAGCCAATGGAATTGTTAGCTGCACAGGACGAGATTGATTTCCATGCGCGTTTTCTATTCGTCTTCAGTCTATTTCGAACAGTTGCTGAAACATCACTGCGTATCATTATGCGCCGGGTGATGCTGGTCAGGCGCTGTGCGAAAGACATACGTTTTCGGTGGTCGGGGACAGGCAAAAAGCGCGTAACCAGTACGTCTGTTGATGCGGATGATTTAAGTCACATTTTTGTCTGTTTCTTCACAGGATCGTTGACGGGAGCCTTTATGTGTACAATTTATCAAAAGACGACGCGGGTATGTATGAGTGTGCAGCGCAGAATGCCATCGGATCGGTAACGGCTCAGGCTCGCATGAAAGTCACCGGTGAGTTTAATGAGATTCTCAGTTTTCAGGGATCTTTTCAAGAAATGAGGAAAGATATCAGGATTGCGCGACGGAAAAATCACAAAACAGAAAAAGTTAGTGATATCACGGGCAGTCAGCTGATACTTGGCTCTCTCAGATCAGGTTGACGAAGCCAGCGAAGAGTTTCTGGCCGAAAAGGTGAACGAGGTTGGTGAAAACGTCAGGGTTGCTCTTCAACAAACCATCGCAGACTTCAACCAAACCCGGCTACGTATCTCCGACCTCTTTCACGCTGCTCGCTTCCCCACCAACGCTTCACGGGCTTTAGCAGTTGCTGGTGAAATTTACGAACAGGCCATCCTGGTCCTCCAGGAACATCTCCTGTCATCTCGACTCGGTCATCTCGTCAGCAAAGGTTCTTCTGCGAATTCTTTTCATTCACTTAGGAAACACGGTAGGGCCTGTAAACCCATATCGGGTGCCTTTCAGATTTTTTGTACGAGGACTGGCTATCTAGAAGGGAGCTGGAACTCCTGTCAAACTTGAGTGGGTGCAACATGCATCGGCCCATGGTGAATTGCTCGGACATGTGTTTCCACTCTCGATATCGGAGCTTTGATGGAACCTGCAACAACATCCGACATCCTTTGTGGGGTGCTTCTCTCACCGCTTTTAATCGGATCCTCCAGCCAGTATATGAAGACGGCTTCAATGCTCCGAAAGGTACGTGTACGATTGCTGGATGCTGGATCACGGATTGGATCGAATAGGTTGGATCATTGAGTGTTCAGCTCACATGGATGTCATCACTTCTTCAATTAAATTGCAAACTGAGCAACAGAGGCGGCCCAGTTTTCATCTTGCATAATGCAATTTAGTAAAAATCAAACTTAGTGGGCTCACGTATTTTTTTTTGCTGTTGTGGCAAGTTTCTTGGCTCTACGTCACTGCTATACGAGGTTTGGATGGATGCAGGTTGGTTCAAGGACAGAAGATACCATGGCCGGGATCTTCCCAGCGCCCGAGAGGTATCGTGGAAGATCATCTCAACCCGGAATGTGACGGAGGATGCCATTCACACTCACATGCTCATGCAATGGGGTCAGTTCTTGGATCACGATTTAGACCATGCCCTTCCTTCCATCAGCACACGAGCCTTCAGGTCCAAGGTTCCGTGTTCCCAGTGAGTCTTCCTTTCCCACAAAGTGTTATTCAGCGACTCAAATAAAACTGATGAATGAGACGGTGTAGGACATGCACGAACGAGCCACCATGCTTCCCGATTGCAATTTCGGGTGATGACCCTCGCATTCAGAATCGCCAATGCATGGAATTCATCCGAAGTAGCCCGTCTTGTGGTTCGGGCTTCACCTCCTTTTTCTTCCCGAGCCTTCAACCCCGAGAACAGATCAATCAACTCACGTCCTTCATCGACGCATCTCAGGTCAGTGTGCTATGCCCTCGAAGCTCAAAAAACCGTGTTTGAAGCCAGTTCAATTTCCTGTGTCCACTTTCAGGTATACGGATTCAGTGAAAGGGAAGCGAATTCCCTGAGGAATTTTTCGACGGATTCGGGTCTTCTTCGCGTAGGGCTTCAACTGCCAGGTCAGGAACCTCTGCTTCCCTTCAGTCATGACTCTTTCATGGACTGCCGACGAAACCAGTCGGAAAGCGAAATCCAATGTTTTCTGGCTGGCGATATCCGTGCCAATGAACAACTAGGTCTCATTGCAATGCACACTCTTTGGATGAGGGAACACAATCGAATTGCCACACAGCTCAAGGGATTCAATTCACAGTGGAACTCGGAAAAAGTCTTCCAAGAGGCGAGGAAAATCGTGGGAGCCGAGATGCAACATATTACCTATAGTCACTGGCTCCCGAAACTCTTGGGCCCGAAAGGGATGGAACAAATCGGCGAATACTCCGGTTACAATCCCAATGTGAACCCATCCATTGCGAATGCGTTCGCGACTGCAGCCTTTCGCGTCGGTCATACCCTGATCAACCCCATCCTGATGAGGTTGGACGGAGACTTCCAACCCATCCTGGAAGGCCATATCCCGCTACATAAAGCCTTCTTCTCTCCTTGGAGAATCGTTGAAGAAGGCGGGATCGATCCTCTGCTTCGAGGCCTCTTCGTTTCCCCAGGCAAGCAGAAGAGATCCGACCAACTGGTGAATTCAGATCTAACGGAAAAGCTTTTTCAGCAAGCACTTCAAGTAGCATTGGACTTGGCCGCGATGAACATTCAACGAGGCCGTGATCACGGCCTCCCAGGCTATAATGATTGGAGGCGATTCTGCAATCTGACTGTGGCAAGGAATTTCCTGGAACTCCGCTACGAGATCAAAGACGAGACCCTTCGAACCAAGCTGGAAGAAATCTATTCCCATCCAGGTGAGAACCCATTCAAGAGATAAGGTCCATCAAAGCTTCAAGCTTCCTTACATAAGTTTACTTCGTGCAGACAATGTGGACTTGTGGGTGGGGGGTTTGGCGGAGGATCCCCTGCTTGGTGGGAAAGTGGGCCCTACCATCACCTGCCTCATAGCTCAACAATTCCAAAGATTAAGAGATGGTGACCGGTAAGGATTCACGAGTTTATGCATTTATAATTGGTTTCCCTCTCTCAGTTCAGGGCCCGTTTTCCTGCTCAGGTTTTGGTATGAAAACCCAGGCGTCTTCAAGCCCGAGCAGCTGAGCCAGATCAAGCAGGCGAATCTGGCTCGAATCCTGTGTGACAATGGCGACAACATTAGTCACGTTACACGGGATGTCTTCCTTCTCCCTCACATTCAAAGGGATGGTTTCCTCCCTTGCCAATCACCTCACATCCCCATCGTGGACCTTCACTTTTGGGACGAATGTTGTCCCGGTCAGCTCTCTCGCCTTTCTCGCTTCCTGCTCTCTAAGCATCAGGGAATGATTCTTCAGCCTTTCATGTAGAATGTGACGAAGACGCAGAAGATGGACGATTGAGTAGAAAGAAGCGCAGAGCTCCAGGATTTTCATATCAAGAGGACAGACCAGGGCCCGAGGAGGATGAAGAGGATGTAAAGGAGATGAGGATCGAGGGGATCGAGAGCATGCTCTTCGAATTGCGAAAGACCATCAGCAAGCTCAACAAGAGGGTCAGGAGACTGGAATCTCAATGTCAAGGGCAAGTGAGATCAAAGGAAGGCCCATCCTGCAACGACGAGAGGGGATTGGAACGAAAGGAGGGAGAGAAATGGAAGATCGATAAATGCACCAAATGTTCATGCGAGGTCAATCTTGATTCTCTACCTATTCCTTAGGGCTGATGTGTTAGGGTTGCTTCAGGTAGTGTTTCCTTTTCATTTTAGGCAGGGGAAGTGAGGTGCAATGCCATGGCCTGTCCACCAGTGAAATGCAAAGTCCCAACATATAGGACAGATGAGTGTTGTCCAACGTGTTAAGGTGGTGAATGGCAAGGCATCCCAATGATTCATGTAACCTCTGGGATCTGGAACACACTTTCACTTGTATGCTAGTCAAGTATGCTTCCCCAAAGCCTCCTATTCCATTCCTTTCACTATATGACTGGATGCAAATTACTCTTTCTTCTGCCAGGGACAATCATCACATGTCTCCTATACCAAAGAGATAAGATGGCAGGCAGACCTCTCATTCCTGTCCATCATGAAAATGGCATAAAATCAAAATTTTCTGTTATCCAGCCATCTGCATGATCAAGATTGAAAAGGAAATAAAGACTTATTTAAAGCTTTGAGATAGTTTGCATTCAGAGCTGAAGCACTGGCATAAAACCATCTTCTTTCCATCCATGTAAGTTGAAGTTGAGTGAGTTGGTGAGTTGAACACCAAAGGAGCAGCTTAGAAAATATCACAGCACTGTGTGTACTTAGAAGACATTATGAGAATGCACTCAATCATGAGTATATAAATGAAAGGAATGACAGGATCTTTCCTAATCATCAGCATCTCACTGGCTTCATATTCATTCCATATTTTTCATTTCCCATAGCCAACACAATATATTAATATCCTTCTGAGGCTGATAATTCCATTTGAAATTGGCAAGAGTTACTGAGCTGTCCAGTTAATGTTCTTAAAGTTCTCCTGAGTAATGACTATAATTTTAAAGAGCAAAAAAATACTGAAAAGAAAGATCACAAGCTTTAAAGTTATTTGTAATAACCAGTGCATCACCAGGATTCTGGAACTATCCATGAGAATTACCAGCCCTATCAACCTGAAGCATCATAACAAATCATGGACAAGGACATGGAATTGTTGTTGACTTCTCCATTGACATCTAACCTTTGAGCAGCAAGGTTCAGAGAACATAACAGAAATTGCAGGCAAGGTACAGTACTGAGACATCAAAGAGGGAAATGCATCAGCAAGGAGCAGGAATCACAGTTAACTGCAACATCAAGCACTTTAGAATGACAAACAACTGTGCCACTCTTTGAGGCAAAATGGCATAGGTGTGAAGGAGTACCTATGATACCGGTGTGTGCAAATAATTTAAAAGATATCCATAAAAATTCCATAAATTAGAGCCATCAATGTGCTGCTACTAAGGGCAATTCAGAACCCACTGGAGATGAGATCTGCTTCCTCATCACGTTTTCAACGCATGAGAGAAAATAAAGGCCACCAAAGCAGAGATACTAAAGAAACTGGCAAAAACCAATAAATCATCAAAATTTTGATGGCAAAAATTAAAATACAAAGACCCCAAAAATGATACTGAAGCAACCCAGCACTCCCACCAGTCTGCAAGATAAACTTTCAAAATGGTTCATTTTCTGAACATATTAATTAAGCAAAAAGGGGATGAAGGAAAAATAAAAAAAAGACTACCCAGTACTGCAAATCACAAGCTTATGGAGGATTCCTACTTTTCATGAGACTCTAAAGAACCAGTTTGAAAAATACAAGAGTGTTGGTGCAATCTTGTGTTCCTAGCTAACAAAAGGGGAAGATGGCCTGGGACAAATGTATAGATCAATTCCTACTTCATGTGTGAATGTACCAATTAAGGCTAGTAAAGATGAAAAGGCAACCAGGTCGGCATAGGACATGGATATTGCATTGCACACACCTTACCCCTTAGCTCATCCAAGTCACATGAAAAGTGAAGATTCTGGCAGCAGAAATTTATCACGTATAAGAATTAAATGATCACGTTGGAGAGGTCTTCAATCCCAGCTCACAAAATCTACAAAACATGAAAAAAATAGATAATTTAGGGGTGGAGGACACATGGTTTTGGTTAGATGAATAGATGCTCACCTCAGTGATCATGCCAGCTGCAACAGTGGACCCGCCTACACGTAGCATGAATCTGCCAAGTTCTTTGGCATCTTTGTATAGTTCAACGCAAACAGGGCGAGCTATCTCTATCACCACCATTCCACTTGTATTTTTGGTTAGGCACCGAGGTCTTTCACGCACCACTTCCCCAGTAGACTTATGTAGCTGACAGATGATCCGCTTTATCACAGCTTGTTCACACAAACTCTGGTGATGGAACAGGGCCTAGTGAGATAGAGAAAGGAACACTAGAATCATGAAAAAGAATCTCCTTTACTCTGTGAATGATGAATGCCAGAAAAGCACTAACTTGGAAACCTTTTGTGACAGGCAATTGGATGTTGAAGAGCACAATGCGAGCCTGAACCTTGGTTGTGACTCTAATAGGATTGGCTGGATCACAGAGGACAGATCCCATGGTAACCAAAGCCATATCTATCCCAGATAGTGTCAGGACAACCTGATCACCAGCAAAAGCACTATGTCTGGCCACATCTTCCAAAGTCAAACCTTGGAATACAAAATCTTAGTGAGTTAACAGCCCTACAACCATGGAAGCAATTACAAAGAAAATAATTGGATGATTTTAAGGTTTACCTTTAACAAGTACACTTTCTCCCTGAGGCATGACCATGGCTTTGTCACCATTTTGGATAAAGCCTGTTTCTATGCGTCCAGCCACACAGAAACCAGCTCCCACAGATTTGAAGACATCACTGATGGGCATTCTGAAGGGTTTGGATACTGGTCTCTCAGGACACTGAAACCGATCTGAGGGAGAATCCATTCCAATATCTGCCTATGTCCAGGATGGTAAATCCAAAGAGGAAAATGAAAGAAACACACCAATAACTTCAAGAAGACATGGTCCTGTATACCAAGATCTGAGTTCTTCAATCTCAGGTCTACTAATGAGATTGACACCAGTGAGCCCTGAGCAAGGCAAGAACTGCAAGTCTGCTTCTCTGAACCCAACATGCTTTATCAGAAACTGGGAAAGTGTTTTCTTCACTTCCTCAAATCTCTTCTGAGACCATTTCTCATTGTCCAACTTGTTCACAACTACTGCCATCTGACTCACACCTGCCATACAGAACAGCATGAGGAATGTAGGATCATGCTGAACAAATGCACTTTCTTTAATCTAACCTATACAAGGTGATCTAATACATGTTTGAAGTCCTACAGCATGTGAATGCTGAAGCCTCTTGATGTGTTGATTGATCCCTTTTAAAGAGTTATATATCTCATCATTTTGACACCTCATTTGTGACCATATGTTAAAAACTGCAATTTCAGTGAGCATTTGAAAAATGAATCCCAAATTGATTCAAAACTATTTTTTCTTAGAAATGAAAAAGAAGTCATGAGGTAATGAGGTTGTTTTGAACAGGGAGATTCAAGAAGGTCTCCCAAAATCTGACAGCTGGTAGCTTCTAAAGCATAAGCAAGAACTAAGGAAGTAATTTTATTAATAATTTAACCCATAGCCATCATCTGATGGCATATTGTTGGGTGAAGATGATTTTTTTCTATGTCCAAAACTGAAAGTTTAGGAGAAATCAACTTCATTGGAATTTGTAGTAAAACAAAAGAGATAAGTTTGCAGAGTTGCATATTCCATCCTCAGATTTCTAAATTAATATGTGACCAGCTATGTCAATAAATTAATTTAATTGATGATGTTAAATGGCATAAATGGTATGGTTGCCTAGCAACCATACAAGCAACTTTAGCAAGTTCAAGTATGGAAGACTTGAGTAATATGAACTTTTCTTGAATGAAATGCCAAGGGGTTAATTCAAAATAATACAAAATATTACACACTCTTGAAGTTCAATGGTAGGCTTCAAATTGTGCCCCCCCCCCCCCCAAGATTTTGATAAATTCTTGTCATTGCTTTGAAAAGTCTTCAATCACTGAACTGAACTGTCACACAATAAATTATTTACTGATAGCAATCTCACTCCAACATTTAGAGGCCTATGTGAGTTTTATGCAAGCAACATTTGCAACAACAAACTTTTCATTCAAAAGCTACATCCAATCTAACTTGGGAAGACCTTTCTGAGCCACCCTGTTCATTTACATTTTCCAAAATCATTCTTTGCACACTGGTTCTATCTTGCTTGGAATGCATTGCAAGCACCTTCCATTATTGAAAATGGCATGTTCCTAATTTCCTCCCAAATTGCTACTTTTTCAACATTATTTTAAATAAGAAGCATTTGAGCATAAACCTACTCCCTTGCTTCAACAAGTTTTAAAATTAGTTAAAATGGGTACATTTTTAGTTAAAACTAATTTTTTTCTTTAAAAAATTGGTGTGGGTACAGAGGGAAACCATTTCACAAAGCTGCAATATCATTATCATGATTATTGAAAAAAGTATTATTATTGATTGCTCGAAAAATAGTCTAAATCAAAAAGTGAAGCCATTACAGGTGATCAGGACCCAATGTATTCTTTTTGCACACATAACCACAACTCTCACTCTGTTCCTCAGATAGACCCGTTCAATAATTTTTAATCAAGACAATAATTGGTTCACAAAAGGTGTGCATGACCCTTCTGTAAAGGAGACATATCTGGTGATGATGCCAGACATTTAACTCCTTTGATGGACAGAACCAGGTGTGTCAATAAAAAACTCTTCTAGGATTCTGATCCACTATAGGTAAGTACAGAGGTGGAAAAAGTTCTTCTGCTTCCCAGTAACCATGGTTTACCTTCCCAGTTATGTGAAATGACCCTGTGGTTCCCAGGGCTGAGCAGAGGCAAAAGCCGGGGGGGGGGGGTTGGCAAAAGATCGATTTTAAGCCACAACTAGGCATGAAAACGCTTATACGAGGGGCGGGGGTAGAAAAGTTCGTGGACTTTATTTTTTATACTCGGAACGCTTGCACCTAAAATCGGCATCTTGCTATGTTATGATTATTATAAAAGCATGCATAACATTCCATAAATTTCGCATATTGGCAAACCTTACCAGAGTGGAGGATAAACAATCATGGCGGAGGACCCTGTGAGAAAGCAGCCGGATTGTGACAAATTTCCTTGTGGCTGAGGGTGAGAAGGCCGCATCCGACGTTCATTAAAATGTTCATTTTAATGACACCTAATGGATGTTGGCCATTTAAAACCATTTATCCATGTAACCTTACGACATTTAACCATCTCCCCACCCTCCGGGGAATCCAGTAGCCGACCACTGCATTACAGCGCTGTGGACTGACACTCGAAGAGTACGAGAGAGCTAGAGGAAAATCAAATCACCCGGAGTTGGAAATGAGGCCAGGCCAATGATCGGCGGGAGAGAAACTCCCTCTCATCTCGTGTTGCTCTCCTTGGAATAGACATTAACAGTCGCAATAGTCATGGTAAGGGAGAGACGTCCGAGTCAGGAAAATTCGATACATAGCAAACGCGAACGATACGTACGGATTGGGCGGCGCTCCGATGGGGGATGGAGAGCAATGTATTCTCTCAACTTTGGGGTCAAATAACGTCGCTTGAAACGATATGCGAAGGATCAATTAATCTGTCAGCAGAAAGCCAGGTAACCCGAGGCCGACTGCCAAACGATCGATAAAAGAGGAAAGGAAGAGGTTTCCAAGGCGCAAGACGCCATTTAATCCGTGATGAGTGTCTCTCGCTTCGTGAAATGAGCAATCAAAATCGTAATCTCTTTTTATGCCGATGACAAGGCCGCCTCTTCATTACGATCTGGCAAAGGATATAGGTATCTTACTTCTCACCTATCCTACTCGCTGGGGCGAGAACCTACAAACCGAGGATCGAGGGAATGAGCAATACAGAGATCTTTTTTGCCTACGCACTCGGCACGGAAGAAAAAATCTATATCCTCGTCCCTGAACTTACAGACGTCAGTCGCGATGGAGATGTCTTCCCGGTTCCGCTATCTTTTCACAAACAATCGTCATTTACATTCTTTCAATCCGTTTCTATCTCTCATCCGAAACACTCCGAGTGACTCTCGTCTTCCTTCTCTTTCTTTCCGCATTATTTTATTCTTTCCCCTCGCTTTCCTTCTCTCAGTTTTTTATCCCTGCCTTGCCTTCCCGTTCGGCCGCTACCCTTCCCGGTAACCTGGTTACCAGGTTACAGAACTTTTTCCACCCCTGGGTAAGTATAGCCTCATGTGGAATCAATCACAGGATAGTAGAAATTGCTGAAGTATGTTCAAGCTCTCAAAGGCAGAACAAAAAAATTGAACAATATGAGATCATATCAGCACATCTTCAATATCAGGAAAAGGAGGAGGCTATGCAAAGACAATTCAATGCTGACCCAATGTGACAAATGAGTGTACTTTCAATGCTGAACTGTATTTCAATTTAACATTGTGATAACATTGAAAAAATTCTTCACACAACATTGTGCCAGCATTGCCATGTTGAAAAATCAATCCTCGTTCAACAATGACATAATGTCGTTGTGCTGAGTGGGAACCATCCTTCTGATACCAGAAGCAGTCAGCGAGGTTCTAAGAATTGGAATAACAAACACCTCTAAAATCTAGGAGTACCACTCCTCTTTTCCTTATTTTCCTCTTTTAAAGCTCATGAACATTACTCCCTAAAAGGAAACCATAGCATGAGCCAGAATTCTAGAATTTTTGTTATACTTTTCTTCCAATACAATTTGATTTTCTGTTCTCCAGAAATGACTTTTATGATTGAAATGTCATTCTAAGGAAAAGACTGCTTCATCAAATAAAGATAAATTCAGGCCAAGATATACAAAAACCTGTTCACAATATTGTTCATGAACTGAATGGAGACAATAGCAATATCCAGTTGCTATTGTCTCCATTCAATACATGAACAGGATGCAAATTTAACATTTTCATGAAGAATTTTCATGGTGCTAAACATTTTGTTGACAGTGATGTCCAACTGCATGGGACTCATGTGAAAATACTTATCCTGCCATTCGATCACAAAACTAGGGTTCAGCAGAGCCTCATACAAAAAAGCTTAGCAAAACTGCCTAAGAGCTTTCATATCCTATACATTAAAAACATAATGAAGCTGCGTGTGTGCGTATGAAGACTTGGCTGTCCCCCCTAGTGTGCGAGGCATAGAATGCAATGCCACTCTGGGCCATAAAAATTCAAAGAGGCCGAAAGTGGTGGTGAATGGTTGTCACTCATCTGCAGCCTAACATGCAAGAAAGGCTATGCCATACTAGGCCATAAAAACCTTGGTATACTTTTAATCTATTAGACGGCCAGTGTAGCAGCCGCACAGCCGCTAGTAATTTTAAAACAAAGTATTCAATGACACAGCATTTTAGTGTTTTGATTTGAGGGGTAAACATCAGCCACGACTATGATAAACATGTAAACAAGAGGTGCAACATTATTCTAACAGTTATCAGATGTTGGCCAATGTCAGGAAAATCCAACTTATCAGGCCAATACAATACAAGAGCTGTCAATAAAACCATATGGGTAACCATGCCCAGACTCAGGAAGGGCAGAGGATCAAGCAGGAAGATGGTGCTAATGCTTATAGACATAAGTAACAAGACTTATCCTTATATCTACCTTTAGTTTCCACCCGGGTTACTGAGTGATTGTTTTAGCAGGGAAGCCTATCAATTAGCTTAGGGTGACTAAAAAGTAACAGTCTTGTGTAAAGTGGATAGTAGATGCTGAAAAAATTTCAATGTTTTACATGTTTACTCACTGAAAACCATTTGAAGGGCTTTGGGTGGTAGGAGCCCCTCTCAGAAATAGTCTGCTGTTCACAATGAAGTTGGCAAGATTTTATCACCATAAAGCAGCAAAGGGAACATATGATTCAATTTTAGGAATCCTTTTAACGTCATGTTAAAATAGTTCAAATGAAATAGAGAAAAAATTTAAAGAAAATTTTCTTAAAGAAAAAGAATAAAGGAGGACTTCAAACATGTATCAGGGTTCATAGAACATAAAGTATTCCCCAGAAAAATTACGTTTCCCTTACCAAGGGAGCGAACGAGAAGAGCATGCTCTCTGGTCTGCCCTCCACTTTCAAAGCCAGTTTCAAATTCTCCTCTTGTGGCATCTACTACAAGAATGGCAACATCAGCCTGTGCTGCACCAAGTATCATGTTAGGGATGAAGTCTTTGTGACCAGGAGCATCAAGGAGAATCACTTCCTTATGCTCTGTCTCAAAGTGTGACTGCCCAATGTCCATGGTAACTCCTCTTGACCTATTGGATGAACAACAAGGAAAGGGTAAATATAAGGATGTGAAAGAACAGAGACAAGTAGCCTTGGCAAGATGAATGCTATCTCCTATATATGGTGGGAAATTGCTTTCCCCTGTCTTGTGTGCAGAATGCAGGAAAGCTTGAAACACAATATTGAAGGACATAAGGGACAGCCATTACGTATCCGCACCAATATTTAACCAACCTCAATTCTCTACACATGGAAGAAGAATAAAGGTGAGTATGATATTATAAGAATACAAACACTGCTCAATGGAACACTCACTTCATTCAACTGAATACACACCAGAGTCACTGATGCAGTGCAGATTAGTTCGCACAGCATGCATAAGCTCTTGGACGTAGCTTTCAGGAATGTCCTTGACCACTTTCTTTACTCGGCTAGATAATTCATCCAAGTTTTAAGCAGGGGTTTTGAAGAGGCCTAGCTGTCGGTCAATTTCTGCCCAGTAGCGCTCAACTGGTCTTGCCTGTGGGAGATTAGTGGGGTTGTCTTCTTTTTCCACAATCTTTATTCCCATGGATTGAAGATGCTGCATAACAGTGTTGGCATAGTGGGCACTTGCCTTGTCCGGCCAGAAGATGGCATCCCCATTGGGATACTTCTGGTTGAGAAAGGGGATGAGATGCTTCTTAATACATTCCTTGAGGTACAGCTCCTTGTTCACATTCATGCCAGAGGGAACCACGTAAACTGGACTCCGCCCATGCAAGCTGAGAGCCTGCCACACCATCAGCTTTGGACACAATTTCCTGACAGGAAGAACTTGTTTCTCTGTTGGAGTTGTACTGCAGTTACTGCTGTTGTAGAACGTGATTGACGTTGATTTGCTTTCATCCAAATGTATGTAGTGCTCATCATCCATCACAATGAACTCGGTGGATCCAGGTGGAAATGTTTCCCGAAGGAGACGATGGCATTTGGTTTTTACCTCTGCATCCTGTCCACGCTTGTAGTAGGGTGCCCTTCTCTTCTTGTACTTTTTAATTTTGAGTTGTCCTGGTCTAACTTTTTGGACATAGGACCTAGACCATCCCATTTTCTTGGCTGCCAGAGCATCGGGCATCTTATCTTTGTTGTCCGCCAAACAAGCAAGTTTCCTCAGTTGTGGTTTCGTTGCCAGAGTTACAGGATGGCCTGATTTTGGATTGGGAGTGACATGCCCACATTCCTCATACTTTGCCAGAATATCCAAAACAGTTTGTTTGACAACAACTCCACAAAACAAATTCACCACATGATGTTTCCTGCTTCATCCACTGATAGAATTATAGGCTTGTACAATAGCCTGTCATGTAACCATGCACAATGGTTGTCCCATCGCTGATACACTGCACATGCGGTGTGCAGTTGCACAAAGACAAAGTGAACTGTGCACTTGCATTTATATAGACTGCCAACCACATCTCATTGGTCAGTTAACAGCGCTCTCTAATTGGTGCAGATACTTAGTGGCAGTCCCTTATTATGGATTTCCTAGAAATGACACTAGTCCAGAAAGGGTATTGCAAACAGACTACAAGCATGTTCATGATTTATATCCCTTATGAAAGTCATAATGCTATGCAACATTTTGCACAGGTAATTTTCTCCTATTGCAGTTTTTGCATTATATGGGAGAGCTTAGCCACTTTTGTTTCAATATTTTCCGCATTGTATAAACAGTTTGAAGTTGAACACCTATTCTTCTTGACATCTCTCAATGTTTCATATTTGTGTTAATTAGTAGAACGCTGATTTGGCCCAGCTTTCCTGGGCTAATATTTTATCTCATGGTAAATTCCTGAGGATTCCTGACTGTGAGTAAATGCAAATTATAAATTGAAGAGACCACCTAAAACTGGTCAGACTTAGATAGCAACCACACACATGCAAATCATGCTGGATCAACAGAAAATTCAGTATAATGTAAATAGCTTGTTAAATAGGGTAATTACTCTGAGCAAAGGCCACTGCACAAAGTCACCTACTACATTGCTGGCATTGTTGGAGCACAAAATTCAATCAATATTGGTTGAATATACCAAAGTCATCTATGATAAAGTTCATCTCTGATTTAAATTTAGAATTCAGGTGAAAATGCAAACAGCACATGAAGTCCTATTAATTCCTTATACTCTGGCCAACATTGTACAATACTCTCATTATCTTATTCCATTAGGAACAAGAAAAATGATGTCAATTTTGCATGGTAAAAGAGAGTTACCTAAATGATGCTTCCTCAATTTATTTTTAAAAAATTAAATATTCTTTGTTAGAATCCTATTGAATTTATGAGTCAAAGTATAAACAATTTTATTATTGATTACCAGCTCTATTTTACATGGCTGCATTTCTATTTGACCAAATAAATAATTTTATTCTAGAAAAGGTCATAAAAGCTACCTTAGGATTTCCATATTGGGATATGAACTAGATAGAATACAGTACATACAGGAATCACCGAAATTCCTCATATTTCAATTCAGGCCTTCAAATGAAATCTTGATTTGTAGGCACAAGAGTGAAAACAGAAGTAGTATAGATTGCCATACCTCTCTTCACCAGTTTCATCCAAAACCCAGGCATATACAAAAGATTGCTTTCCAAGTTTCTTGCTCTCCTGCTCATATTTATGCATGAGCTTCTTGTTGACTTGACCATTAAGGTAAAGGAGATGCCCCATCAATGTAGACTTCCCTGCATCAACATGGCCTATCACAACCAGATTCACCTTCTCCTTCATATTCCCTCTTTCCTTTTGATATTCTTCTTGTGCATTAACCTTCTTCTTGATCTTGGCCCTGGAGGAATCATCAATCAAATGTACCTTTGAAGTACTGTTAATTAGATGAAATTACAATTGAATCATGAACCTAACCTGATGGGGGAAGGTGTTTCCTCAGGTGTACCAATCTTTTCAGCACCAGGACTGTCATCTCTACGAGATGAACACGTTGAAGATGCAGGGCTAACAGCACCTAGGCGATCATAAGGCCTAGGTGTAGATGGTGTAGAGTCACTGGCTACAACACATACATGCCATTCTTTGCTCGAAATAAACTTGATTACTGAGGCAAGAAGGAAACTATAAAAGACTCTAATTACCAGGTGATGGGATATCAAACCCATGAGACCTCTTGGAAGTTTTTGCAGCAACAACCTTCAATGCTGCACCAGGGAATCCATGGCTCAGGGCCATATTTTGGATTTCTTCCCTTACTTTCTCCAGGGCCACAGCTTTGCTTTCAGGGTCATCTGTCTCCTTTTCCTTTCGATCTAGAGAAAATAAATGATAATCCTTAGCTAAGCAAGGTGTATATGAATAAGCTATGAGGTCCCCAACGAATAGAATTTTAAAATTCACTACAGGGAAAAACATTTCCAAGTGTTCACATCATGAACAACAACTCCAGTCTACCTCGACTTACTTCTGTCACGATGTTTTCTCTCCCTCTGAGGAAGAGGTGCAGCTGAAAGAAAAATACAAACAAATGATTGGATATTCAAAATTCTCAAAGTAATAAGAATTCTACTGCTTGACGAACTTTCAGAAACCGCTGCAGAGCTACTGGTGCTATTATCCAAGACTCTCTTCAAGGCATCTTCAATATCGAAGTTCGCATCTCGAATGGCCTTGATCAATATTGTTTCAGACACTGATTCCCCAACAACACTTCTTAATTCATCCAAACATGATTGCAGTTTCCCTTCCTCCATTGGATCAAGAGGATAATTTATGGCACCACCATGATCTTGAACTTCATGATCCTCTTCTGCTATATCATCAACAGTCTGCATAAATGCAGACATATCTGGCTGCTTGCTCCTATCATACATGTATTGATCTGTAAAAATAAGCCAAAATTATCAAAGTCAGAACAACAATTCAGGCTAGTGACAATAATTTGGGGAATAATAAAGATGTTCATTGCACAGGTCTTATACAGGGTGAACCAGAAATAATGACTCACTTTAAAATGCTATAACTCTGAAACAGTTTTATATTTTTCATTAATTAATGTGGATTAGATAACCAAAATATGCAGAAGACAATCAAAAAGCATTAACCCTTTTGTGAGCAATTTTTTCTAATGTGCAAATGACAAAAATTCAGTAAATTTTTTTTTTCCACTTACAGAGATTTTTATTTTGAGAACTTATTTTATTTCCAGACTTTCTTTAAATATAAAAAAAATTATCATATTTGTGTTGGGAATTATTCTTCCCAATGCCCTTTTCATCACTACAAATTCATAACATTGCTGACATTGTGGTTCTAAATATACACAATCTTCTACAAAGCAGTTGAACATACAGAGGCTCAGGGATCCCTTACATGTGTCTATGAGGAATGAGACTGCTTGAAACACAATGGAATACATAAGGGAACCTTTCTTGAAAGAAAGGTTCCCTTATGTATTCCAAGCTTCTGTTTTATGTATTCTCTGCTTCTCGAAAGTGTTGCCCAAACAGGTTGCATGCTTCCGTATCTGGTCCAAAATGGCTTTCCTACGGGCCTCATGGGTGCCGGGTAAAATTTGTATGAAGTTGTCTTGGTCACTGGTAGATAGTGCGGATGTTATATAATGGGAAGAAGCCTTCCCAGAGCAATGGGAGGGTGAAAAGTTTGCCGGAAAGAATTCTTCCCAGCGCCAATGAAAGAGTTAACAAAATAAATATGTCCACACAAATGCATCACATCACTCTTACATGTTCATCATCCACCTAGGCACCACTTACAAGCAAAAATTGTCCATCAGTCCAGCACCAGTTTGCATGCTCAATGTCTCATCTCCACCAGTATGGCACTGAACCTAAGCATTATTACATCCTGTTGGTGGTCAAGGTTGTGGATATGATGGATGTAAAACTTGTCTTTAACACTTTTGATCCGACAGACATAACTGCATGTCCAGTCCTAGCTACTATCGGATGATGGTGGATGTAATAATACGTCCTTTTAAATTTGTCTAATATTGAAATAGTTTAACACAATAAAATAGGGAACTTATACTTCAATTTCCAAAAAAGAGCAAGTCTCTATTATTTTGTGTTTCGAAGTTAAGTATTTTTTGGTAGACCTCAAAATAACCTCAGTCACCAACCCTCCAGAGCATAAGTGTTAAGGTACTCCCACTGAAGGAAATCTGGTGGCGTTTGGTCTGATGATTGTAGAGGCCATTCAATTCAGCAACATGTGTCCTTTTTTCCATCATGCTTGCTGTTTTTGACAACCTGGGTGTTTATGTCCAATAATTTTCTTGTTTTATCCAGCATTTTGTCCAGAAGTACAAATGTCTTCCAGGTAGGAACTGGCTCATTAAATTTGTAGCACATTCTGGGTTGTTCCTGTGAAACATTGTTGGTATTGGAAAACAATCAGACTTAATCTAAGGCTATTCCCATGAGGCAGCCATAAATGCACCAAGTTGCTTTATGAGTTGTTAATGTGTTCCTGATGCATATGGGTACCAAATACACCTTTCATGAAAATATGTGTAACTCCACAAGATTTATAATGCTTTAAAGTGTGAGTCATTACTTCTGGCATACCCTGTAAACTATTGGGTCGATCGGAAAGTCCTGGCCGTTTTGAGAATTTTCCAGAAAAAAAATTTATGGAACTTACTCGAACCTTCCACAGTAGCAGTATATAAAGGGTGTGTGGGCATGATTACGCAGTAGTTGCTTAGTCATTCAAAGTCTATAACCATGACTTCCAAAATCGACTTTAACAAGACCGCCCAACATCAGTGCCTTCTTTATGACTTCCTATCTGGCATCACAGCAGCTGAATCGAGTCGCCGCATCTGCGCCACATTCGGCCAAGGTGCAGTTTATGAAAGGACAGCGCAATGATGGTTCGATCGTTTCTGGTCTGGAAATTACAGCCTAGAGGATGAGCCCAGATCATCTGAAATTGACGATGAGCAGTTGCAGCACACAGTGGAAGCCAATCTGAGGCAACTTAGCAACAGCACTTGGCTGTGCCCAGTCCACATTCGTGATGCACCTGGCTGCAATTGGCAAGAAGAGCAAGTTGGGTCAGTGGGAACCCCACGATCAGACCAACCGCGAACGCGAACGCTGTGCTGAGGTGTGCACTTCGCTGCTATCAGACAAGTGCACAAACAACTGGCTGGATTCTGTAGTCACTGGAGACAAAAAGTAGATGCTGTACGTCAACTGCCGACACAGGTGCCAGTGGGTCGATGCTGATGCTCAGCCAGAGCCAGAGCAGAAAGGTGACCTGCACCCCGAAAAGTCGTGTTGTGCATTTGGTGGGATGTGCATGGCGTGATCTACTTTGAGCTGCTCCCACCCAATATCAGCATCACTGCCACACAACTACTGCAATCAGCTGCAGAAGCATCACTGAGGAGATCGCAAGAGGTTGCCTTTTGGTGACAGCTTGTGTGATAGAACTTGATGTTCAATACCATGGCCAGTAATTATAAATAAATAAAAAATTTTTCCAGCATAGCATATTTGTAAATTAGTGGACACTCTTTCCTATGCAGAAAAAAAAAACTTTTTGCAAATTGATGCCTTCCTTGCTGAGGTATAGCTGTTTAAAGTTGTTCAGCGATTTTTTTTACTCACCCTGTATATTAGAACATGTATAATTTGAGGTTGAGTCACTGACTTGGGATGAGAGCTCAACTCATTAGCTATTCTGCCATGGGAATTGGGTTTCAGGTTGCACAAAATATATATTGTGCAAATATCTGATACAGAAGGAAACGGTTAAATTAAAGGAAATGGAAGGCAGGAGAAAAGAGACAATGAGATATAAAAGAGGAAAAGCAAGACACCAAGGAAGAAGAAAAGTACCAATAATTCTCTCATTCCCTTCCATTTAAGTGCAGTGGAAATGCAGTTGGTAAAGTATGAAATGCAACAACAATGAAAGTAGGATCATATATCTCAGTAAGTGGCAGGGCACTTTTGCAAAAGGAAGTGTATAGAAGGAGCAAACTTAGAATATGCACGTGAGGGACAGAAATCATGTGAAAGATGTAATAAGCATGCATAGGTTGCAACTTTTCTGGTTGTGACTGGGAGGCTAGCTGCTTCCTTAACCCTTTAGCAGATTTTATTTTTGAGCTGGTGCATATGCCAAGGGTGTGTTTTTTCTGGACTATGAAAAATTGTGCATATATTGAGCAGTGAAAAAACATAGCAGCAATGAATACCGGACTGTGCCTTCAAACACAAAAATGATAAAAACTGGAAGATCATGGTATACCCTGGTAAGCAGGGTAATCTCATGACTGAAATTTTGGGGTGTACCTGCCTGAGGGTTAATAGGATCTCCTGGCCTAACCAGAGAAGTTGGGAACCCTAAAGAAGCACTTGGCATGAACATCCCAAACTCACCCATACTTGGTGACCCACAGTAGTCTTCCTCCACTGAGTGACCATATACATCGAAGTATCCTTCATACTCTGGCAAGGAAGAAAGAAACAGTGCAAGTGAAATAGTATTGTAGGCCTATACTCAAAGTTACCAACATAGTGTTTAAAAATGTAGAAAATGATTATAGTGTATGAATTATTTCTTGCTAAGACTGTTTACAACCCACTCACCCATCTGATAGGGTATAGTAAAGCCAACATTTCCTTATCACTTCTGCTGTGCTGCAAATCACCAAATGTACACATCCCTATAAGACACTGGTACATCATAGTGCATTGAAAGTGTGGACTACAAAATCTTATCCAAGATACCTAATGTGGTCAAAATTGACCAAAATAAATCCAGAGTGACATAAATTGACTTAGATATTAATATAGCAGTTCCATTTATTCTATTCTTGTGTGCAACATAAGTGAGATTTCCACTCATTTCACAAGCATTAATACTTCCTTTCTCCTTTCTGCTCATTAATGTGGCTTTTCATTGAATCAACATTCTTCCCACTGAAATTTAGGACATTCTCAATCACTTGGATTAATTTTACAGTTAAGATAGTTTAGGCATTATATTATCCTATCAGCTAGCTGAGGGGTTTCAAAGTAATCAAGCAAGAATCAATATACTATTAACCAATGGGTCCTAACTCTTGAGGCACACTATATATACCAGCTACAGGACCAGGTTTTCTAAGGATCAAAATGGAAGCAACTCTCACCTTCATCATAGTTCATACCCCGGACGGACCGATGTCGTGCCATGGTAGGAGTCTAACACCTCCTGTGGTGCTTAGGTCTTATGTCAATTATTGCAGTACTGGTGAACCAAAGTTAAAAACTAACTCAGCCTAGAGCCAATATTAAGCTTGTCAAGTTTATGAAAGCCCTATTCCTTTTGCAAGTACAAAATTTTCCTTAAGTAGCAGATACCAGTAGGCTTAGGCCCACCACTTGTGATGTACAATGTGAACTGAGTCTTTTGTAAGTCTTTGCTGCAGAACTGTTCTGCCTAAGTTCAACACAGTATGAAGATGCAGTCACAGGCAGAGTTGAAGAGTAATGATGCATGAGTGTTGCCGTAAAAACTTCTAGGACACGTGTCTGGAAAGAGAACCTTTTTTCTCTACCCAGAACTTGACCAGAACCAGACCTGAGGATTTAAAAACACATTAACGATAAATAGGCCTGAGTCATATATACATAGGGTACCATGCAAGGATGGGAAATTAGTCCCACAATTACTGCATTGTTGAATGGGTAGGAAATAGAAAATTCCAGGCTTTTGCAAAAATACTTGGTTTACCTCTTATATGGTACTTCTTTGGGATCATTACCTCAACTCAAGTTTAACCAGAAAAATGTACTAAATGTATTAACCTTTTTTGGCAAAAAAAATTTGGTAGGTTTTACTTAGGTCCTAGAACACAGGAAATGCGGAAAAAAAAATTGTTTAACTCAAATTTGTAAGCAGTAAGTGCGAAAATGTTATTGGTGCTCATTTGCTAAAAACAGCATTTTCAGCTTTCTAACCCAGGCTGCATTGACGCTAGTGAGCTCAGTTGATCTGCCAACACTCATACATAGATCAACACAAAAGAAAATGTAAAAATATACGGATGAGCCTGGATCCTGGATTAGCATAATGCACCAAAAACGTCAGTCTGTCACCAGACAAAGCCGGGTATCTTTAATTTGCTTGCCACCAGGGGTGTATGATGCCTAGCGACTGCATGGTTGCTAGGTATTAGGACCAGACTGTTGCACATCTGCTATGAACTGATTTACCTAAGGAAATCCCTGCCTAAGCATTCTAAAAATTTTTATTTGGTATGTAGCATATCTGCTATGTTGTGCATTAAAGGGTTAATTATAAATGACTAGCTGTTGTAAATAGAGCCTGAATTCCTGGGAGCTTAGGTCTATACCTTGTTACTTAATATGCTTAGGCTACTCAAATTAAACTTGTTGGATTAAATTGAAAAATCTGGGCACATCAGGCCAAGGCTGTTAGGATGACAGGGTTGGAGTGAGGTGGAAGAGATTAGGCATATCATGGGAATAACATCAGCCTAGTTTGCTAATGCCACAAACTAGGAAGACCTTGAAAAGTAGGCACAAAAATGCCAAAAATATTTTCAGAGAAGAGAAAGAAATGAGTGGCAGTATCCAGCTATTGCTCTCTTCATATTCCTACTGTTTTCAGTTCTGGACATAGCAGGTTCAATCCTTGCTTGCTACTCACTTTGGTTTTCATTCACTCAACTGAGTTTTGAGCACACCAAAGACCTGATTGTTGGGTGTTATATGGAGAAGGGTTCATGGGAATGTAGTTGCAAAAATGCAGTTTTGCCTTGGATATAAGAGAGCCATGAGCAGTTCTAAATATAGCCAGTTGCTTAGTAAAATCAAGGCTCACCACTACTTGGTTTCTGGCACTTGATTAAAGACCAAAACAACTGAAAAAGCCTGAAAATTCTGCAACTACTTGGCATTCACTTTTCTTTTTCCCTTCAGATATTAGTGGTTTGGTGGTGATGGTACTTCCCCTTACATAATGATCCATTCTCATACAGAATCCTTAAAATGTTCCCTCATGAGCTTTACTTACCCCACAGCCTACCATCATTACTGTAACATTGTATGCATTGTAGTTTCAGCTCTACTCATTTAGGCATGTTTCAAAAAAGGTCAAACCTCCTTGATAAGAAGTCTTCCATACGCCACGTCAAGGTAACAATTTACCTATATCATACATTTACAACAAAACCAAATCAAGTCTAACGTTACACGATTGTAAGGCCAAGCCTAAAAGAAAACGGCGAGACTAAGCTAAGCTCATGCCGACGTGGGGCATTAATCCGTTCCTGCTGGACCGATGATGTGACACGGATTCATTGGAGAAAAGTGACCGCGATGGCAAGGGCGTAGACATATGCCAGTGACTCAGGGAGATGGTTGGCTGATCACGGGGCCTCCCCAGCGTGCTCCGCCTTTCCTCTTACCTACCTCGCTCACCCAATTCCCGCCTCCAGCGCGAAATGATGGCAGCTTCCTTGCGAACTCTGCGAAATGCTGTGTGTCGAATTTCTGTTTGCAGACGCGCCCTCCCTCGACCTGTCAATGGTATCACACGGACATTTTCTCTGCAATCCTCGCTCTCTTCTGGTAGGTCAAGTAATCCTAGAGTCAATGCCTAGTCACATAGAGCTAGGCCTTTGATATGGAGATACGCAGACAACTTGAGCTTTTAACTGCCAAAAGTAACACACGGCCTAAATAGGCAAAATTTTCCATCACTTGTTCAGCAGTCTCGAGCTATGCTTTCCCCATGCACAAAAAGTTTATGCATAAATCCAGAATGACTATTATGAAACGACTGCACTGATTTATTGTAGGGCCTACAAGAGGTAGATGTAGGGTTGCCACCCGTTCATAATTTGTATGGACAGTACATATTTCAGGTGCAATGTCCATACTGCAAACTGGTCCTAATATGGACATGGTTTTGTCCATGTTTTAAACTTGTTACAATTTTTTTCAATGAAGCGTAATAACAGCTAATATCGTTTATTCAAAAGCAGTAGGCCACCCTCAGTATCGATTGGCGCCTTGGCTTAAGGCGGCTGTAGGACGAATTTAGAATATTTGTCCATATTTTGTTAAATTCAAAGCTGGCAACCCTAGGTAGATGCAAACAGTTCTTATAAGTTTTTAATTTTCAAGTGCCTGCCTTGGAAGAGGGAAATACCATTTGTACCTTGCTGCTTTTTTTGTCTGCTGCATACCCTTAGAGCACAGTGGAGATTCGCTGTGAACAAGCAGGTGCTTGTGGATTGTATGCTAATGTACTCCCAAAGACTTCTATCTATTCACTAACTTGTGTTGGCAAATGTTTTCCTTTGGGGCTACTGTGAGTTCAGCAATTTCCCAGTATGGTGTGCAGGGGTTGTGCTAGGTTTCTTGCTGCAGGGTTCCCCTGGTAATTAAGGAGGATACTTTCCAAGTGAAACTCAAGGGAATCTTGAAGGGTTCCCCAAAGTACAAGTCCACCAATCCATGTTTATTTCCCAACTTAACACAACCAAGCAGTATATATTCAATCCAGCAGTCTTAGACCTTCTATCTGTGCATTCTGGGGGTCCTGGGACCCCCAGGACATATGGGCAGGAGGCCAGAGCAAGAAACTTAGCACAACCCCTGGTGTACACACCCCCATAGACCTTCCTCTCCAGACCCAGAAAATAATGAAACCCAAAGGATTTGGCACATGTACACACTACCTAGGTCTTTAGGTTAATTTTTTGTTTGTTGCTGCTTTGGTTAATGCAGAATTTATCTGCTACTCTTCCTATGTTAGCTTAGCCTACAGAAGTTCTTGCTAGTTTCAAGAAGTTGCTGGTTTGCATGGGTTCTTTGTTGTATTTCAGGGAGGAAGTTCACAGAGAAACATGAATGGGTGACAGTGGACAAAGGCATTGGTACTGTGGGCATCTCAGATTATGCCCAGGAAGCATTGGGTGACATTGTCTATGCACAGTTGCCTGAACTAGGATCTGAATTCTCTCAGCATGATGAATGTGGAGCTCTAGAGAGTGTCAAAGCAGCAAGTGAATTGTACTGCCCAGTTTCTGGTAAGGTCACTGAGAAGAACACACAAGTAGAGGAAAATCCTGGCCTAATCAATACATCCTGTTATGAAAAAGGTATTTTCTATTATTTTATTTCTAATTGATGACAAGAAAGCTCCCAAAAATTGTCTCTGGTTGTAGTTGCAAGCTGCAGTCACATTTTGTCCTGTGTAATGTTTTATTCTAGGCTGGCTCTTCAAGCTCAGTTTGGCCAAGCCAGAGGAGTTGGACAAGCTCATGGATGAAGAAGCTTATGAGAAATTTCTCAAGAGCCAAGAATAGATTGTGCTCATTCCAAGACTACAAAACCATGTTTTCCCACAAGGCAAAAACTGTTTGTATGGAAGATCTCACATCAGTTATCAAGGCTTCTCAATCCAGGCTTCCCCTCAGGGTTTCCATTTACCTGCTGGAAGGATAGTGAGGCTTACCTCCAAGACTGCTTCTGTTGGCATATCTGAAAATGTGAGAATTGTGATGAATTGGTGCAATAGGATCTGTGACTTGGACTTTCTCTCATGCAATTTTAGCTGTAAAGGTAGTGGAAATTTCCACACAGTATAACTCATGTTCAAGGTATTGGTTTAGTCTTCTTGTCTTTCAATAATTAGTAGAGTGAAGAATTTGATGCTATATTCTCTTTGTGCCTTCACCATTAAACAATCACTTTGGCAGATTGAAGCAAGCTTGTCTTCTTCCTTACATAGGAACATAATTCACCTTAGTTGATTAATGTTTAGGACTCACACATATCTTTTTTTTTCATTTTTGTAGTTCCTCATAAATTAAATTTTAGTTGTGGGAGAGTTCATAGTACTCCCTGTAGTTGGCATCAGCTTGTACACTGTTTTTGGATTCTCTTCATTTCAGTCATCCTGCCTCCTGCATTAAAATATTTATATTGATTGCAAGCAGTAACATCTTCCAGGTGGCTGGTTGCTTAGGTCATCTAATGAAGCAAATTCTCTGGAAGTAGTGCTTCCTCTTTCCTCCTCTACACTGGGGGGGAGGGGGAATGAATTCAAACTGAAAACTATGTTAGAGTCATGAGCTTATGGGAGGGCTGCCAGATTTGTGGTATGCCATGTGTTCCTATCACAGTAAGCCTACAGAAGAAGTTGCTAAATTTGAGCATCCTACAATTGGGTATTGAATTTCTTAGTCATTACATGGCATTTGACATACTCATCCCCCTTTAGAACTGGAGGTCAAACTTTTGACACTATTATGCTGTGTTCTCCAACACTCATCTAATCAGGATGGAAGGTGGTAGTTGTGATCAGTTGCATATACTGGTAACAGGAGGTGCTGGATATGTGGGGTCTCATACTGTAGTTGATCTGCTGGAGAAAGGCCACAATGTAGTGGTGGTTGATAATCTTTGCAATGTACACATGGGTGAGTCTCCTTCTGAAACACCTTTCCTGTGTATCTGCCCCTTTCTGATTTTCCTTGAACACTTCCTTTGTTGCATCCATACATAATTACATACCATTAGTCCACAGTTAAATTTGTCTGTGGTTCAGTCACTTTGGCTGACTGTTTATCTGGAGCAAAATCCTTAATTTCTTGCAAGTTTTTTGAGATGGTGCTAAAACCAATTGTATTAGCCTTGTTTGAGCATGACCAAACTTGCCTGGCAAGCCAGGGAATTCCTGGGAATTAAAGGTGCTTGAACAGCCCTGCCACCCCATGACCTGGGGAACCAGGCAAAAACTGGACCAGGAAATTGAGGGTTTTTTTCCAGTGGAAGCTGGGAAACTGGAAACACCCCTATCATGTATTCATGGGCTTTCTCCTATTTTTAGGGTGTTGCAGTGCATCTGTTATTCTTGTAATGGCTAGCTTATGGACCGATGATGGACACTCAACACTTTGTTTCAATTTGGAATGAAGAGCCCATTTGTGAGATGTTTGATGGGAGGAACTGTTTGAATTGCCCAAGTGTACCAAATAATCTCAGTTTGACTCCAAGAAAAGAGAAATAACACAACATCTACAAGTTACAGCCACTTCTAAATTAAATCAATGCTAAGCCAAAAATCTCTCCATATGTAGTTTCCTATTCCTCATTTCTATTTCCATTAGATATCTCATCATGCAAGGCTTTCTGAATTTTATTACATCTCAAGTAAAGGAAGTGCAGTGTAGAGAGTGTTACAATGCATGGTAGACAGGACACAAGAAAGGCAAGCAGGACAGGAATTACTGCCCAGTCCTCCCCATTCCTGGGAATTTGCATCCTGCGGCTGAGATTAAGACCTTGCCACCCCATGGTGTATTTTCATGCTTGAATGCTACTGTGATTCTTAGCATGCCAGGCAGGCTGGGTTTTTCATGAGCCTGAATGAAGATATTGTGAAGCCTTTTGTCTCTGAAAGGTCACAAGTGACCATTATTTTTGTCTTATTTGCTTATTCCAGCTACTGATGGAAAGAAGCCTGAATCTTTGTTGAAAGCTGAATCCTTGACAGGAAGGTCCCTTGAATTCCACAAATTGGATATCGTGGATAAAGAAGCACTTCAGGCTGTGTTCTCCATGGTGACTTAACATGACTTCATATTTCCTCCAGCATGATCTTATGTAGTGCTACCAGTCAAGTTTTTGCTTTGTTGTAGAAAAACCTTGTCTGTTCTTTTTTTGTGTGCTCATGGAATTTTCCCCTTCATTTGCAGTTCCTATATATACTGATGATACTGAGGAGACAGCATGAAACATCTTTGGTTTTAGTTTCACCAAGGTATGCCTTTAAAGTGTATTTGTTTTCTTGCTTCTGCTATGCTTGCTTGGTCAACCCTTTTCACAAAATCAAGTACAGGTGTATTTAGTGATTTCCAATTGCTTTTTCAGTCCTTATCTGACATTTTCTCTGATGTTGAAAAAAATGTGGGTGTCTCCTAAGCAGTCTGTGATTGGAATGTATTGACTGGTATGTGCACCATAGGTCTGCAGTGATGTTTATGTGCTATGATGCTCGTGACATCTCATTTATAGAACTAGAATTTTTTATGATTCACATTTAGTGTTTGGATATTTTTGTAACTTTGCTTACACAACTTGGAGGTGACGTGCTTATACTAGTGTCACTAAGTAATTATTGAGTCTTGCCATGTTCTGGTGAGTTTGAGCTCAGCAACATGTTGCATACTTGTGTTTGCTTTTTATTATGTGATTACTTTTCTTTCCTAGTACTAAAGTGAGTTGTTCATGATAAGAATATATAATAATAAAATATCATGCCATGATAAAGCTTCCACTCCTCAATAGCGAATCCAGCCAGGAGATCCAATGAGTCATGAGTCTATATAACTAACTAACTAGCTGCAGTCGCACCTTTGGCACTCCATTGTCCTATATAGTGATTTGTTTTTCCATTTTCAAATTTCTTTAGTTCCATCTTTCATTGGATCAGAAAGGATTCCAGAAAATGTGCCTTTTGCAAAAAATTTGCCCTTGGGGGCTTCACATTAAAATTAATATTTTTACTGAAATCAGTACTCAAAGAACCAGATACATACTGAGTTTCGGCCTTATCCATGTGTTCTTTTTGCTTGTGCAAAAATATATTTGGAAAAGACATTGCAGCCAAAAGCTGTGCCCTGAGGGTCTGCACCTCAAAACTTAAATTTTTTCTGAACTCACTATCACCTCAGTTATTAGTGTGCCAAGTTTCACCTTTCTATTTCTGCCCAATTCTGTAGGGCAAAGATAAATTATTTGAAAACGTCGCCAAACAAAAATATGCCCCCAGGGCATATTTTTCTTTGGACATCCAAAACTTGACATTTTTCCTGAACTCAGTGTCAGTAGGCACATCCATGTCAAGTTTCAGTTTTCCATGTTCATCCATTTGACTAAAGCAAAAAAATTATTTGAAAGCACCTCGCCTTAAAATTTGCATCCCTGGGGCATTTCCATGCCAGGTTTCAGCTTTCCGTGTCTCTCTGTATGACTGAAGCAAATATATATCATTGAAAAGATAACCCCCCCAAAATGGGTGCCCCCAGGGCATGTACCTCCAAAGTCTGATTTTTTCTGAACTCTGTATCCCAAAAGGTACAAATGTACCAAGTTTCAGATTTCTGACTTCTCTAGAACATGGTTAGAATTAGCATCGGTAAGTCAGTCATGATCATCTATATATATTAAATATATGAAATACTGTCTATATTTGAGTTTTCTCATTGTATATGCCATTCAGGAGTTGTAGCTCTGTTATGGTGGAAGATTAGGTTTTTCTGTTCTTGACAACTTGTCTCAAAACCTGAAAAGAAAAGCATTTTTGTGGCAGAAAAGTTGATGGGAGAGCTATCCCAAGACATTAGAACATGCATCATAGAAAGCTATTTGGTGCAGCATGTCATGTCACTAAACTCATTGCCTGTAACAGAACATGGCAAGGCTCTACACCTGTTGAGTGTGTCTTGTATCAATCTCTAAGGTTGTATTCAAATTTCTACATTTAGGGTTTCCTTACATATGGTGTTTAAAAAAAAAAAGCACCCCATTGCTTTCAATGGGAGAAAGCTTCATGTAAATGACCAAGGACAATAGATTGGTTAAACCATCAACTTTGGAAAGACCTCAAGGTGTTAGAATGAGAATTTGGCATTTGTTTATACTCTTGTCTAAACCATGCAATTTTCTGTAACATTATTTACAGGTTGATCATTTCACCTTAAGTGTGCCAATGGTTTGTGCCCAACTATGATAAGATTAAATTGAATTTGGCACACAGTTGGATCATTGTGAGAATAGCAAACATTTGAAATTGTAGGTCTCTATGCCAAGTTAGGATCAAGATACTGAGGGTTAAATTTTGCCTCCATTGAAAAAATTTGTCTCCAGAAGTTAACTTTCTTTTTCTTTGTCCTATGGAGTTGGTACCTATGTCATATTAAAACTAAAATAAATGTTAATAAAAGTATTTTAATAGATTTAATTATTTTTTTATTTTCTCTGAAATTTTTACATTTAAAGTTACTTCATATTAAAAAATTCAAATCCATGCATCTATGAACCAATATGCCAAATGCATATGAAGTGCTATGATTCCTACTTCTTTTCACTTTCAGATTGGAAAATTGTAATAGATGAAAAATTAGTGGTTTTACAAAATCTTGTAAGTATTTTTGTGAGTAATTTGAAGTGTTGAAAAGTTTGGGGACCTTTTTTCCCCAGTGGAAAATTTAAACCCAGGTATATTTGCTCTCTTGTAGATATGTATGATTTCAGCTCTGCAACATTCTCATCATAATCTGACTGCAAGCCAATTCTTTTTTTAACTTTGGAAGGGTCAAGCAGAGGCCATTGGAACACTTGAGGTGGAATGACCTACTGGACATTGTATGGCTCAGACAGTGGCAATAACAAAAGTCTAATCTTCATCCCAAGACCTCATGGCTTTCCCAATGTTGATAGCTTATCTAACTTATCGTTCTTGGATATATTGCCAGCTTTCTCTCATGGAATATGATCTGCTTTTTGTTGCACCCCCTTTTATGCTATGCACCTTTAAGTCACTGCACTTACAATAAGCTGGTTTCAGTGGGGTAGCATAGTCATATTGGTTCTGCAAATACCTTATGGACATACATTTTCTTTCAGTTTCTGTTGGAAATTCTTTTTTGGAAAGCATCTAACCACTGGCTCATTACTTTACAGCCTATATTTATATTGATTACTGTTGTCCCATATTGGCATTTTTCTACCTGACTGGAACATTTAATAGTGAATCTGGGTATTTAATAGTGATTCTGGCTTCCATATAAAACTCAAGAAACTAGTTCAGATGGTGGTGGACTCTCTCTCTCTCTCTCTCCCCCCCCCCTTCCCCTCCCCTTCCCCCCAGCTGCCAGGTGACCCCTCCTACTTTCATAGGAAATGTATGCCACATATAGGAGATATTGGTGCAGTACAGTGTAAAAATCAATTGTGCCAGTCATCACCCTCACTAATCTGTGAGCAGTCCCTAAGGTCTCCTTCAAGACCATAAAAAGGTATCCCTGGCTGAGGAACTGTGATGACTAATGTATGTATTGTAATAAGGAATTTATAATTATGTAATTTAATCTTGGTTTTCCCTACAATATTCAGCATGAGTTGTTTCCAATTCAGCAGTGCTCCTTTTTCCATTAATTTTTCCAGTTCAATCAGCATCCTCCATTTCAATTTCAGCTACAAAAGGGAATCTCCTGCTTCTGGTTCTATTTTGGTTCCTGGGTATGGGTATGCAGATAAGGGAAGGAAAGAGCCAATATTTTCACATGTGAGTTACTTTATGAGAACAGAGCATCTATACTATATTTCAGTGTTTGTCTGTCCTTTATGCATGGCCACACCTCTGATCCCAGTCTGACCAAACTTTGTGTGGCTTCCTCATTTGGTCTGGGGATGGTCATTGGCTAGGTGGCTTTTCAAAATTTGGACCCCTCAGAGCAGGGGTGGCCCAATACCAAATGGTGCCCCAGGTGAGGAGCATCTTCCCCCACCCCCGTCCTGGGCATTCACCTGCCCCTAAATCCAGCCCTGCCCTGGGGTACTGTATTTAGTGCAGACAAATATGGGACCTATACAGTATTCACCCATGCAACACTGGGTACCTCTGCTAGTATGACATGCAAATAACATGATCTGGTGTTCAACATAAACACAGGATATTTTCAGCCAAGAATCATTCTTTTAATTATGGTAAGGAATTCACATGGACATTGAAGTGATTCTATCAATCAATATTCTCTCTCCTTTGGTGTCTAACCAAGTAAGTTTGTGCATGGGAAAAGCACACAGAGTATTGATGATGTGCCTGACTGCTGCCTCCTATCTCAAGCAGCTTCTCTGCTCAAATTTGCTGCAAGCCTTGTCATGGTCTTTGTCATCCAAAAGTTCTGTCTGAGTTTCAGAAAGGTGCAGCTCCCACTAGACAACTTGAATGCAGAGTGGACCTCTTCTGCTGGATTCAAGAAAGGAGAATATGTTGGCAAAAACTTCATGTGAACATTTGGAAAATCCTCTCGGACAAAGACTTATTTATGGGATCTAGCATTATCCATTATGACATAAACTGGTTCATCTGGTAGCCAAGTCATGTGGTGCATGTTTCAGGAGCTCCTCAAAGAATTCCTGAAATGTCAAAGATGTGAAATGCTCATGTTTTACCTGTTGTAACAACCCTATTTCTGGGGGATATGGCACATGACATTCATGCCTCTTGGAGTATGTATCTCTCTCCTTGTTGGATGTCCAGTTCAGGAATGCCCCTAGGATCTTCAGGTCCACACTATATAGCCAGTTGAGATACACCAAATGCATCCCAACACCTAAATGGGTCAAATGATTTTTTAGCATCAGATAAGTCATGCTATTACCCTAACCTGAAATGAGGAGCATTTCTTTGTTTTGCCCCATCTTTCATGAGCTTCAAGGAAAGCATTTTCCCTTCAAGTGCTTTTGCTACTGAAAGTTCACTATTTGTGACTCAGGTAGTCTGGAGCACAGTTGCATTTCCATTTCATTTAAAATGACTGCTGGGTTTTCCTTGATGATTCCGACAAGCTCATCAATCATTTCTTAGTCCAATTTCCCATAATTTCAACTACCTTTCAGTTTTGGTTGAACTTGTTCACTCTAGACATCAAATTGAATCAAATTTAGAACACATTTTCAGCTTAGCAAAAAGTTATTGTCAGTTAAAAATTGAGCATGTGTTTTCAGTGCTGCTATACTCCCAGATAAACTTTTATGATTGATTGAGCTGTTGTTCTTGTGATCCCCTAAAGCAGGGTGACTTCTTTGTAATTCTCTGCAGGTTCTTCAAAAGCCCTGTGTATATTCTGTCAATCACCTTGATATATTTTGGTGTACTAACCTTGATGTTGTCTTGTGCTGTTTGCCATCTTGCTCGGGCCACTTTGTAAAACACAGCATGTGTGAGATTGGATGCTCTGTGTAGCAAGTCCTCCAGTTGGGACATGTTCATGCTCATTTCACTGCTTGTGAGAATCCAATACTGGGATTTCACTCTTAATTGATACTAATTTTAGCATTGGCCATTACAATTCTGACTTTCTAAAAAAACAAAAAAGAAGACCATTGATTTAACATTAACTAATGTTGATGGTAATTCAATTGAAAGTAAATGACTGTACACCATACAGTGACAGTCTGACAGAGATTAACATGTCGATTTAGATCCCAAGTCAGCAAGGAGAGAGGTACACACCCAAGGAGTCTTAAATGTCATGTGTACCCTTGCTATATCCCCAAAAATAGGGTTGCTACATAATCAGATGAAACAGAAGTGCATCACATCTTCAACTTAGAAAGTAACTTGTGGGGAAACATTGGCTGGTTCCTTCCCTTCTCTGCATACCCATGTTCATTTGCCAGAAACTGGAGATTCTTTGGCACTGCCAAAATGGAACCAAAAAAGTGAGAGGAGGTGGAAGCTCTTTGGGAATTAAAATGACTCATGTTGTGTATTGTTAGGCAAACCTATACTAGACCTGAAAGAGGGCACTCAAACACCCTGTAAACTGTCTCTCAGTTGAAGTGGAATTTGACTGGCCATACAAGGCAAGGCTGATGTGAAAGTGCTACTGGTCACTCTTGCCTCAAATTATCTTTATTGGTTTTTGTTTTTCCACTAAGAAAGGGGTGGAGGAAAGCAGAACCATTTAGTATCTAAAAAGCCAAGATAAAATAAGATGCATGCAATAGATGGAGCAAAGGGCTGGTAGTTATTATTGCTCACCTGCAAGTCTCTATCTTAGAAAAATCAGCCAAAAATAGATATTTAAAAAGAGACTGTAGAAACACCCAATAAGGAATATTTTGGAAGCTTGTGACTCATAGGAATAAAAAAAGAAGTGAATCTCATCTTAAAGTGTTTCATTTCATGACATCCCCCCATGTTAAAACATGAATCCCACTCAATTCTGCTGTAAGGTTTTTATGTTTGCAATGCATTACTATTAGGCTACCAAATGGGGACAGTATAACTGATTCGAAAATGTGATGGAAGAAATTCAAAGGAGTAGGACCAAAAATGAGATACTCCAGCTTTCCAAAGAATGAAAGTGAAATGTGACTAAATTAGATTTGAGACCCAGCCCTGCTTTTTAGCATCAATCATCTCCTTTGGAGGTGCATTCTTCTTTTTTTTTTTATCCTGAGAGTGTAGAGGAATAAAAAAAATAACCAATTGAAGTTAAAGTTCTGCAGATAATTTGAAATAAGTCAATTTTCTCATGGAATGTTCATTCTACAATTAAACTACACATTTGAATTTTGCTAATTTTATGCATTGACTTATCATTCAACAGCAAAAGTTTGACTGTGTCTTCCACTTTGCTGCTCTGAAAGCAGTTGGGGAGTCATGTGCAGTCCCCCTCAAGTACTACAGAAACAATGTGGGAGGTACTGCTAACCTTCTTGAAGTGAGACAGTTCATCTTTCTACCTGCGAATCTCTCTTGAAAATGTATTTTTCTTTTTAAATAGAATTTACTTACATAGGTGATGCAGGAGAATGGTGTGATGCGGATTATCTATTCTTCATCTTGTACAGTCTATGGCGATCCATTGTATCTTCCCATTGATGAATCTCATCCCATGGGCAAGAATATCAGCAGCCCTTATGGAAGAACCAAGGCCATTGTAGAGCACATGATGATGGATCTCTGCCATGCTCAAAAGGTTGCTGTTTGTTTTCCTGCCTCTCTTAGCATGGAAAAACACTTGTTGATGAGGAGTACTTGGGATTGCAGGACTTGGGGTGTGTGTTTCTCCGATACTTTAATCCTGTGGGGGCTCATCCATCAGGAGAGCTGGGTGAAGACCCATTGGACACACCAAGCAATCTCATGCCCTATATATCTCAGGTGGCCATTGGGAAGAGAGATATGTTCTACATCTTTGGTGGGGATTACCCTACTTTTGATGGAACAGGCAAGTCCCTGATTTCTTTAATTAAAATTATGGATTTCACTAAAACAGATTTTACTCTTGAAAATGTACTGTTTTGAAAACCAGGTGTGAGGGATTATGTACATGTGATGGATGTTGCCAGAGGGCACACAGCTGCCTTGAAGAAGCTCATGAACCCAGACTTCCATGGATGGAGGGCTTACAACTTGGGCAGAGGGAAGGGCTACTCTGTCATTGATGTAGTTAAAGAATTTGAGAAGGCTTCTGGAAAAAATATCCCATTCAAGGTGATTGCAAGGCGACCAGGAGATCTTCCATTCGTTTATGCCAATCCCAAATTGGCCTATGATGAACTTGGCTGGAAGGCACAAAGTGATCTTGATGACATATGTGAGTCTTTCCTGCACCCACAGGCAGATCTTATGCAGCCTTATTTTAAATAAGATTTTGTTTCTACAAAGGGATTATGCTGCTCCCTTTGAACCAAATTTTGCTTCCTCAGGTCGTGATGCATGGAATTGGCAGATGAAGTACCCTCATGGGTTTCGCCTTTGAAAATCCACTTGGGCTCTTATGGAGCTCAAGTGCAAGACAAAAGATCACAAGTTTCCTGTGATCATGAGAATTCTAGTTTTCCCTATTTCTACACATTGTCCAATGATTATTGCATTAATTCAGAGCTTGTGATCTCAACCCAAGAAGAGTTTTTTAAATGTGAATGCTGTAATTCTCTGCTTGTATCCATCTGTTGTTTTCACATTTCAAAATAAAGTGGGACGTTATTCCTTAACCAGGTCTCCTGATATCATTCCTATTAATGGCAACATGAGATGTCTGTTTTACAGCCTCGTCATGACAGCTGCACTCACTGCATTCTTTTTCTTCACCTGCACATTCCTCCTGGGTCCATGAATACGTGTTGAGCTTTGCACGAGCGGGGTTGCTGTCGTTGCCATCATTGGTCCAGAGTCACTCTTGTACATCACCTTGTGACCATAATTTATGATCAGTGTTGTTTCACCAAAACTACTGATGTGACTCATACAGTGGCGATAAGGGAAAATTTTAATACTACACTGGGCATGAGGTGGCAAGGAGAGAGAAAAAATTTATCTTATCACCAGCATGGTAGGTAATACTGGGGATTGTCATGACGCCATGAGTTGGAAGTGAATAGAATGGAGGAGTGAGGAACGTCTGGAACTGGGATCTGCCCTCTCTGTTGCTGTGACTCACCTTTTCAGTTCGCATCCACGCACTGACTTTCTCGCTGTCGTGCCAGAATAATTCCCGATGAGGTGAGTTCCTTCTTTTTGTTTTTTTTTTCAGCCTGTGAATATGTGCGCACGTTCCTACGTAGGAGAAAGGCAGGAGATGAAAGCGATCTGATGCTATAGAGAGCAAGTCGGGTAAATGCCGCATTGGCTGTTTCCCTCGTACTGCTTCGTGGAGTATGTCGTGTATCTGGCTATTCTATCTATGGCTCGTTTCTGTACGCCGCCCACATAGTATAAATCTATAGAGCAGGCATTCAGAGAAATTGCGAAAATACTCGCTAATTCTCACCATCGAATTTGAAGGCGTTACCAGAATCGTAGCTTTATAATACAACTTTTCCACTCCAGTCGCTCTAGTAAGTCACGCTAACGCAAACTCCGAAATTTCCTTGTCTTCTTTCGTCTTGGCCGCGACGTTTTGTCGTGTCGCACTAGGATTTCAGGAGAACTTAAGAACGTGTTAAAGGATCTTGTTCATATTACGGCACACGGACGAACAGACCGGCCAGAACAAAAACTAGCAAACCGATTTCAACTGATGAGATACCGATGAAGTTTTTTTTAAGTCGCGGTGTGCCATTTTGGGGTTTCAAGTACCGAAAATACAAAATACGCAGCAATATGTACGCAGTCGTATCGACCGGGGGGGGGGAAGGAAAGCACGACCAATCAAAACATTTGAAGCGTTGTTCTCATCTCGCTCATAGTGCGCATGTTGGGGGTTGTCTTAATATTGACTTAGAACGAAAAGTAATAAAAGTATTTTTCTTTTAGAAGGAAAAGATTTAAATAAATGAATAAAAAGAAAGTCATTAATCCAAAATGCGCACAGACTGATAAGAACGAGAACATTGCCAATATGGGAGCGTAGTTGCAATTGAAATATCCCTTTTTTTCCGGCTTGATAAGTGAACCGATTTCTAAAAACAACGCACCCATGGATGCCTTGGCAATGCTCATTCTCGCATCCTGAACTCCTAGAGCTGACATTAATAATAAAAGAAGCAATTCCGGTGGAGTGCAGAAGCAATTTGAAAAGTGGGGTCTAAGTGGACTTTTTCATGAAACAGAGATTCTTGTATGCGATGATGAGACACACAAGAGAGCCAAAATCCGTAATGTGCACGTCAGAGTAAGAACCATGAGGGATCGTGCCTGCAAATGCCAGGAAACTAGACTTCAGCGCCTAAAAATCTCCTGTGAAGCATAAATAATTTGCGAATAGATCTCAATCGATATTTTTAAGCCGCGGAAATGGTTATTTCATGGTAGTATTCAGCAAACCATGGCATCGACGATAATCGATTCTTACTGGGATTTCACAGTCTTCTCGTGTGACGATGATGTGAGCTTGGAGTGATCCAGGGATCCAGGAATGATTTTGGTTTAATATCCCACCAATTATAATGAACACGTTACCGCATTCCTTCAGGCTCCAGAAACGTTAACTCCATCACCAGGTTATAACGAACTTTGGGCAAAATTGTAGTCGGCCATCAAATATTATTTTAAAACTAAGTATGGTTTCATCATCACAGGTCCTGCCATTACCAATCAATATGAGCTAGCAGCAAGACTTTCGGCTGAAAGTCATCACATTTACGGGCTTTTCAGCAGTTTCATCCATAGGGAACATAATTTTTTTCCACATATGGATCTACGGATTTTGAGAGAAGATTGCAAGATGTTATCCAAATGCACTGACTATTCAGACTTGCAGCTACACTAAAAGTATGTACGCTTCTGCTCAGAAATATTGCCTGAATTTAGTCTATGGTCAGTCAATGCAGCAACATAACTAACTCCCGTTTTCAAATGAGCGATTGTAAGCTCAGATGAGAAGCTAAAAATCGAGCCACGTTTCTAGCCAAGGAATGCATTACCTATCCGTGAGTACGAGCTGAGTAGCTTCACCTCGCCCATCCCGACATGACACCAGGAATCCAACGAGTAGTTCGCAATATTACTCTACGGAGATAGGACGGGCATGACCCAAACCTACTTCTGCATGGGAGGCTTGGAATGCAAGTGGAAGCGCTGCATCATATATCCTGTAGAAAGTGAATGCGATTCCTCGATATCTACGATAGTATTCAGATGCTTGCGAGAGGTACCGCATATCGATGCAGTACAGTTTTGCATGAATGACTTGCAGTCTTTCATATCGTATTGCTGTCTACAGCTAATAGCCTCAGCATTGTGCTATTCCCAAGGAATTAAAGAGCCCTTGCATTTCGATCGCAGATCCTGAGGAAGTTCGTGTCCTAAAATTCCTAACCTTCTAAAATACCATTAAATAACTGCATTCTAGAAATACGCTCTAATATGAGAACGGAACTATTGCATTTCTTCTTCTGACATGAAAATAAGTTGTCGATGAATTAGGGTTTAATCGTTGAAGTTTGGTGGTCTGTTCTTGGCATATGGGGATAAGTTTGAGAAATATGAAGTTAGAATGATCAAGTTTGACAAGGATGAAATAGCTAGTGCACATGAGACAAATTGGGTGATACTGTATACATAAACCATGTGACCATGGATTCTGATGACGACTTCCTATTCCTTCGTGGCAAGGTTTGTATGCGAATATGAGTAGCAATCGCTTTTCGGGGATGCCAGTCTGCTTTCGAACGCTTCAATCAATAAAGTCTTTTTTGCAGTTGACATCTATTCACAGCAATATATGCTTGACAGGTGACTCTTGCATCGTACTTTCAGGTGCGTGATCTTCGGATTTTAGCTTTCTCGTAACATATGACTCGATGGCCTTCCCCACGTGGCTTCGTCGACGATGGCCACTTCCTTTCTCAATCTCGACGCGATAGCGTAAGCTCTTGGGGTGGCATGGGAGATTCCAGTCACTTTCAGTCAACTTGTCAGATTTCATGAATGTGGACAGCCGAGAGACGTGGCCTGATGTGCTGATGTGATAAAAGCAGAGCGATGACCTATGCGAAACTCGAAGGAAACCAAAACTTCCACAAAACCTCGATCGTGTCCGAACGTAGACACGAGAAAAGTTATGAAGGAGCGCTTTATGTCGCAGATTTTGAAACTTCGAACATTATCGGACAATATACTTATTTGAGCCACGTTTCATATCGAAGTCTCTATTGTACACAGCTTATTTCATCAAGATTATTTCTCCAGAAATATTATACAATAAAATGACAAAACTCGAACACCAGAAAGTTGAGTGGAACGCACTCACCACAAGGTGAAATCGACCTTAAGTATGTGCGCTCGCCTTCACCTCCAGATGTTTTAGTTTTGCTGCTGATTTCGAGAAATTATTGCAGATTGAGATGTTGATGCGAATGTCATAATTCTTTTACCAAAATTTTTGGGAAGATAAGAGCAATCTGATCGATCCAAATTATTTATTACCTTGCCAGATTCCTCGGTTCCCAGCAGTGTTTGCACAAGGTTTCGCCAAAGGGGAAGAATGCTCTTCTATGATTTAACGACAAAGAACAAAGTTTTTAAAGTACGGGTACTCGAACCGAACACCAAGAGTTTTCAAGAGGGAGAGCAAACACGACCTTGTATATTTGTTTGTTTTTTTTCCCGCTACGCTTGGTATTTCAAGGATCGATATGTTCGAGTGTTGAGCATGCAAAGATGCAATGCAATTGACGTTAATGATGTGAGATAATGAGAAGGTGGGAACACGCGTCATGGAAGCCTTGCCCGGTAATGATGAAGCATCACCATCATGCACGATGGGGACCTCGGAATAACGATTTGAATGGTGGGAAATGGGGGGGTTTAACAGTGCATGACTCCGTCACTCACACCCTCTTGTCGCAATGCTCGTTCACTTCCTCTCGACCTCTCTCTTTTATTTTCATACCAATATCCCTATCCGTGTCCGATGTCCACGCATTGTGGTTCTGCTCGTGTGTGTACCTGTGTGGAATTCCGAGTCCGTTCGTGTTCGTGGAACGTCGGGGGGGGGGGGGGAAAAAGTTGGGGTCTTTCTCCCGTGTCTTTGTGACCGACAGACATTCGTCTTTCAATCCTGGGCATCGTGACCAGGCAAGTCGTTTGTCCTCCGTCGAGTACGAGATGAGTACCAGGGAAAGAGTGCATGGACCGCATTGAAGGGAACAAAGACCTCATAACGGCCTGGGTTCGTTTTTTCCCACGGCCATCTTTCTCGCCGATCATCGCGCCCGAGATGCTAATGTGAGGAAAATCCGAATCCCTCGTTTCGCTGGACTCAGATCGTTGATATGCCAAATGCATCGCATTCCATGCCGAGGTCGATCGGTAACGCTTTGAAGCGTCTCAGGTATGAACCTTCCATTTCCGGGCATTGAATGCAATGATAGCACGCCCCGTGTCGTGTGTGTGAATGCACGGGGATGAAAATGCCACATACGATTGCATTGAAACGGCCTTTATCCTCCCTAATACCTGCATGTATCCTTACTGTCCCATGCGACACAATTTGGCGCCTTCTTCGCACGAATGCCGAAGTTGGGCTTTTCAAGCGCTCCGCGAGACCGTTTTGCACACGAAATGGAATGAACGCGGTGTTGGGAAGGAGGGCAGCTCATTTCCGAGCTCTCAGCCTTCTACTTCATCATGTCCGACCCATGATTAACGTTTCTTTCATGCAAGACTGGTTTTCCGGTTCATTTTGACCGAAAATCTCCGATGGGACCGCGGCGGTGTGGTGAAGTCAATCTCGGAGAAGTTAACCTAGGTTCTTATAACGGTAATTTCGTATCGTTTCACGTATTTTATAGAAATAGTCCAAGAAAATGTAAATCGGATATGGGAGGCCATTAAGACGACTTCTTAACAACGGGATTTCTGAATAGTGTGGGTGCATGTGTGGGAGACCTGAGCACCAGGCAGAAAATCACGTCCTCGGCTTCGAAATCATCAATTTTGACCGAGATAGACCGACAAACCGAGCCAACGGTGCATTTGGCCTTTTTTAAACCACAACTCCACGAGAGTGGTAAACCGGTGGCGAATGGTAATCCATTCGCTTCCTGCATGATTCCTCAACCTTCTGGAGGGTAACGTAGGTCAAGCGGTGTCTCGACGGAAGGCATATGACTTAGCGGTTCGAGGTGGTTTCACAACGCGCAGTTCGCGATGGCGGATGATGGACTAGAAGATAATGAAGCGACCGATGTGTTTCCGGTGTTCTCTTGAGGAGTCCTTGGTGGAAACGACGAAAGGATGATGGAGTGAAAGAGGAGAAGGAGAAGGAAAAAGAGAAAGAAGGAGAGGAGGAGGAGGAAGGAATCCAACAGTGCCATATTTGTTCGTCGAACCTCGAGAAGAAAGCCCATCCCCTTCAATGTTCCTCTTGCTCCAACCTCACATGTGATTCCTGCATCGTCTGGAACCCTGGATCGAAGCTATGGACCTGCAACGCTTGTCTTCAGAGGTCAGAAATTCTCGGTTATAACAAAAAGTACTATTACTTACATACGTGAGCACCCAGACCAGTACACTTTCGTTCTTCACGCTTCCAGACTCCAAAGGGTTTTAGACTTAATGCGTGCCAGATGGAATGCCTCTTTTCTTTCTGGGTAGACGGGGAAGAAAACACCAGACGTCATTAGGTCACGGTTACTCTAATCCTCTCCTTCTTCCCCCTCTCGTAATTTTCTGCTCAGAGTGCGTCCTTGAGTGGTGAACTGGAACTGCTGGTTACACTCCCCGTCTGCTGCCATGTAATCCTTATATATCGCATATTCTCATCGGTTGACGGTGAGGGACCTCTTGACTCACCGGAAACTGATCAAGGTTAAACTCATAGAAATACCCTAGACTGTAAATAGGCCCCATTTCGTTCTTTTTTCTCCCCGGTCGAGACCCGATCGTGCAGACCGCGTCTTAGAGTTCCGACCACTTATGGCCAGATGCGTTTGACACTCGTCAACACGAGAGCAGGTGTATCTCAAGCATCTGGCTGTAGTGGCCCTCGCCTCTGTACTCGTGCCGATCCTTTGCGATGACAGAGATAGAAGCCACCAATAAGGAGGAAATATATTTGGTGCGGCAAGTCCTTTTTATCTTCATTAGAACCCTGACCTCCCTGTTCGATGCACTGCTTGTACGACGACCTGCACATACCTGCTAAGAAGGCTTGGGATCATTTACTGGGCCAGAGATCCTTAGCCAGGCATCGGTCATAAGACTTATATGAATGACGCGAAAGGAGCTCGGGGAAAGAAAGAACCCTCGGGCTTGGCCCCGGGGCCATGGTCTAAACAACGACCGTAATGTCGTCTCCGGACTCGGGGTCCAGGACCCTCACTACATTCTTCCTCCACCCTTTATCTATCCACTCCCTCATCATTAGATGGACATGCACACGAGGAAGAGCTAATACTTTTTGCACTTTCACTGAGTACGGTGGAAGGTTTTTTCCCTTCTTCTCTCCCTCTCTCTTTTTTCACATGAGTTCACGGTCTTCCCATGGCGCGCTGCGGGCTATTATACCTGTATAACCGAGCTCTCTCCCTTCGCTCTCTCTCTCTCTCTCTCTCTCTCTCTTCTCCCCCTCCTGGCTAGTGCCCTCCTCTCGCACGTTCAACGTTCATTCTGCGATGAGGAGCGAGGTGGACACGGCGCACCCCCGCACTCGCCTCGTGCTTTTTGAAATGCCTTCATTAGTGCTCATTTGAGACCGAAAGCGTCGTCTCGCCAAAAGTGTAGTGATCCCTCGTCGCTTAGTTCCGCGGCTAAAAGGAGCACCTCGTGCCGAACTCAATTCGAGATGAATCCTGAATTGCCATTGGAAGACGACAGCGGGTGAGATCTCCAATCCTGCTACCCCCTCCCCCCCGTTAGTAAAGTAAGTCACCGTCTTTAATCTCGGGAGGGCGCGTATTATCACTGGGATCTTTTTCTCCCGATTTTAATTTTTTTAAGGGGGGGGGGGTTATTAACCCTTTGTTGGCATCTCTCTCGCTCTCACGAACACGCGCGCACTGCTTTCTTTGTCGGCTCTGGAAGGCGCAAGACCACGTTTTCCTCATTCCCCGCCCACTGCAATTTCCCCTCGTTCATTACAAAATAGAAGCTCTGAGGCAAGATTCCCCTCTTTTACCCTATTAGAGCTCATTTCCCATGACACACTCCGATCCAGCGCACGCTCCATTCGTGCTTGTCCAGGTCTCCTAGGAATGAACGCTTGGGACCGTGGACTATCAGACTAGAAAGTAACGGTTCGATGGAGAAAGATGCGGAAAGAACCCAATAGGAATCGTGCACAACGAATCGGCAGGATCGATGGAATGTGGAAAACTGGACCCGTAATCTCTTTCTCTCTCCCCCGATATATACGTACAATAACCTCGAAGGAACCATTTAGGAAGCGTGGAATTTGCGAGAGGGAGGGGGGGAAGGAGCGAGCATTGTTTTCTAATCAGCTCCCCATTCTTCTTCGCCACAAAGCTCTGCACTTCCCGTAAGCGTGGGTATCTTGTATGCATCTTCCTCGTAAAATGGCTGCTCACCTTGGTACATCGATGTAGTCAGAGTTGCCTCATTCAAGCGGTGAGAATTCTAGTGCTCTCACAGCTCGGTCTGCAGTCGATTGCAGACACAAACATTGCCATTGATATATTATGGGAAAGTCGAGGTTTAGTTTAAAAACCTCATCCAAATCGAGGCTGTGAATGCGTTCCAAGGTGACCTGGTAAAATCCTTATGCCTGTCGGTATTCGCCAGGTCAGCATGCCACTTGATTTTACCTTAAGCATACACAAAGAAATCACTCATTGAAATGTATACAAATCGTGTCGTTGGTCATGAACTATGACAGGAAGTTACGAAAGCTTCGAAGGTATCTCTGCACCAGTGGACACTTTGGACCCGGGACAATAGTCGAAGCTGTTCATTTCCTCTCACTGCCTGCCTTTGAGATCGCGGAAGAATACTTGCCGGTCACCCAGAAATCGTGCCTGCCTGTTCTTTCATGCGAAGATCCTGGGAAGAATTTTCTCTCCGTGAGGATCGTGAGTGCGATTTGAACGCGTTCGTGAATCTAGGCAAAGCTCCCCGGGATCCAATCTCTTCCCCTTCCTGGTTTTCGTTTCGTATCTTTCCCGCTATATGTGAAGGGAAGGGAGGCTGTCACAATGACTGAATACTTCCATATAATCGAAACCGGTGGCGCAAATCACGCTGTTACGCTCACGAAGGGCGGTCAACTTTTTTTTTATACTTATAAAAAATATACATTTAAGATTACGGTCCTGGGGCCACTATTTTCTTGCACCCATGCTTCCCTGCCACATCACTTCAACATGCTGTCCACATGCCATCTTTATTGAAGATGATATATCGCTTCAAGGTTGTTTTGTTCAGATCGTGGCCGCATTCCATTCTGGCCTGAGTGATGACCCGTGCCATGACACAAAGCGTTGAATTCATTGTCATGATGACTCGGATCACGACCCAGGTCACAACTGAATGCGGCTAGCGCTAATGGAAATGTGGTGCTGTGGGTGAAAAGAGACGAGAATAGGGGATCACGGGACAACGCATGACAAGATTGCTTCAATTACAAGGTTTAAAATGCCTGAAATCATTTTATTATAATTCAAAAAATACACCAGGAAGTTAATTTGTTGTGACGCTAAGGGACGTTTGCATTCCTTTAACAGCCACATGAACGTGGACAGTCTGAATGAGAGTCATCGTCGACTGTCTGCTAATAGTTGAGAAATGAGGAAAGGTCTTTCCTGGTTCAAGGGAGAAAGAATCTGCCCATTTGTGTAAGAAGGAGGAGAATGAATAGCATTTGCTATTGCGATGCCTTTTTTTTTTAAATATAATAGGATCATTTTGAAAAGGTGACACGTTGTCCTTTGAGTCAATTCCCTACTTGAAAAATTGTCTGCTTATTTTAAATCAGATCGAGTTGAAGGCTTGAGCACCCATTCTAGATTTCTGAGTAAAGGCTACGAGCCTTTAGTTTAGTTGATTCTGCCAGAGTTACCTTGGATCACGCAAGGTAATTCTGGAAAATGTGATAATTGTAAACCTTGTTCTTTAAAACCATGTGGTTACCATTCTTACGGTTGCGCTTCCTTTTAAAGGAGAATTATCGAGTTCCCGGATTACCAATTCCTATTGAATGTAGTGGTAGCGTCTCCAGTAGATCGTAAAACGGCAAAACTCGAGCACCTGACGGTTGAGTCGAATGCACGCACCTTAAGGTCGAATCGAATACACATTATGGCGGTCATCTCGACGATATGGTTTGTGCGTTCGACTCAACCTTTAGATGTTCGGGTTTTGCCGTTTTACCCTATATGTATGCGACTGGCCCTTCACTGCAATATGTTCCCAATTGGGAACATGCCCGATTAATAATGTATATATACTGACTGAAGTCTAACTGTGTGGCAAATGGGCAATTCCTGAAATATCCATGTTGTTCCTGATTGAGAAGAATATAAGATTTAAAAATCTATGTTTATTACCGACTCGGAACATATTGAACATTTTGGGCCAGTACCATAGCTGAGTAAGGACATTTGGCCTTACTTTGTAACGAGTTCTTAATTTTTTTTTTAGATATTATATCTTAAGTCTTAAATTTTTTCATGTTTTGTCTGAAATTTTAAAAATTATCTTGTATCTTTCTCTGACCGCTTCCAAATTATATCTGTTGCAGTTTCTCACTTTTTGAAAATTTCCATATTGGCAAAAACCCAAACTTGCAAAAACATGACCAAAATTTGGCAGTTTTATGCAAAATATCGTCGTTCGGTGCCTTTAAGAAAATGTATATGATATTGGAATTTTTTTCTTCGAGACTTTAATTTATCGTGAAGTAAAGGGTTAAACTTCCCGGCTTCTGCAAAAAGGCTGAGCAAAGCAATGTAATATAACACCGACGACATCCATAACATTTCTTCATATACCCGAATTACCCATTCAGAACAGCATTAACATATCAAGGTCTTCACGTATTTCTCATGTAGTTATATTGTAAGTGTAGGAATGCTGTTGACATTTAATCAGTATTGAGTTTCGCCACTAATGTGAATTCAGCACGGTGAACATAGATTATACATTCATTCGCTATATACAGGGTGGTGTAAAAGTAGGGTTACAGTCAGCTGTTTATTTATTTACAAAACATTTAGAAGCTATTCTGGGAGGTGTTCAAACATTTGACACATTTCTGGAAACGGTCCTTGACACTTCTGCACACTTTTTGTCACAGTTCCTTATTTTTATTGATCTCATTGAATACATCTGGCATCAAACAGCTGTGTACCTACTTTTGCACTACCCTGTATGTGATACTGGGGCAGGAAATTTCCGGTACGTCGTCTGGGAGTGAGATGTTCGTAGGCAGGGGCTTATCAGAATCCTATATAACCCTGATGTGACTAATATTTCAATGGCACTCTGATAAGCTAAGGAAGGAGTGTTTCTGCCTTTTTGTTTTTCGTGTGAAGAACCTAATTTCGCCACTTCAATTTGATTGGACTGATAAGGAGAAAGAAGAGCCGTTCCCTGAAACCACCTTCCTGACTGTTCTCATATCTTTTATCAAATCCGATCCGTTGCTAGTTTTGGCTCCAGGTATTTATCGGAATGGTACTCGCAGCGCATATCGGTATCGAAGGTTAGGATGCCACGTGCATTGAGTTGCCCTCTCGGTGTTAGGGTGAAAAATGGCTGGCCTGGGCCTAACAATGGCATTTTCACAATGCCCTGGGGTGCCGGATGGCAGCCCCCCAAAGTGCCACATGAATGTGACATACCAATTCTTGTCAAGCAGAATGAGAGGAAGGAACCATTTTCACGGTTTCCTTGCCCGGACTTTGAAGGAAGCGTAGAAGTATGAATGCATACATATTGTACACACACGCCTGGTATCCGCCTATTTTACATGCCTTTTTTGAATCCGTGCATTCCTTTCTTGGAGGAAGTTGTGGAGGAACGAAGAGGCTTATGCGCGATCATGTGCTGCAGAAACCGGGTTATGTGCCCACATGCTCTGCCATTGCTTCATAAATGACCCTAGTACTGCATTCGGGCATGCCTATATGAGGATGATGTAGAGTCCATTGTGCTCGGAGGGGGATTTCCCACGTTCACCGGGTCAGGTCCACTTTCTTCTCACATCGTCCAATATAATGTAACTGTCCCTTGTTTCCCTCTGAGAAAGCTGCCCGCCTGTTTTCACAAAGCTTCCACTTTGCCACTTCCTGTCTCTCATACCCCTTCACCAGACTCTACGATTCTCCGTTTCTCCGCATTCTATGGCCTTCCCTTGGCTTGCCGATTCGCTTCCATCAAAGCCCTAGGTGTGTCAAGGAAATGGGGCCACGGAAACTGGGCGTCTCAATCGATCGTGAGTGGAGGAGCTGAGGTGATGGAGTGAGGGGTACCACTGCTGAGTCATCTACATTCCACCTATTCCTGCATTTCATCCTGTCTTTTCATGCCGTCTTCCACGTTTGCAGGCCGTGGTCTCTTCATTCCTGGGCTCTTTCAATGCCCCTGCGAGCTGTCCTGCTTCACTGGAGATATTTCTCAAGTTCTGATATATGTAATTTCGCGGATGGCTCGACCGATTCGGACGGTCGGAGGTCAGCGGATCGTGACCGTTTTACCCGCTAATGGATTTCATTAGAGACTCCTAACCCTCGCCTTGTTTTTCTGCCACAAAGAAAATCCGCTGGACCTGAGCTCATTTTGCGTTTGCGGTCACCTTCGCGTAACAGATGGCTCCCGAATGACTCCATTCAATCGATTAGGAACGACCCACACCACTTACCCATCTGGCTCCACCCCTGGAGTACACACTAATCACCAGACCATTTGAAATCCGTCAGATATTGCACCACTCCGGTGTCTTTTTTTGTAGTCTAAACCTCAATCTTACTTTAAAAAAAAAATGGTTTCTGGTTTCTTTTCTTCACACAGGAAACTGCAGCACCAAACCCTGAATAAGACACCCTGGTTCTACAGTTCCCAAGATGTGGCAAACGGCAGTGAGTTCAGAGTTATTTCTTGTCTCCCATGTGGCATTATCAAATAAAGTGCGCGATGAGGAATACAAGAGAGAGAGAGAGAGACGGAGAGGATAGATCTGGATCAGAATGCATCGTCATGGGAGAATTCAAGGTTGTTTCAGCATGGCACCAGTTCCTGGTTACGCGAGCTGTGCAGCTTCCACCGCCAGCACCTTTTTTGTTTGTAGGTCAACAGGGGAGTTAGCGGATGGTTAAAAAGCGTTATCGCTTCCCTCATCGTTCCTATTCTCTCTTTCTCTCTCTTTGTCCCGTGTGCCGTATATGCGCTAATGAAACGCGTGGTGTCCATACGAAGATGTACAAATGTAGTCAAATTGGGGTGTCTTTCGTCTAAGAAGCAGACCTTTGGGAAGCCGACCGACAGTTTTATAAGAGGTAGAACGATACGAGCCGTGGAAATGCAGATTAACTGCATTAATTCCTGGAGTGCGCGAGTAATTAGGTTTCGTGACTACCTGCGGAATGGTGACGACTGCCGCTTGCCGCTGCGCTAGCCTACAGGGACTTCCTGTGAATGAGAGTCCGTGTGTGTGTGGGTGAGCGTGATTCGGATCAATTTGCTGACTGGCAAACCTCCGGAATGATGGGAACAGCATCTTCCTTTCCTTTCCCCTGGCCCTGGAGTGTCATATGGATGAATGTGCATAAAGGATACTCTCATGCTTGTGAAGATGAATAGATCACCTTTCATACTACCGACTCACGACCGAATCCAGGGCTCACGTGTATGAAAGCAAAGGGGGATAGTGGCATGTGACGGCCACCGTTTCATTGTCGATGGCCGATGCCATTCATTCTCGTGGTTCCACCACCTGGACCTGATAATGCAAGGTGTAATGTGCACATGTAGATCCATTCCCCTTTGCAGCGGATTCCGAGAACGACTCCGGTTGTCCTGGGTCTGTGAGCCCTGCGTGGACGGAAGGAACAGGATCGAATTCGGAGACAATGCGACCACCCGTTGGCTCTCCCACCGATCTCCATGCTTCCAATGGCAACGAGTCTGGGCCTCGACTCTCTTTGTCACCAGGTGAGAGGAAAGTGTGGGATGGCTGTGGAATAGGTCTGTTTCCTTGTCGACTAAGCTCTGCTAGGCAATTCCATGCCATTTCCTTTCTCCTGCCTTCCCTACCTGACATCCTCGTTTTCTCCCTCCCCCTCTTGTTTGCCGAATTCCTTTCTAAGAACACTGGCCGATTCCGGTCATTGCGTGCGAGAAATGGCTCCTTCCTGCTGCAGTTTTTTCTTCATATCGAGTGTCTCTGGCTCGAGGGCCCGAAAATCAGTTTTTTTGTTGATCCGTTGTTGCAGAACTTCCGGAAGTGGATCCTACGACGGCAGAAGTCCGAGAGCATGTGGAAACCCTGGTGGAGACCTTCATTGGGCTCCCGCTGGATAACGCTTCCGTCGAAAAGATCTTCGATCATCCTTCATGTAGGAACCCCTTCCCTATTTTTCCTTTTCGTTATCGTAAAGGCGCCGGAAAAAGGAACCGATCACTCCTCTTTTCGCTACATTAACTCGAAATGCGATTTCCTTGGCGTGGAGCGCCTAGACGATCGCGCAAAATTCTCAGTTGTGTTGCGAGTCACGAGCTCCAGTGTTCCCAAGTTCCTTCTCTAGAGCTCACCCTTCGTCACTAACCTGACCTAAATTTTGGGTCGTGGGACTGCGAAGTGGAATTAACTCATCTCCTATCACTTCGAAACACTTCTATCTCGAGTTCTTGAACCATGTGCCCTGATTTCAGATGACGCTGTGATGGACAAATACTGTGGTCCCTTGGGTGATGCCCTGACTCGTCTTTCCTATGCTCTCCAAATGGCCATCAACAGTAAGTCACGAAGCCACTGGCAGCGTTTTGCATAATTGCACTATCCATTTCATGGATGGCAGCACCTTAGTGCTCTGTAAGATGACTTCTTTGTATCCACCTCTGTAGACGAGCCGTTGGGAGAAGATGAGACCCCATCGACTCTGCATGCAACCTTGAAGAAATTGATCGAGGATCTCAAGAGAGACGTTCGAACTCTCCCGCCAATTCCTGTGAGTACTCGGTTCTAATTGTCTTCCATTAGCCTTGTTTCGACTGGGGTCTTTTCCTTGGAGAACACCAAGGAAATGAAAGCCTTGGTAAAGTCGAACGCACCCCTTTTGCCCTACCTAGGGGGCATTTTGCCCTTGGCATTGTCACCAGGCCCCGGTGATTTCCTCGATGACACACCTTGGTTTCTGATTGGTCAAAACAGGTCAGGCCGTATTCCTTGGTGCTAGCTGTAGCCTGTATTGATTATTTCAACTAGCTGCAGCGTGTAAATAATGACAACGCGTTGGACTGAAGAGGACGCGAGTGCACCTCTTCTCACACCTCTGCTGGTCGCTCGATTGCATTGCCATATCCTCACACCAGACGTGGCTCCTTCGAATCCACACACTTCTGGGGATCCTAGCTCGGGCTTGCACGAGGAATGACATCAATAGCAATGTTTGGCGTTGCTAGAGAGCGATGAGCATAGCGCGTATTTCCGCTTTCTCGCTTCTCATACACCAATGCCTTACGGAGGGCAAGGTACATTACGCTGATAAAATCGTGCTTTCATCCATGATGAATTCTTGGAATAAGAGAGCAATCGAAACTTCCCTTTGTGAAATGTCCCGAAGGCTCATAACAAGGGGAGAAATATTCCTTAGTTGTACCAAAAATGCTCAAGTTTATGAGGACATAATTGATTAATGACTCATTCCTTGGAGACTGAATACCTTGAAGACTGGCTTGTCGAAACAAGGCCATTGTCAAGCGATTACGGTCGAGTATATAAAGCGCCTTATAAAGGGTCCAGTGAAAAGATGTGAGGAAAAAGAGTATAACACAACCATTCCCTTGAAGGTCTATTTGACCGAGTATCGGAAATCGGGAACTCTTTCCTCTCATCATTTCGCTGGACCCTTTAGATAAAGTGCTTTATGTACATAGTGTGGGTCTCTGACTTTTCCCATCTCTACGGTCGAGTATCCAATCTAGCAGATTGGGAGAGTAAGAAATCTGAGAAGTTTCAGATGTTACTAAATGATCTTTACGTTTTGGGAAGCAGTCAGGATAGTTTACCACTTGACTACGGCACTGCCTCCTTTTACGGCTGGCGACAGAAGAAACGAAACGTCTGGATTTATTTTTTTCTCTCTTTCCCCCCTCCACAGAGGAGAAGCAACGACTCCAGTGCCAAAGACAGCTGCTCTTTCAGCTCTCAGCCCTATGAAGATCTGCTTGCCATCGCAATTCTCAACAAGGTATCTGTCTATTGAGAGTGCAAGCCGAGGAGAGTGGGATGGGGATCACTCACGAGAGTCCTTTTTTTTGTATTTCCAAAGGTGATACAGGAACATGTGGATGGGAGGGAAGTGCAAACCGATGCTGATGGCAAAAAATCAAAACTCAAGGGTGAGAATCATTCTCTTCGAAGGACCCATGATTTAGATTTCACACGCTGCTATATGTTGCCAGCAATATATATTCTTGAAAATAACATGTTGAAAGTAAGAATTTCCCCGTGTCAAATGGATGAAAATCTCGCCGGGGGCACGATGAGCACGACTTGTAAGGGGTTGAGGGGAGTCAAACTTTTCAGCGGCTTTTCCCAGCGCGAAGCGTGATTCAGCCCTCTAAATAATGTAGTCATGGCACCTAGGCAGAAGACATACATCCAAAGGACCATAGGCGGTAAGATTGCACGATAGGCATTCAGTAAAATCAGGTCGCCATCGTACATTTTCGGATTCACGTCATGCTTCAGCTAATAGAATGAGTCATTTCCAAGTTGGCTTTATTTCACTATGGAATTTGCGTTTAGAGTGTGAAAGGAATTCATACTTCCTTTTGAGTACTTAGTGCTTATTTCCTACTGGGAAGTAAAGCCGATATATACGAAGTGGATTCGAATACTCCATTTCCGCTCCTTTTCAAGTTTGAAGAGGAAAGGATCTGGAAGCCATAACTGAGCGAGGGAAATGGTTTCCATAATTTGCTTTCATGAATTGTTGGCAACTTGTATTGCCGAATTTGAATGACCTTTGGGGAAATAAGAATGTAAGCATTTGCCTGTTGGAATATTATACCATTTCAGAAGGAAGTTGCTAGATTTGAGACCATTATTTCCATTTCGTATCATGACATACCTGGAGCCCAAACAGATCTAATTAATTCTTGCAGTATCCCACGAATGCACAGTGGTACGAAAGTCCGAAATTCTTGGACAAAAGTCAAATTTTGAAAATGGAGGAATGAAACATTTTTTGCCGTTAAAAGTTACAGATTGAAGTCCTTCTTCTGCATCGATATTTCTCCAGGCCTTCCTCTGGTCCTTTATAAGCCTTTACGTGGTGCAAAGGTCAATGATTTGAACTTTTCTTAAAATATAAAGACTTAATGCGAAATTGTGACAAAAGTTTGTCATGAAATACGACTGTTCTTGTCGCTGTTTTTTCATCAAGTGCGATCTGAAGGTGTACCTGTAGGTGAGTCTTGCTTGTTGTATGTATAGTTTTACTCCTGATGTATATGCATAACTCATGTTATTTATTAGATCCTGTGCAGTCGATTGATGAACTACTTCTAGTGACAAGGTAAATTTATCGAGTGAATTTGAAATACTTCTCAAGATTTCTCAGTGAATTCCTTATAGGCCAATGATAATCTATTAATGAAGAACAAAATCGACCCAAAATCTCCTGCGCCCAACTGCGCCTAAAGTGAGGAAAAATTTTCAGATTTTTTATCTCGCAATTTCTCCAGGATAGATGCCAATGCCTTTGACCCGAAAGGACCTCTACAACATCACGAGGCAGATGAACCGAGCTGACCCTGCTGACTCAAGTGTCATTCCTGTGTTGGTCAAGCTCATTCAAGCCAACTACAAAATAAGCCAGGATTTTCATGAATAAGGGCCATGTCAATTATTAAAAAGTGCCGAGCTTCAGAAGACTTGCCTTGGTTCTTCGGGCTAAGTCTTCCAGAAAGGCCGAGAGGTTTTCAGACAACGATGTCAATTGGCTGGAAGAGTTCTTCAAAAAATTTTCCTCACTTTAGGCGCAGCTGGGCGCAGGAGATTTTGAGCTGATTTTGTTCTTCATTAATAGATTATCATTGGCCTATAAGGAATTCTCTGAGAAATCTTGAGAAGTATTTCAAATTCACTCGATAAATTTACCTTGTCATTAGAAGTAGTTCATCAATCGACTGCACAGGATCTAATAAATAACATGAGTTATGCATATACATCAGGAGTAAAACTATACATACAACAAGCAAGACTCACCTTCGGGTACACCTTCAGATCGCACTTGATGAAAAAACAGCGACAAGAACAGTCGTATTTCATGACAAACTTTTGTCACAATTTCGTATTAAATCTCTATATTTTAAGAAAAGTGCAAATTATTGACCTTTGCACCACGTAAAGGCTTATAAAGGACCAGAGGAAGGCCTGAAGAAATATCGATGCAGGACAAGGACTTCAATCCGTAACTTTTAACGACAAAAAAATTTTCATTCCTCCATTCACAAAATTTGACTTTTGTCCAAGAATTTCGGACATTCGTACCACTGTGGAATGGTAGGATCACCTCATGACACAGACTGGGAGTTGAGAGTCTTCGTAAAATATCCTTGTAATCTAGTCATATATCTCAACTTGATGTTAGCATGTAAAGCATGTTATACTGGAGTGTCAAGGAGTCATAAGTAAGGGAAAGATGAAGCTAAGAAAGTGAGCTGAGAGTTTCGATTATGTGCGAATTGCAAGTGATCTTAGTTAATTAAAAAAAATCCCCTTTGACAATATGTAATAATGAAAATATGCACTACCTAGCGTCTACTTCCATGTGGGGGAAAGCACGATAACAAAAAATGGGGGAAAATGGGGCAATTTTTTGTTCAGATTTTCCTTTAATGGTCTTAATTTTGACTAAGTAAATAGAATGGGGTTGGTAGTGAACGAAAGTCTGTAGAAATTGATTGTCCAAGGAGCCTCATGGTTCAGATAGAGAGGTCAAGAGACATTTTTGCCCATTATGATGTCCTGTGTCAGGGTCGAGTGTTTATGTAGATTAAGATTAATCTATTGATTATCTATCTCTTTTGAAGATAGGTGTATTTTTTGAAGCATAACTGCTTACTGCCCTGTTACTTCTAGCTATTTTGCTCCCTTTTTCTGTTTTGTCCATGAAGACACCTAACTTTTTCCTAATGGTAGTCTTGGAAGGGGCAGCCACAATGTCATCTTTTAATGCATTCAATGCATATGAAATGATGTAGTGTAAATCCTTATAAGTAAAGAAGTCATCATGCAACCTGACTCTCATTTGGAGATTATGCAGTTTGAACTGGTTCCTGCTCGCTCTGCTGTTACCATCAAGTAGGACAAATCTGCAATATTCCATGTTGTTGATCTCCTTATGATCTTGGTTACACCAGAAGCTGTATTGCCTGATTCTTTGAGGACATTGTATGGAAAGTGCAAAATTTAAAACCATTGTCAAAGATCCTTATTTGCTGAAATCACCTTTGTCGTCTTGATACATTGAAATATAAAAAAATGTGAATGAAGAGAAGGTGTGCCCTCACCACATGAAAGTAACTCATGATGACAGGCACTTGACAACATGTCAAGACACCAAGTCTTGTTTTGCTAGGTTTGAAATTTATCACAGAGAAATTGAAGAAAAGGATCTCTACTTTATTCCTTTTGAGATCTCTCTTAAGTGCTTCCTATTTGCTAATAGGAAAACATTGCAGTAAGCCATACTTTGTAAAGATCCTTTGGTATGAAAAAATCTTTTTGCTTTATGCTTTTCCAATTCAGTCTCTGTAATTGTGTAAACTTCCTCATTGAGCTGACTTTTTGGGTATGATTCCATCTAGGGTCCAAGTATGGGGATGTTGGAATACAGCCAGACATGGATGAATTAGCAGAGTCTCATTTAGCTGTTGATTCTGACACTGACAGTGACCGAGCCCGAAGTCCATTGGCTTATGTGGTAGGTTCTCCTAATTTTGCTCACTTCTCTCTTTGGGAAGGGAAGAGCACCACCTCAGTTTTGTTGGGATTCTCACCACAGATAGAAGAACAGATTGAGGAGATCACTACAACCTATGAGACTGATTCAGAGGCAGAGGAGGGAGAAGATGGAGACAAGAAGGAAGGCTTCTTTAATGAGCCATATATCTCTCGAAGTGTTGTCACTGATGGTGCTGATGGGGAGAAGGTGGATGGGATTTCAGACTTGGATTTCATCTGTTCAGCCTTGAATTTCACCAAAGAACAGCCTGTCCCATTCCCTGAGCTTGGTCTTGACCTTGCCCATGGTAAGAGTTATTCTCTTTTCCAAAATTCCAGTTGAAGATTTTAAAGGTTTTTATTCATTTTGCTATCTCAAAGTAGGAAGTCCAAAAAGTGAAGATGAAGACCTTCAGGAGGGGAATTACAAGGGCCAATTGTCACATGTACCTTTGGAGTCTTGGAAAGAGAACTGGCTCTTTCAAAAGCGGAAGGTCAGTGGAAAGCGTAACAACCCAGGTGCTTGGTGCCTTGGTGACAACCCAGTGCCCATGCTCATCCCAAATCCTAATGCTGATGTGCCACCCAAAGTTGGCGATAGGCAAGTCCCTCATATTCATGCAAGTTCTCTTGCTTAATTGGACTCAAAATTGTCTGGGATTACAGCTTTTTCTCCTTTTTTTCCAGGGATGTTGATGAGTTGTCAGATTTATCAGAGCAGGAGTCATATCAATCAGTTGAGTATTCATCTGAAGAAGAATTTGAGGTTGTCCCAGATCACGAACAACACATCCTGAATCAAAGCTTTACTAGAGAGCCCCTCCGTTCTTCTTCGTCGGGTATTTTCCCTGATTTCTAGACTCCAATACCCCCTCTGTTTAATTACAAAATGAATACATTTGATTCTGAAGTGTGTGACTCTAAGGAATGTCATCTAGATCTTTTTTTCCTAGGACCTTCATCTACAGGAAATGACATAAGTCAGAAGGATTCTGAGTATACTGAGGACTATGACAGAGTGCAAACAAGAACAAAGTCTTGGAAGAAAAGTCCCTCTCCAACACCGGAGGAGGAGGAGAATTTTTCCTATCCCCAAACACAGCATCCAGTTCCCAAGCCCAGGTCAATGACATAATTAAATATCTATAAAATTACTTGAATCCTCTTTCCACATGTTCTTCAAGAGTTGCTGAAGGGAGTAATGGTTCATTTTCCAGCAGGTCACACAATGTGTCACATGATAATGTATGTGAAAGTAATGTGCCAACCTACCTGCCTCCGCTCAAACGTCCTGCCCCTCCAATCGACCTGAGCTTTTCCATCAATCCTGTTACTCTCACATTACATGCAGGGAAAGCTTTGAGGCTGAGATGCAGTATCACAGCAGCTCAGCAACCTTTCAGTGAGTTGATTGGCTCAAGAACATTTCACTCTATTGAGCCAATTTTTATAGCATTCTTCTTGTCCCATCCTACATTTCACAATAATGAAGAATGTTATACCAGAAAACGGGATTACTTTGACCCTCTTTAAACTTTCATATGCTTGTGGCATCTTTAAAATGAGCTTAAAATTTTTAATGCAATTTAAAATTTTCATTTTAAAAAGTCTATATTGTTTGAGTATGCAAATAAAATATCTTCATTAGTGTCACTTATAACTTTGGTGTTATTACTAGGTTGGGAATTCTGTAGCTGTGATTATTAATTACTAGCCTGTCCTGTCCATGCTGTAAGACACCAGATTTCTGCCATTTCAATGACTAACCCATGCCGTATCTTCTCAAGTTGTGCACAGGTTGCTTGACAGTAGTGGAAATGGATGGCGATCCTTTTAAGCAATCACTTTCTTTTTCCTATCATGGTATCATTTAACCACTTCTTCAATGCATGTGACCATAGTGCCCCATATCCTTATCAACTTCAAAATTTACCACCAAAGTTGAGTGGTTCATTTAAACCATGACAGTTTTCACACTCACAGAAAATTCCAGACCTTTACTAAAGAAGGTGCTGATATTGATTAAACCCAGGACTAAGCCCAGAGTCATATTTGATACTTGACCTTGCTTGTTTGAGGGTTAGACAATGGACCAGCTGAACTATACTTGGAAAAAAACGTTAAGTACTATGGCAAAACTTTCATGTATCTGACTCTGTGCACTATAAAATTTTAAACCCCATTAATACAAATCTAAATACCATTTTTTTCCATTAAAAAATCAGTATTTCTGGTGATAAAGGGAATGCACAGTGAATTAATCAAACACTGTTCAAAAGACAATTTGATATTTAGGTCTTCTACTTTTAAATGTCTGGCAAACCTGGAAGAAAACTGGCTTTTCTGCTCCCCAGAGTCATTTTCTTTCCTCCAGGAGTAGGACAATCATCCCATCCATGCAGCCATTGAATTATGATTGAAAAGAATATCTGCTGTTTATGGGCTATTGCAGCATTGCTAAGATCGTCCTTTATTTTGTTATGGTTGTGGAATATATCCCCAAATGGATTTTTGAGGCATGGGTAGTTTTGACCACTCCTATATATATGGGTTGTAACATATATTCCCGCCGTTTTTATATTTTGTTTCTTTTCACTCCATATTTTTGAAGTTTGGCAAAGTGGATATAGTCATTCGAAAGAGCGTTCTTTCCTCTACAAACTTATTGCCACCATTTTTCCGAATAACTTAATTTTACTTAACTTTCAGGTATTTGAAATGGAAATACCAGGCGGCAAGAAAACCCATTTTCGA